CCCCCCCCCCCCCCCACTATCAACTGTTCTAATGAATGGCGCTCATGATATGGGCATCTCTATAAATATGGATCTCGACCAGTCATCCATGTTGCTGAAGTATACGGCACATGCCTCTTGAACTGTTGGGCAGAGATCATCATATGCGTCCATGTACTTTCCGCATACACATAGCGGCATTGTCAGCGAGCTTGTGAACATGGGGAGTGTATCTATGTCTTGATGACGACTCAGAGCCTGCAGCACGGCATGCATGTTGAAATTGGAAGACAGCCAACGATCTCCTTCCTGGACGCGACGGTACGTCAGTAATTCCGCCTGTATCATCCCCCAAAGCTTGCCAAGTTCCGGGCTCTTTCCATAGAAATTCCTTCGCTCTCCTTCGACTAGACAGTCGTATTCGTGGTCGCAGCTTTCATCGTGTCCAACTTTATCCTTTTTCTTAACGCTTTCTGACCACCAAAATCTTGCTCTCGGTCCATCAGGGTTGGTATCGTCTTCCAGACCAAAAGAGCTGGAGCTTGCGGATGGAGCCTCTGCTTGCATAGAGCTTCTTCGCTCATTCACAGCAAATTGCAAGGTCTCCGCAAAGACATTCCAGCCAAGCTGGGCTTCTTTGCTCCATGTTCTTAACAGTTCATAAGGAACACGTTTAGCTAGCTCCGCTGGAGTCATGAAGATGTGACTGCAGCCCTCTTCGTCAATGTCAAGCAGAGAATTGAGCGATATCTCAGCCCGCTCGAGTGGATTTGCGCCGTTCATCAATAGGCATAGCAGACAGGCAACCATACCAAATAATGTCTCTCCCTCAGTGCCGCTGTTACCGAGGTGGAAAGCCACAAGTACTAGTGTGTGTAAAGGAAGTAGTGACAGCTTCTGTTTGCAGCTCTGGTTCTGGCAGTACTTGATGAACAAGCCACTGGGTGTGTCAATGTCTGGTGACCAAGGCATGCGAAAGATGGCATTTATCGAATGACAAATCGCCTGCACTGAGGTATGGCAGAAAACATGCTTCCAACAGAAAGGGGCACGTGCGACACCTTCCCTATGCAAGGCAATGACACAAGTTGAATCTGCATCCCAACGCCCGCACAGGTCAATCTCTTCTCCAACAAACGCCTGGGATCGTGGTACCTGACTGTCCGCGACTGCTATTGTGCAAGAGGTATGGCCCTTCAGAATCAACAACATCAAACAATCTAGAACTGTATAGCCCAGGTCATTAATATACAGTTTCTTGATGGAATTGGAACTGGTGGGGCCGAGATTCAAGGCGAGAAATGTAAGCACGTTGCAACAAGTCTTGCCCCCACTCAGATAGCTTGCTGCGAGGTGAAATGGATGTAGTGTAGACAAATCGAGATCCCTACTGATGACGTTCCAATCTTGGTCAGAGAGAACTTCGACATTTTGAGCCATAATAGCAAAACCTATTGACTCAACCCGGAGTTCCTCTGGTGATCTGGCGACAGCTTCGACGATTTGTGTAGTCGAGATTGGTAGAGACTCTCGTTCAATGTCACTGAACGAATTCTGCTCAATGGCTTCCTTCAGGCGATCTGCCAAACTTTCACGGACTGAGCCCCGCTGCCAAGCTGGCCATGTATCTGGTGCATTTCTGGGAAATTCGTCCTGAATGTTACGTGTTGGAGAAGGTATTCTCTCATAATTTGGTGTCTGGTAATGAATTGACCAGCGACAAAGTGGCGTAGGGGCAATAACGGTGCGAGCCGAGGACCGATCTGTATGAGCGTGCGCTGTTTCAGCAAGATGAGGCGGCGATGCGCCAATGCAGCCCGGGGTATTCGGCGACGAAGTGATATCTGCCAGTGTCATGAAGTTGAGAAGCTCCCAGGACCATTGGGTTGGGCCCTTTCCCCAATACTTCGCTGACATGAATGAAAAGAGCCAGAAGTGATGGAGCCAATTGGTGGTAGTTCTGATGGTAGAATTAGCTTATGATCTCATTCGACATTTTGGTGAAAATGCGTTCTGACCTTGACTCAGCAGCAGTCATATCATTGAAAAGATCTTGAAGTCTTCCTTCCACGAGGTATCTCGCTCTATTGACATACGTTCTGTGGATAATGGCTGTTGTTGTTGGGGTTGGTACATTGGCTGCATTTCCCTGTTGTGGAGTCGTTGCTGGTGGGCTCAGAACACTGACGTCGCTTGGTGTCGAGACGTTTACTCGAAAGGGAGAAGGAGGATTGAGTTGCTGTATCAACGTCGTTCGTAAGGCTTCGTGGGGTAGATTCCATCGGCCAAATCTACAAGACGGCGATCAGTTATGTACACGTTCGTGTAGAAAGGATTCTGAGTAAGACGTACACAATGCCTTGCAGATGCAAGCCAGGCTGTTGCCGCGCTGAGGACTGCAAGTGTCTCCGTAGACGTTTCTTATCAACCTCCATACCACTGTGACGAACTATCCCTGTCTCATGGCCGTCTCGCGCTCTCTTCCCGAGAACTGTAATGACTTTTTCTTTGTCGCTCGACTTCAGGTTCTTCGTCGCATTCCACTTCTTGAGGTGATACTTGTATTGTCGAACACTATGAGCAGATACGTCAGCCCCCTGGATCAACGGACGATTGCAGTCGAGGTTGTCAAAGCTTGGTAAGCTTTACAGCGAGCAACTGGTACCTACTTTGCATCAAAACGGTACTGCATTTTCATCGTTTCCGCCAGTTTCACGAATGACATTTTTTCGTCGAGGTAGAGTCGAATGATGGTGTCTTTGTGACACTCCCATCTTTGGTCAAATTTGACATGAAGGAAGTATGGATCGTGACTGGAACTCCCTGCATCCATAATGAACGTGTGTTATGAGGATTGCGTGGTGTGCTGATGCCAAAGCAGCTTTCAAGGCTGGAATAGCTCAGCTTATATGTTCATTTTCTTGGTACTGTATGTGCAGAATTGACATCATGTAGTCTCAGGCAGAAAAACCATGTTAGTCGGGCGTAACCGAAAATTTCTGGTGCATGGCCTTGGTTATGCTACAGGATGTCGGCTCACACGGCCAAGGAAATGCAAGCAAAAAGACACTGGCCAGTGAGATCATGCTTGGTGTCTCACAAGCTTGAGCTAGGTATGTACTATTACATGGTGCATGGCGTTGGGGTGGCCTGGATCAAGCCGACGGGAGATGAAAAGTTCGGTGAGCAAAGTCGCATACAATTCTGCTGTCTTGGACGTTGGGGGAGGGGCAGTCTTGGCAGTCTCCGTATGTAGGCAAAGGGCTCATGCATAGAATGCGATTACTAGCTTAGTGCCCCCTTGCAGAACAAAAGAACAGCAGCCAATGAGAGCGACTTGCAGCCAGGACTTGACAATGATAAGCGCATGGCCACAAGTGTCCCGGCCCATCCCTGTTGTCCCACCATCCGAGATTGTGTCCCTGTGGAGTCTACAAAAGGACAAGGACCACTAGGAGACATGCAAATTCAGTAGCGATCCTAAGAGGCGAGCTAAAGGTGTGGTATAAGTCGGGAGAGCTGAGCCATAAGGTCTACATTAGGAGCCGACAAAAGGACAATCTCCAATTACAAGCAAAGCTATCTTCTTGACATGGGATAATCAGATAGATTGACCATTCTGTCGTGGCCTGGCCACGTCGACGTGTCATGTGTGAACCCTGTGTGAACTACAAGGACTTCATGTTCAGACAACTAGTAAAGCGATGTTACTACTACTTCTTTCGATCAAAGTTCTCGCGAAAGTCTAATCTATATGGCAGCCATGGAACATACGGGCGGATTCAACCTCGCGGCTCTAGTCATGATGCTCAACCACCTGACAGAGACTCACAATGTTGCCGTGAAATCCCCCGTGCTTTTCGGTGTCACTAAGCCTGAAAGACGTATATAAATCATCCGGCACTTTTGTCTACCAGCACTCTCGAGAAACACAAGCCATTGACCATTATACATGTTCATCTTTAACTCAGCATATATCATGCCCAACCAAGCCGAATCCTCACCCAAGAAAGGCTCGAAAGGAAGCCGACGCCACCCCAAGTAAGTCACCTGTCTCTGTCTCTTACCATTACAACACCCTTTCCGTTCCACTAACTTCTGAAAAGAAAGAGCAAAGCCAGGAACCCCTCGAGTACCGCAGTCGAACATTCCTCTACCTCTGAGCGCCTAGCAAATGAAGACAACTCCGACGTTACCGAGCCTGCAAGCGGCTACAACACGTTCCACGACGAGACTGAGACTCGCAGTGATCAGGACTATTTCTTGCTGTACATGGGAAGTCAGTTTGACGGCGATGAGCAGTGATATGGGAGCTGTCGAAAAAGTTCTGTGTGTTCTTAATATTGATTGGATATTGAAAAGGAGGAGCTAGGTCGTGGGGGGATGCAGGCTTTCGTTGCTCACGGTCTCGTCGTTATCGTTGACCATGAACTTGTAAGCAGATATGCAGCAGCAACCAGACGAAAACATGCAAGAGGATCTGGCCTGATCTCATTGCTCTGCGTCTACCAGACCATGTGTATATGTGAACGTTTTTCCAATAGTCAAGTCTCACGTTCGCCAGATTATGAAGGGGGGAGAAGATTAAGGAGCTCAGAAGAAAGCCTGGGCTAATCCTGAAGGGCTACAAAATAGAGCTGATGAAGAGCTATCTACCATACTCGAGTAAGTATCGGTGGTGGGTACTGACTACGTCAGTGCAACAGATGAAGACCCTTCTACCGGCGCCAAGTACGCCACTAACAGGCATTTATAGATTCATAAGATACTTCTACCTACTCTCTACTAGCTTCAAGGGGTAAGGACTTGATCAACTCGACTCAACTGACCAAAATGCGAGTGATTTTTGGATAATCACGGACCATGCTGTAGCATCCCAAATTGCTGACTCATCTATCGCATACTGTCGACATCAAACATTATGGGTGGATCAGCCTTTTAATTAAGCACAATCCATTTGATCCATCGCAACACCAATAGCTGTTATGTTCATCTTCCCATTGCCTCTCCGTCACAGCTTCCCCCAACAAGGCAGCGCGGGCCATTGCGATCTGCACGCCCGCAGCGGCGCAATGACCCTAGCATGGCATTGGGCTCTCTCCTTTTCGCGCGTGGTTTCGCACCCAATTTTTTCCTCTTCCCCTCCTCCCTCTCTTTTTGAGCTGAAATCGTTCATTCGCAGTCTTGGTCTCATTCTATTACAAGCCCCTTTGTTACTTTCACCATGGAAAAGCGGTAGCACGAATCTTTGATTGGTAGCCCCAAAGCAGCTGGACTGCAATCCCCCATTCTTACTGATGAGGACGCAACATACCATACCAGTATCACTTCCTACTTCTCCAACACTACAAAGGTGAAGCCAGCTTGCATCATCCGCCCAGAGTCTGCCGGGCAGGTCTCCGAGGTAGTCAAGACTTTGGTCTCCGCCCAGCAGAAATTTGCTGTGCGAAGTGGTGGCCATGCGCCTCTACGCGAGTCGAACAATATCAACGGCGGCGTCACTTTGGACTTCGGCAGCTTGAATGGAATTCGCTACGATGCGAACACCGACCTCGCCACTTTTGGTCCTGGTGTTTGCTGGAAGGATGTATACCAAGCACTTCAGCAACACGGACGCATCGGTGCAGGCGGTCGTGAGGATGATACTGGGGTTGCAGGGTTCCTGCTGGGCGGAGGCAATACCTGGTACACTGCACACAAGGGCTTTGGCTGCGACAATGTCGTCTCCTACAAGATAGTTCTGGTCGACGGATAAATCATCACGGTAAAGCAGAATGGATCTCACAAGGATCTCTTCCGTGTCCTCAAGGGCGGGTCCAACAATTTCGGCATCGTCGTTGGCTTCACCATGATGACCTTTCCGTCCAATGACATCTGGGGAGGTACCACCCTGTCGTCGAAAGAATATATTCCGGAAGCGATTAGGGCTATTTCTGAGTTAACCACGAATTTCCCAGAGAATCCGCATAGCAGCCTGATCGGTGCCGTCAACTACATTCCCCAATTCAAAGACATTGGTGTCGGAGCAGCCATAGTGGAAACACGCGGAGTGGAAGATGCTCTTGCGTTCGCGAGGTGGGAGAAACTACCGAAAATGGTAAGCATTCTTCAAAAGAAGTTGATCTTGGCCATGGGACTTGAGACTGCCCTGCCCTATAACATGTTGTAAGTTTGACTACCCTGCCCAATTATCTATTGTGGAACAAAGTGATGACACGAAAGCACAGCGATACGTGGTTCACCTCGACCGTCAAGAATGATGTCCGCATCATGGAAAAAGCTGTCGAAGTTCACGAAGGACTCGTCAACGACCTAAAGTCTTTCATTTCAGACGGAGAATTCCTAACACAATGCCTGTTTCAACCCCTGCCCATGAATTTTGCCCAACGCCCTGTGGCAGTGGGTGGTAACGTCTTGGGAATCGAACGGAACAAGTCCGATGGTTTGCTCTTTCAGCTGGACACCATGGTCAACACATCCGAGCAGAACAACTTTGCCTACCAAAAGGTAAACTCTGGCGTGCAAGCCATCAAGGAGTTTGCTGCAACTATCGAAGGGGGTCTCCTCGACTGGGTCTACCTCAACTACGCAGATCAAAGCTACGATCCTCTGGGAAGCTATGGTATTGAGAATGTCAATTTTATGAAAGGAGTCGCAGCGACGTATGATCCCAAGCGAGTTTTTCAACAACTTTTTCCGGGAGGTTTCAAACTTCATGCTTAGGAAATTCAGATGAATGACCTTGCGTTACTCCCTACGTAAAGAGGATATCAAAAAGGAAAGAAAAGAAGAAGAGAAAAGGCTGTTTTTCAACTTAAAGTCAGCGAAGCTCATCCTATATGAAAGACTTGGTGTTCGCACCGTCACTGGGTTCGTACACTTGGGTCCATGATACGACGTGTATACTATTCAGATTTATTGACAAATACTCTCTACATAAGAGCACACATGTTCCAAGATTACTGGTACTAGGTGTGTCCCTCCGCCTCGTCATACTGTTAATAAATGCCCCAATCTCCATTCCGTTTAATATTCTCCATAGGAATTCGTTGCCTCTCAGCTTCTAATTCCTTCTCCATAGACCAATCACTATCCCATACGAAGCCCTCCGGGATGTTTGAGTTCTGAAAAGGTGCGCCAATCATGAGATGCGCCTTGGCTTCTGCAAACTTTTCGCTTACATACTTTTCAGCATGATGGGTCCACACCCACTTGCCAATTCGCAAAGGATCGTTGTCGATCGCGTCATTAATAGCGCCCTCCATTCCGGTATCCTGGTGAGCTTCTCGCCTGTTTGCGAAGCCAGTACGCTGCAGGATTGCCACACGTTGCAGACTAGAGGGTCCCAGTCGAATAAGTACAAAGAAAACATCAGCAGAATATGGTGTTAGCACATACCGTAGCAACTCGTGAACCTTCGTCCCGACTGTTGGGTTGCCCCTACCAGCAAGCCGTAAACATTCTGCAAGGGACATGGCGTCTTCAAGCGCGGCAACCGCACCCATTGTGGACGAAGGAATAAAAGCATGAGCACTGTCACCAAGCTGGACAATGCGGCCACCTGGAGAAGTCCATGACGACTGAGGATCACGCCAACATAGTTTCCAGCTCACGACCTTTTTGTCGTGGGGGATACTGCGGATAATCTCGGGCAGGATAGGGTCTAGATCTTCTTGAGCGGGTAGTCTAGATAGCATCTCTTCAGCCGAGATACCTTGGGCCCAAGACTCCGCTGCTATTCCATTGTCCTATAATGTCTTGATCAGTCATGGAAGAGCGGTAGTTGAAGCAAGAGTCGAGCGAGCCTACCGGAGTAGTAAGACCAATCACAACAATATCATCTGCTACAGCAGCGATGCAATGAAAGTTGCGCCTGTATAAAGTTGTGAGCAAGATGTCCTGGAATCAGTGACTAAAAACGGAGAAGACTCGCCATACCCTGAGTATATCCTCATATCTGATCGTGACCCCTTGAGCTGATTCAGCATTGGGGCATCATGAGTCTCATCTATGTGATACATGACACGGGCAATCTGGAATCCGGTCGGATAAGCCCGCGAGACTTTCCCAAGTACAACATTGTGAGACTTGGTGCCTAGCCCGTCAGCAGCAACCACTATGTCCCCAATATACTCAATGCCATTCTCACTAATTACTGTGGCTGGCTCCGCGTCTGTCGATTCCACATAATCCACAATATTGACACCGAATGTAGTCTTGATGCCAAGTCGCTCGCATTGTTTGTACAGCATCAGTGAAAATGGTGCCCTCTCTACCATTGTTCGAATTCTCATTGGCCACGCCACGTGCTGGGGCACATCGTGCCTGTTCCACTCCCATTCGTACGGTGGTACAATACACTCCCCAGTCCATTGACGGATCGTAAGGACGATATCCCTTGAGATAGCGGGGTAGGCTTCCATCAGTTTTGGGTATTTATGAAGTCCACATACCCCAGAAGGACTCAAGAATATAGCATCACCTAAGTCTTGAAATCAGCGTCTGGCATTATGAGGTGAAATTTGACAACGAACGCGTACCGATCGGCGATATGTCATTTGCTTTTTCCAGAATTTCGACAGTATGACCTTTTCTCCAAAATTCAAGGGCGGTCATGAGCCCACCTGGCCCTGCGCCCACCACTAGAACTTTCAGGCCAGTGTCAGGATATCTCAAAATGCCATCAACCACCACATTCTCATGTGTTGGTTCAAGGCAAATCTTTCTCTTCAGGTCCATAGTGGCAAAGTCTCATAAGTCTGAGTGTCTCAATCAGAAACAAGGTAGCTGTATTACTGAGACTGCGGTACTTACATTTGATACCAACCGCAACAGCGTCAAGGAGCGTTCCGCGGAGGATCGGAACTACTGTGGATCTACGAGGATGGTGCGCCATGCAAAGGCCCACTGATGATCTCTGCGGGAATATAGGTTCGTACGGCATCATCACCCTTGCCGGATGAATAGAGATACTGGACGATGCCTGGCAGCCTGGACTAGCGCACGTCATTTGAATAGGTTAAAAGTTGATCATCACGACATTTGCGAACCATGGTAATCTTCGTCAATCGGCCTGCACTCGTAGCTTGTTTCCACTCTTAGGGTAGATGCATGGAGAGAAAGACAACCAGACGGCACGAAAATCTTTCTTGCGCCGGATTATAAAAACCTGCAAGTTAATGCAACTTGATGCAAAAGCTGTAGAGTCATGCCTGATATCAAGGCAAAAATTGTCACAAAGCCGTACTCAAGAGCTAAAGACAGATCATACGCTTCACCGATGCAGTGCCCATTTCGGTAATGACCCCAAATCCTTCCCAACTCCCTGGGCGGGACGCCTGATACGTAAGATTGCTTCCATCTTTGGGGATTGACACTCCACTAAAAACATTGTCGGGATTATACCCGCTGAGTCAGCGGGTATTCGGAATGATAAAGCACCGCTACACTCTAAATACAATAATTCTGCAAATACGATCAATCACTTTAAACATAATCAATAATCTGAAATGCCATCTTATAAAGGACCTGTTTGTGCGTGTGTGTGTGTGTGTTTGGGGGAAGGGTGAAGGGATGCGGAGGCGATTGACGGTGCTTTAGCAGATCCAAGACGATTCATGTTCATCCGAGTTCTTTATTCCAACAAAATTCGAGACCGTGTGGCCTGCGCATGGATAGTGGATAAGCCCTATATCAAATGCCGACCATTCAATGAGATGTCCTTTCAGCTTGCTATAACTTTTGGTCAGATCCTCACTCTCTAAGAGGCCATGTGGATTAAGCCATCGAAAGCAGCTTTTTCAGGCTAGGAACGGGCGTGCATTCGGATTGACATAAGCTCTCGACTACGACTAGAGATTGTAGTATTAGTAGGTGTCATAGGTATGTCGGAGAAGATCATCAACGCCTGATAATCATTAGTCTCGTGGCCTGTAGCTGGCTTATATAATCGTTTCCATTCAAACCCTCGTTTCCCGTTGTTTGCGTGAAGTCACTGCTACTGACCATCCAGGCACGGCCTTGCATAACTTATAGTCGCTCTTAAGCAGTGTATTCCTCTGTACGCGCATCGATAGCCTGCCGTTAAGATCGGTAAAGTTGAAGGCCTGACGCTTGATCTTTTATGAATAAATATAGCATAGATTCTTGCCGACTGTAGACATAACGTCCATAATTGTAATATTGGCCCCGAGCCCTTCGTATGACAAAGTATCATTTAAAGACGCTGCTTCCTGATTAGGAGACTCATATTTGTTTCCTGAGTAATCAAGCAAACGCCTTGCAGGATCCTTCTGCTGCCAAATCCACCAGAGACGATCAATCTGTGAGTGGTGGAGAAAAAACAAAGGGTCTAGGAAGATGTGTTAGTTATTGATCATTTAGATTGGTGAACGTTGCCATACCATTTGGTGATGTCGACGGAACCATGTCGCCGCCAATCACGTTATGAATAGCTCCATGTGGTGTGTTCTCCAGGGCCTGCCAAAATGTCTCGTAGGTGGTAGAGTTGTCAGTTATATTCGCAACTGTGGCTGGCGAATAGAAAACTGCTTGCCACAAAGGGTCTGTGGATAAAGTGCCAGTCCCATTGTTGAATTGCCTATTCAGACAATGTGGATTCACATTGTTGACGTAGTATGTCAAGCTGTAATTGGCGAATGCTCCAGTCGTAACACATGAAGTCAATGGGTTTGGACGAGAAGGCGAGCTGAACCCCGAATAAAGTCCTCCACTTCCAAACCCGGTCTCTGTAGACTCCGAGAAGACTGGTGATGAGGGAAGCGCGCCAGAATCCTGTGTCCAATCCCAATATGGCATTGAACCCGTGTAGTTACACTCGTCGCGGAGAGCAGTTTCATAGAGATGGACGAACCAACGATGCCAAGGGAGGAACGAGGCAACGAAATGGACTGCACCGTATAAGTAATGCAGACATGCATCGTGATGTCCAAAGGGGAGTACCAACCGTATGAGTTTAGCTTCGCATGCACCCATGGAAAGTCTTCATAAAGACTTGTTGATAGTCCAATCTTGGACGGTCTGGTCGAGAGACATTTGACAGCGCTAATGTAGTTCGCTTTCTCTGTGTCCGGTAAAGACCTCCATTCCTTTCGTTCGGCTGGTGCGACGCAAGATTGTGCTAAGCTCGTGGCCACAGCGGCGCAGCTTACAATAAAGGGTAGCAGTATGATCGTGCAGCGCATGATGGCAGACTCCCTGGAAGCTAAAGTATAATCTGTGCGGGAGCATTCATCGATTAAATAGTCACAGGCATATATTCACCTGCCAACTCGGTTCTATCAAACTCGTATTACTTGTGCATGGGTTTTCTGGATTTTCTCGTATCCGCCAAATTGCGATCTAGTTGGCATATGTACTATGGTGTGATGGGTGGTAAAAAGGCACAGGGGCAGGTACCGAATTCATTGGAGGGGGGTTTTTCCGGTTGGTCGGTTAGCGGGCAGCTTTGTACTATGGTACCTCCCCAGACGAAGAACCAGACCCACTGCGTTTTTTTCTTTTCTTTTTTGGCCTGATACCATAATATGGTGGCAGAAAGACTAGCAGCCCTTTTTACGAACTCTTTGATTGTTACCGATTTGTGCAATGATGTATTGTGCTGTAAAAGCCGTTCGATTAACTCCTCAGACACTGATGGTCCGTCGAACTCTGGTGGATCTGGTAATCAACTAGACCGCCTTGTGCGAGCGCTGTGATAATCTGATGCCTCCTGCCGCGGCGGAGTGGTGTGATCAACACCGAAGCCGCGCCTTTTGGTAACCAGCCATTCTGTCGCGAGGCGTTACTGGTCCGCTCATGCCGGACTCATATTCCCATCAAACCCCTGTTCTTCTCTTTACCGGAATCCAATAAGATCCAATTGGCAAACGGCCCGTGAATTCTTGATTCTTTAGCAACTCCGAGCGGCCCTTTAGACTATATTTACTTGAAATAGCTCTCAGTTTCAGCGGCAGCGCCATTCCATTGGTGCAAAGCAAAATCGAAGCCACAAACAGATTCTACCACTATTCCAGTTATTGGGTCAATATATCCATGTGATTCAAATACCAATGACAATATCTTATTCACTAGCTAATTCTAACCCACGCCAATATCGCTTCTAAGTTGAGTTGCGGGTTAGTCGATTGTATCAATCTACCCACGATTATGAATACGCCAAGTGTTGAACGCGGCCTATGGCATCATGTAAATATAAGTGGCTGTTGCATTCCACTCAATCAAGCCAGACAGCTTGCATCCAAGCTGGGTGCTTATTTATATACTCCCGCCTATCAATGCCCCGGGTTCTTCTTAGATGATGATGAATTCCTTGCGTGTCGCGCTTTCCAACCATTTTCCAACAGACTCAGGTTCCAAAGATGCCGTCGCCAAACCGATTCGCTGGTATTTGTCTGGACATGTGGAAAATAAACTGAGTACCACCATTACAATATCATGAGACAAGTGCGACCCAACACTGTCCGTAGAACTTCCGCCTGATCTTTCAGAACTCCCACTTCCACCTGATTCCACGGGCCCATCTAGAACGAATGCCCCTTGAACAGAAGCATTCAAAGATGATTCGATGCCGTTCCTAGAGGTCGAGCGTAGCACAGATACATACTCTTCATTCTCGGGCCCGCTGATGTGAGATTTGCAGAGCACTGTGTCAGGTTGGAAGTGAAGACTCTCCAAATCATACTCCGACTCGTTGATTAGTTTAAACCTCTCCTCTGTCGAGTCCCATTCGAGTTTGAATGTCTGAGAGAGCGCGGAGAGCTTTATCCAGCCGCTTTTGACAGCGCCATAAGGGTTCAAGCCCGATAATTCCATACCGTAATCGAGGACATTGACATCGACGAATCCAAATGGCGAGCTACCGCCATCTTCCAAGATTCGGGCTGAAAACAAGTAGTCAATCTCCCCGTCAACAGAGGCCCAAGAGAATGACGGGCCCACCCAAGTAGATGGAGCTGGGGATGGGCTTCTCTGCGATTCTCCTCCCACCCGCCATGCCAGACCAAGCCTGATATCAGCCAACCAGATACCAGCGAGATACTGATCCCCCGAGAACTTACCCACGCTACAAGCAAGTGCTGAGAGAGCCGGTAGTTTATCACCAGGGACTGTGAGTCGCCGCCTTGTATAGATTGGGATGATCATCATTCGCCATTCCAGATATGTGGTTGATATATCATCGAACCGGCTAAGAGGTCGACAATGGTATCGCAGACTGACACTGTCATAATCGAGTTCTAGACGGGCACCGACTTTATATACCCAGTCACTGTGCCTGATTTGGGATGTATTGTTCTTTGACGCATGATCGCTGGCGGAGGTCTCTCTGCTCTCACCACACTCGCAGTCAACAGCGCTGAAGCATTCCCAGGCAATTTCATTCTCGTTGAAACCAATGCACCTGCGAGCGAGCAGCGTTTCCTGCAAGGTCCAGGCCCGGGTGCCCAAGGGCCCGCGACTGATCGGGCTCAGTGGAGTCGGCGAAAGCATATCGTCAGTGTAAAGGTCGTGCTCCAGTCTGGTGTGCATCACCAGGTCATCTCGAGCACTACCCTCCTGTGATTCCAAGCCGATTCCTCGGCAGATGATATCCGGAACCGTGAAGAAGCCCTTGTCGTCTGCCTCTGCCGATGCGGCGGCAAGGACCAGGTAGGCATTCGAGTATATATCTGCCATTTTGGCGGATTCGCGTTCCCAGTCGTCTTTGTCATCCTGTACGATGCAGAGAGAATCGATCCATATATTGAAGACGCCAATTTCCAGTGCAAAAATGACGGCCTCTCGAAAGGTTCGCGGTAAACTTGCGAACTCGATACCCTTGATGCGATCGGTATAGTTGCTGGTGGTGGATTGGCATCCTTTGAAGCCGCCCCAGCAATGGCTGAGGGCAATGTATTTCTCCGTCGCGCCATCTGTTTCATAGAGACACAACTTTGGAGGCTCATCGGTAGGCTGAATGGTAATAACCCGACGAGGCAGGGGAGACTCTGCTCTTTGACGACATTTCGGGTGTTTATGGGTGGTCTCGCAGACTCTCAACCACTTTCTTATTTTGTCGAAACATTGCGAATCCTGAAGGCTCCTGCTTAGATACTCTTTTGGCTCAAGTGTATTCCATCTTGGCTGGAAGCCGGGCATGGTATGGAAGTCTACATGTTGCCACGTTCCACGGGTGGTGGCCTTGACCGAAAGCTTCTGCTTTGATACCCACAACATGACCTTTGAGTTGGCTGCCACGACGTCTGCAAACGCCTTCAATGCCCCGCGGTAAACGATCGAGCACAATTCGCAGCCCTTGGCCGCCGAGGCTTTGAAGTGAGACATGCGCAATTCCCGATGCGACCACCAGCAATCGTAATAAGCCCCTTCCCAGGTGGGAGTGATGAAGTCTGGAGTGAAATTGAAGCAGGTGGTACAACAGCGCCAATTATCGCGTGAAGGTGGCGAAGCGTTTAAGACGAGGCTCCTGTCATGTTCAATGGACTCGACAGAACGCGGCGATGCTGTAGGTGACGTGTCTCGCGCCGTCCGGACTGTTCGACCTATCTGATGTCCCGGATTCCGGACGTGCTGTATATGAAAGCAATCCTCGCACATGGTGAAGTCGCAGTTCAAGCAAAGATGCAAATATTCCGTCATTCTGGGCCAATGACAGCAGTCACAAGCCCGTCGTCCATACCCCCGAACGAACTTGGGAATGTCCGGGTCTGTTACTCCGTCCATGGCATCTAAATTAGTCGACAAAATAACGTTCAAAGGGATAATTCTTTTGGAGTTTGGGTCGAAAGTGAAAGTGGGGAAAAATTGTCTGCTATAATACCAGAAGCTACCTGGTCCAAATGTCCTTGCTTACGCCAAGGTATTTGACACCTTTACACAACTTGCCTCGGGTGTGGTTCATGGACACAGGTTCCAGTGATGAGTCAGGCCCCGCGGCATCCCTTGGGGCATGCAGCGAGCATACTTACGACCAAGTTAGAGCCAACATAAAGCAAGAAGCAGCCTGGAAGATGGATCCCAACATATGGTAATATGAGTGAATGGATGCTGGGAAAGGGTATATGTGTGCCCCGCCTCACCCACTAAGTGCCTCCCACCAACAGTCGCTAGTGGCACAGAAGCTGCGAAGGCAATCAACCCCTAGTGTTATATGTTTTCCCCCCTGCGTGCCATCTCTTTGGGCTCCGGAATAGAACATGCAAATCTATCAATCGAGATTGACATGATCCTCGAATGTTATAAAGTCCTCGTTTCAATGCAGCTCTATTGATTGGATCTACCCATCTATCAGTACCTCGATCAGTATTCCCCTGTTTTCTGCAATGACGGCATTTGATAATTAAAAGGACCGCTATCTCTATGGTAGATTTTGGCGTGCTTCTGAGGTGGATTGCGAGATGGTATCCACGGAACATCGCAATCAAGTAGAAGGATTGTGTCTGCGCGTTGGACGGAATCACTTGACGCAAGACAGAAGCCCTCTGAAGCAATGTGGGAGAAAGGAAGCACATATGACTACCTCCCGCATCCTGCACGCGTATACCGGGGAAAAGGTCCGCGAGAGCCACGAGAAGTTTTGGTGTTTGTCGATCGCGACCAGAGTACCCCGTTATGATCAGAGGAGAGTCGGCACAAACAAGCGCATGAGAAATGTCACGAATAGCCTCTTCAGGGAGGGCGCCGGGACCGATGGGGCCCCATTGGTTTTGGTCCAAGGCATATGGCTGAATGAGCTCGGCCATAGCCTCTCGTGCTCCAGCAACATATACAGGGCCTTTGGGCGAGCTGTTAGCGAATTGAAGCGCGCGGCCGACTGTCTGTTTGATGTTTAGGTCTTTGCGGATCTCTCCGGAGTATCTGCAATATTGGGGGACAAATGTCTTCTGATCTGGGGCTTCTTGCAACCAGTGCACTGCGGGAGAAAATTTGGGGGTCCTCATTGAGCGTCAGAGTTGTGTATGCTATATCGACTATTTCCATGTACTTTCGTGGAAGATTTCTTAGGACTGCTGACACGTATAAAAGTATATCCGGATGCATCCTCCCTGAGTGATACCATACAATCACCAACCGTGGCGATCATTTGATGGTATGAATCATAAGTGCCTTTCGCCAAGTCTCTGATGCCTCCATCCATTCCTGCCAGTGCAAGAGCAATCGAGCCACTTGTCCATACTGGTACTCCTGATCGCGAAGTGTGAACAACATTCACCACAAATAAGATTACCACGGCAACTACAGTGGCAGTGGGAAATGCGATCCAAGGCCAAGAAACCTTGATATACGCCTCTTCCAACAGAGTTTGCCCTGTCCCATTACTCATAGAAACTTTGTTCTGAGAACGTAATTCGTTGGACAAACTCTTTGCCACTCTAGAAATCCATGCGTCCCTATCCTCGCGATTAGATTGCCAGACCTGTGCACCCATATTTGTGCTCACGGACCATGTGCTTCCATTGCCTGTCAGATAATGGCTCAGATCCAATTCTGATCCGATGCGCGCGACATGGAGATGGGTTGTATTGGCCGGACCGGGGATAAGCCACTCTACATTGCTGCCGTCGGGACTATAAGCTGGCGGTCCTTCTCTCATGGTCTGATTCTGTATGCCCAGAGTTACTTGAGCGTCAAAATCATGTCTGCAATACCACAGGCCACATTGGGTGACGGTTGCTGCTGTGCCATGGCTGAGAAGACAATTGCCCTCATCATCACTTCCAAGTCGCGGCACCTCGATCACTTCCACCGATTTTAGGAAGCTATTCGATTTGGGTTCCATAGTATCGCCATCAGCAATGGACCCATTCATGTAGGGGTACACTCCCAGTAGTTTCCATAGCCTGTCATCGCCTCTGCCGACTGCGAATGACGCTGCATTGTTGAGCTGCGTCAACTCTTGGCATTTGTAAGGCTCGGTAACGTTGAACTCGTGATTGAGGGTCAAATTTGTCGCTATCCAGATATTCCGGCCTCCTGATCCATCGATATGGTCCGACTCGTTGTAGACAAATGTGCCAGTGTATTGACATTGATGATCATCACACTGCTTCCAATTCGTTGGCATCGTATGTGTCACGTCGTGGCAGGCACCACATATACCAACGGAAGAGATGGCTGACCAGGTGCAGTTACTGGATGAGCATGTCGCCGCAAGATCCCGCACTTCATGGCTAAAGAAGCCACTATACATCGCTCCAAGCCAAGCGAGTCGATCGTACTCTGTCTTGTTGTAAACCCACGGAAAGTACGCTGTCCCAAGCTGGTCTGGGACTGTTCGAATATCAATGCTTATGAATTGTTGTGAAAACACATCGAAAGCAAGTGTCAAAATCGTAAGGAAAGCCCCTAAACTGATTATCTTGGACGCCATTGGGGAGTTGAGTAGCCATTGGAAGCTGCCCCATGTTCCTCTTGACACTCTGTCAATTCGCTCGACATCCTTGAAAGGTTTTCCTTCTAGTGGCTGACGAAACCATGACCACTTTTGCTGGCTAATTGTATCTGCGAGTGGTACCATTAATGCCCCCTTCATAACTGTAGAAAGCACAGAGACAAGGGCACTCATTGAAAACATGGTGGTCCTCCATTGGTTCAAGGGTCGATTCCCATATGTGAGCGCTATCGTGATCAAACAATACAAGAGCGTGACGGAAAGGAGACATGATAGCGACTGGAACAGCCAGGGGCTTCTCCCAAATCCAAATGTGGTGACCCTGTTGTAAAGTCTTTGGGCTCTCTGGAGCAGTGTCGCCCTTTCATTACTCTCCTTCTGTGTGCTTTGGATCGCCGTTTTCTCTGGCATTTGGAGGTTTACTGCGTCGATTTGTTCATTCGTCAATGCATCGTCGCCAACCAGAAATTGCTTGTCTTGTGGCCCAGACTCGGTGTCAGGCATCTTCGCAAACAGGGAGTCCTTATTGATTCAGTAGTTAGTCCTCACTGCTCGGTGAATACGATGTCAAGTGCTGGGAGATTGAGTGACGAAATTTTGATGGTCGTCCTTGAATGTTTCAAGCATTAGATTCATTTGATGGGCAGATTCAAATCAAGTATGCTCGCTCCGCCTCGTGGCACAGCCCTTGCGAAACTAGCGGACTGCGTATTTCGTGTCGGTAAAGTTCTATGCAGCTGCAGGCGATTACCTATATATTGGGGGGAGCCTTGCTGTCACAGGCTGTAAAATATTCAATCTCCGTGAATGATGGGGCTGTACATGGCAAATGGGTGGCTGAATCACCTAGTGGGCGCTGAATACTACCTAGGCACACCCAATCAAAATTCGTAGAAGTGACCACCAAGATCCTAGGCAAATGGATCTGATTCCTGTATATGATGATACGTACTCACTATCTGCATCTGGACTTGCCTAACGCACTTCAAAGACTTTTTCTGCCCCGACGTAGCTCGTGGGTGTCGGTAACCCCATCTCCCGATGCATGCAATCTCCTTCTTGGGGCTGTCTTGTTGATTTGGCCCCCTGCATACGCCCAGCGTACAATGGATGATGGTGGGGTGGTTGCTCGGCCTAAAGAATACTTGGCTGGTTGGGCTTTCAGGTGACACTCCCTATGTAGATAGTACCCGGGTAGATAAGTAGAAAGTTCTTCAAGGCTCACGAAGAAGACTTTGACTACTCGTTTTGACTTCAACTCCAATTGAAGAGTTCTGGATAGATAATTCGAGCGCCTTTGGGCTTATGCGCACATTGTGTGTGCGATCGGCCGGGCTTGCACACTCCGAGGACTTGCCCCTTGCCTAGCTGGCAAGAGGCATTGAAAATACTTTTCATCACCTGGCTACCTCTCTTCCTTCTCTTTTGCTCTCTTCTCAAAATTTTAGTATGACCGCCATCTTCGCAATCAGATCTTGTTGTGGTTGACATGAAAATGTTTTGATCCATTTGCTGACGGACATACCACTCTCCCCGGCCTCTAAAAGCGAAAACCCGACCAACAACCACCCCATTCATAATACGTTCTTTCAAAATGACAGCCGCTATTGAAACACACACAGTGATGATCACTGATGCCTACAGTGAGTCCCGACAATTGTGCTCGAAATAATATTTACTCAGTGAGGATCCAGTGACACCCATCTCCACAGCAACTCCAGCGCCATCGACACCAACTGGGTATGTTTCCGCTGGGGATAACTCAGAATCCCCAATTAATGGTGGAAAACAATTATCTCGAGGTGTCGTAGCTGGAATAACTATCGGTGGTGTAACCATTCTGGCCATCGCAGTGGCTCTCATGTGTCTGTTGGGTCGCCCGACAACAAGGCATCCGAACCGGTCACTGCATGACCAGGACTTGTGACAGCCCCCATAGAACGCACCGTCATACACCTTGTGACGCGAAGTGAAGGAAAATAGACAAAAAACGAGAGTATCCTTTCTTTTGTGTGTCTCTTAAAAAGATTTCCCGATGAGCCTGCAAACTCTTTTTCGGGGTAGCAATCTTATAGGACGCGGCAGGGAGGAATCGCATTTGCTGATTCACACAAAGAACTAGCCTAATCGTGGATATAGATACGTCCAACATCATGGTAATCAGTCGACCATGCTGCCGTGTCACAAGCTTTTACGAAAGCGGCCCCTCTCCACAAGATAGGCATGTCCTATTACCGCTGGGTCAATCCTCAGATCGATGACGACCGGGGAGTCTCCGGTGTTGTATATTTTTGTTTCTTCTCCTTCCCTCGCCCTGGAAACAATTCTTCACTCAGCGCGTCCTAACGACGCTAACACAAGTAATCGCGTGCAAAGCTCGCATCAATATTGCCAATCACCTGCCTCGATTCATTTTTTGCCTGGCCATGCTCCACGTTGGTCTCTGGCCCGCCATTCCCAACGTCGCCAATATTTCCAATAAATTGGCGAGCCTGATCCAACGTCTCAGCATATTTCACAGTTGTCCCCGTCGTCTTTGCTGTCTCTCCCAGTCCGCTTGTGCAAACCTTCAGGCACTGCCTAAGCATACGGTCATGATCATTCAACACCTGGAGCACTTGTGTTACGTCGTTGCTGCCGATCGCAACTTCGGTTGATTGGAAAGCTTGGAGAGCGAGCTCGATGCCTTGCAGTTTCCCCGTGAGACTGCTCAACGTCATGACAGTTTGTGTCTCCATCTCGTTGATCTGTTCTCGGGTCTTGGACATTGTGTTGCTGAGCAGGAGAGATATTTCAGTATAGAGAATTTATGTTTTCGGTGCATCATGGTCGGATTGAAGGTTGTGTATTGCTCAATCTTACAGTGTGACCACTCCCAAAGCGACATTCAGAGTTTGCTTACAGTCCCCAAGGCGTGACTTGAAAGTCTGGATGTCCTTCTCGCCCAGATACAGCCGTGCCCTGTCAAGGAAGGCGACTTGATCATCCTTCGAGTGAGAGGTTGCCCGGGATACCCTCGCCGAGAATCCTTCGCACGCATCTCTGCAGCTTTCTATCGCAGGCACGAGCTCGAGAATGCATGTCCTCTGCTCAGCGGACAGGTCATCTGAAGTAGCAACCTCACGTTGCAAGGATTGGATCAAATTTTGGAGGGCGCTGAGATCGCCCCGAAGGTCCTTCAAGGTTTTTGGAGCATTGGCCCAGCTGGAAACGAGCCCATTCAGAGCCTGACAGCTTTGGAAAGCCGCGGTTATCACACCAATCGCGCTGGCAGTGATGCTTAGGGGGTCTGCCATCTCCAAATTTGTTGGGACAATGAAGATACCAGTAACAGTTCGAGCAAGAAAACAAAATCTACCATAAGTGGGCGACGGGTAGACGAATACGCTGGCTGAACAGCTGGCCGCTAAGCAGGATTCGTGATTTTGAAGAATCCAAGTGTTGCGATGAACCAAATTGACAGCGGTGCGTCAATAGTATGGGTAGGTACCTTAACCAAGATAATCAAAGGCAAAGTCTTCAATATTTACGGATCTGCAGAGCGCGCCAAATACGTGTTGTGTTGACCCACGACCCATCTGCAGGTGCAGTTGCCACGTCTGAGCGAGGTCCACTGTGACCCAGAAGTGTGTCATGCTGCGCACTTTTACCATTACGGCAAAAGTCTGCGTGCACGTGCTGTGCGACTTTTCTCTTAGCAGGTATTATTTGACATGTCGCTTTCGCGAATGACCATCAGCTGCCAGACCTTCGATGGATTCTGCACCAATTGAGGGACACCCTATCTGTACAGCCTTGTAACATGCAGAAGCCCCCACAAGCAACAATCCTCACTCCCAACGAAAAGTTTCATTTCATGCTTCTTTGTGCGTCCAAATGGGCACTGACGATAGTATGGCCAGAAAGCCCATTGAGCAGTCTTTTCATCATCGTTTTCTTGATCGGTCCAAGATGCCCGAGACAACTGCCAGCGACCACAACGTGACCCCTGTGAGCGTCGAAGTCGAGCAGGCTAGCGCCAGTGGCAACGCGCATCAATTCATCGGAAACGTCTTTGACAACAGCAGGACTCAAATTTTCAAGTCACCAGGGCCTCCTCTCACTCTCTGGCAAGCCCATTACAAGAGCAAGGCCAACGAAGATCAAGACTATTGCTATGATGGAACGAGATCAGAACTGCTGGATAATCTCATGAGAAAGGTCACCGCTCCTGGAGCTGGAGACATGATTTGGCTCAAAGGGCCAGCTGGCTTTGGCAAATCTGCAGTTGCCAAGACGCTTTGCCTTCGATTGGATCAACCTATCCCTCGCACTGAAGGTTCAGGATCATCGTCGCCGGAATTCCAGCTTGGGGGGAGCTACTTTTTCAGGAGAATCGATCCTGAACGAAGTAACATAAACAAGTTCATCATTACAATTGCTGACCAGTTCGCCGAAAAGATTGAAGGCTTCCGGTCCTGTATCCCGGACTACAATTCAAAGCAACTTAGCGAGATGAACTCAGAGGAGCTATTCAAAAAGCTCATTGTGGACCCATCCAAACGATTGTCGAAGCCTAGCATTGCTATCATTGTCGATGCGCTGGACGAATGTACGACGTCGGTATCTAAAGTTCTCGAAATACTGTCAAACTTTCGGGATCTTCCATCTATACGTGCCCGAGTTGTCTTTACAAGCCGTCCTTTACCAATGCTTGAAAATATTGGCGAACAGTTTCAGCTCAAGCCAGAATTCATGGTGGACCTTGATGATGATGGCATCGTCACAGAATCGCGGGAGGACATATCCCTCTTCTTGAGGAAGAAGTTCCAGGGGATGCAAACGCCAGCCACAAGAAAGGGTGGCCAATGGCCCTCGGAGAAAGACTTCAATCGCGCCGTTTACCTTGCCACCAATCCAAAGCCTCTTTTTATCTACGCCGTCACCATGTGCCGCTTTGTTGAAAACCAGTGGGCCGACCCTTGCTACATGTTAAAGCAGTGGCTGGAGACGAATCAAGACAACGACTCTTCCACCCATGTGCCGATTGGGAATAATGGCCAACTGTTTTCAATGTATCGGAACATCTTCCGCGAAATAGTAGACCGAGGTTTGCACGATGCAGACGTCCAACGCTTGAGGCTTATTGTCCACAGCGTATGTGCTATTACAGTTGAGCTTTCCACGGCAGACCTATTACGCTTACTCGAATCTGCCGATATGGATCATGATCTCTTGCTGCTGCGAAGGAACATGCAGTCGATCCTGGACATCCCTCGTGGCGACGACCTGGATTCACCCGTGAAGATATATCACAAGTCACTCCTTGATTTTCTCAAGCAGTCGGAAGCTGAAGATTGCATTTTCTACCCGTACAATGATAGTCTGTCTGGTCTCGAACTGGGCGAAAAGTGCTTGACCCTGATATCAGAGCTGGTTCGCAAAGAACGCCAAGATGGGCTCGAGATTGACAAGTGCGACAAGAAAGTCGCGGAGTTTGCCTACAGAAAGTGGGCAGAATTCCTCACCTCCTATAACGGCCAACTTTCTGAAGGATCCCGCGCGATGCACCTACTTCAAGACTTCTTGACGTGCGATTTCCACACTGTTTTCAGAGTCGGTTACGTTAATGACATCTTCGATTACGGAGTTGGCCTAGACCTAGTCAAACAGCTGCCACGTCTTGCAGAGGTACACAAATTCCCTCTCCAAAGTATTCTATTCCTTGCACCAATATGCTGGTGAACCATCCGATTTCTTCCTACTTATTGCAATCCTCTGACTTACACCATAAATTTGAATCAATGCCCGAGCTATTCTAACAAGCTTCTCAGACACAGCAAAGTCCGTCGCTGAGGGCGAACCTGAAAGAGGCTACCACTTTTATCATGGACATGGTTCGCTTCCAAGACGGTCTGTGGTTATTTGAGAGCTATCAGAGTGCCCTCATCTTCGGTTCCACAAGCCACTCTCATCCACAGAACAGTCGATTTTGGCAAGACCCCCAAGCAAGCGTGCAAACATACACGCTGCGAGACTCCACTGAGGAAGAGGCCCTTTCTCCGGTATCTTTCCATTTCTCGCGAGATGCCGCGATCTTCGTCGGATTATTCTCCGATAAATCGATTCGTCGCTGGAATCGTGGCCCTGGCGAGGTTGGCCTCCGATGGAACTTCAGTTCCATTTGCAGATGTACTCGCGGTTTTCCAGTGCCAAGCCCACGAGAACATGAAACCACGACGCTTTCCGCGAATGGATCTGTTATTGCATACAACACGATGACTGGTGTAGAGGTATGGAACACGCAGTCTTCTCACAGCCGCCTTCTTCCCCATCTTTCTATGTCAAAGAACCGGTTCTTGGCAATTTCGGAGGATGGATCTCGGTTGGCGGCTTGCTACGACCCCGACAAGCGCGGAGCAGCCCGGGCCGTGACGTGGAATGTCTCTGATGTCAGCAATCCCCGGGGCGTTCCATTTTTTCTTTCACCGATTGTCAATGTTTTCACTTCTGCATGGGAGACGCTAGTGTCGTATTTCCCATCTCTTACCCGTGTCTTGCCATCCTACTGTATCAGTCGGACCTTTGAACCAAAGGGAGACATTCTAGGCGGCATCGCATTTTCACCAAGTGGCGAGCGACTGGCAATCTTTTCATTCTCACATCAGAAAGATGATGATGGCGACAGAATTCTCATCTTCCAGACGTGGGACACTGCGACCGGAAAATATGCGCTGCACCGCATTCTCGGGAATGAGCTTGATTCACAATTCTTCGATTCGCAGGGTATTCCGCCAGACATGCTGTGTTTGAATATCACATTCTGGGGCGAAGACGAGATTGCAATTCTATGGGAAGGTGATGCGTTCGAAGAGCCCGTCAATATTGTTGAGTTCTGCCGTCTCAACCCTGTTCACAGAGATAGAACGACCGTAGCAGTCCTGAGGCATGACCAAGAATTGGGTAACGAGTGGTTGAAGCCAGAGCCGTTCTGGATAGACAACGCAACTAAGTCCATCCATGTTTCTCAGGGCTGGTTCAGATTTCATGGGAATATCGACATGGGTGACGAGTTCGTTATGGGAATCATCGAAAGCTTTGGGTTATCAGCCGGCAATCCTGACGCCGATAGATGGCCCAGACTTGTTGCGAGTAGAGACTCCTTCATCGCGAATGGGAGGCGTCATCGTAAATATTTAGATTGCTTGGCTGTTCTGGAACACTCCGGGTTTTCTGTGTGCAGTCAGCACACGTTTGCCGGATACAACAAGAATAATGGCGACCTGAAGTTTGTAGAGCTTTATAAGGGGAAGGGGTAACGTCCCCCTTATTACGCAAGCGTGATTGGGCCAAATGATTATAAAGATAGACATAAATGCTGCAATCACTTTCAATTTCAAGGCACTTCGGTTTAAGCCCGTCTTATCCTCGCAGGTGGATGTTTTCTTTGGGCATCTTATGAGCGGCTCGAAACTTATTGTTATTTAACTGGAATATTCGTCGATGGTTATCTATGGTGATAAGCCAGTATTTATATCATAAAGAGTGTGTTTCATGAAATCATTGTTATAAAATCCTAGACTTCTAAACAATCCGCAATTTGCTACCCTTTGGTGTTGGAAGTGCAATCGCGTCCAATTACTGAAAGATGTGCGGACAGCGGCTTTCGAATGTATGCCTTGGCACGAGCTCCCTGTCCACATACTAATCTGCATCGATGACAATGCACCCTCACTGGATCTAATCCGCAGGCTGTTGGAAAGGTATCACAAGATACATGTGCAGGTGATCGCAAGACTTCTCGCAAAAGAGGCTGAGCACCAAGACAAATACTTCCAAGCACAAGTCTCTGTGTTGGGGCGGCGGAGTTCTCCTGCATGACAAATGAAGTATTGCCCAAGCTCCAACATGATTGGTGAGAAATACTGACACTGCCACTCATACGACGCTGCTGGGCTGAATGCTTTCAATGGTAGAAACCCCGCTTTGCATACGGATGAAAGCTCCCAAGGTACCCCAAGAATTCCTAATGGGTTTATTTTCATTGTCTAACTTCAACTCGGATCGATGCGCCCCTGACAAAGACCATCAACATGACGGTCCCGTTTGGGTTTTCAGTTGGCGATTTTGTCGCGGCAATTGAGCTCGTGGGGACAGTGATTGACGCGGTTCAAGCGAGCGGTCAAACGAGTCAGAGGTTTCGTGACTTGATACGGCTGCTATTCTCCCTTGAGACGGCCTTGATACAAGTCAAAGACATTCAGCTGCACGAGTCCATGTATGCCGAGCATACTGCTCTCGCTCGCACCGCGCTTGAATGTCAAAGAACCATTGATGACTTTTGGGCCACGGCGCGCAACTACCAGCCGCACATCACTAGGCCCTCGACGTTGAAAGCAAGAGAAACTTGGATGAAGATCAAGTGGGCCCTTTGCAAACAGAATGACATCGACAGGTTGAAGATTGACTTGCTGGGTCACACCCAAGCTTTGAATATCATCATGTCGGCGGTCAAATTGTGACTATTCTTGGCCATTTCAGAAGTAACGAGCAAGTAGCTGACTCGCCTTTGTAGAAAAAGCGAACAGATTGAGAATCAGAGCCGCGACACAAAACACCAAACCCTTGTGTCACTCATTCAGCGCGTCTCGAATCAATACATGGGGCATCTTAGGACGATGTTCACACAAATGGAAGGGTAAGTCTGATATAGATAGTCTTTCAAGTCGGAGCTAACATTCTGCAGGATACTGGAGAAAGTCACATGTGCTATGTAAGTCTTCCCTTCGTTACTCCCTCTTAGCATAAGGAGTTTTGTTACTAACAATATTTCTCAGGCGTATGGATTTCAGGATATTTGCTGCTGTTATGGAACTTCAGCATATCGTTCGACAGATTCCCGGCCAAGTACTCAATCAACAACCAGTGTACTTGGTAGACGCTTTGGGATTCCAACGGCCCTTCCATCTTGAGACCATAACCTCGCTCAGTGTAAGGTCACTACCTACTTGCCACACCATAAAAGAAGGCTATGTTCGCGCATTATTGATATCACGATATAACAGTTGTTCTTTTACGTCATACGGTCAAATATGGATCGATCAGGCATTCCACGTAGCGACCAGTCGTTTGTATTCACTGACACAGCCAGATGTCATGATATTGATCTGAGTCGCCCGTGGGAACAATGCTTTCGACCTGGACAGAAAGTAGAGATGAGCGCAGTGATCCTTGATACCTTAAGAGGTGAAATGTGCCCGCTGTGCGGCAAGGAAGCCTCCCTATCTTGGAATCAAAGGACAGAATGGTAATGGGCTCAATTCTGTGTCGTTCCCCTTTCAGTTTCTAATGGAATTCTAGCAAATCTTGTGGGGTAATTTTCTCAATCACAGGACGAAAGCTCAAGGCGAGAGTGAATCTAGAAAGAAGTCCTGGTGAGGAGACGTCTTCGAAAGCGTCAAACCTCGGGAAAGACGACTTTGGCTCTTCGGAATCTTCGCAATCAATTGCATACTATCGACGCTATCGTGTACGAATCGGTAACGGTAACAATACGGAAGAGAATTCGCCAATAACAAGCCCCTTGGTCAGTGTCAACGATTTACGCGCCGCGGCACCCGCGACTTTCGGTTGTGATTTGCCAGGGCCCGCGGCACCCGCAACTTTCGGTTGTGGTTTGCCAAGGCCCGCGGCACCCGTAACTTTCGACTCCGGCTACAGTCTTCGTTGGATATGTGTACGTTATTCAAAGGGACATAACTATTATTGATTTTCGATTAATGAACTTTTAGCCGAATTGCGGGTCTAATAACTCTTGGGAGTACGACCCTTTCTGTCCTATAGAATCGTACTGACGTAGTTAGTACCCACCGCAGATCACTTGCGTAGGTATATAATTCGCTTTTTAGAACCTTTTTCTTATAAATCAAAATTTAACTTAAATATCTTTGGATATCTTTTCGATTATTTCGTTTTGAATTCCTCCTTTACATATCGGCTTAGGTGAGGTCTTGAAGGCAACATGAGGATACAGAAACTCTGATAGCATAATATTGCGCCGTACCATATAACCACTATTAGGCTAGTTCCTAGTGTGGAGCTTCACATTTTGTTCAGCTAGTACAGTGGTCTGGTACGACACATAACACACTTATTACACCATTTTCAATCCCAAAGAAAGGATGGAAACAGTTTAGTAGATGATATGATACGAACCGATGGACCGTTGTTTTGACAAAATTACTCCCTACGCGAGCGTTATTCTTACAAGTACGTGCGCCAGTCTGTTACTTCACGTGTGATCACCCACCCCTTTAGCATATCTTCCAACGTCATGCCCGGGGTGTCATCTTGTTGCCAGGTCACGAAAAGCTCGCCGTGGGCTCCATCTTTCAGTACAGAGCCCGCCGGCATCAGGAGTTCCTTCTCCCGCTTCTGCCAGTTATCCCCTCGAAGCGGATGCGTGTATATTTCGACACGCACCCATTCCAGCTGCTCCATCTTTTTGAACGATTCCCACATTTCGAACCAATCCTCGAGCTCCGTCTTGCCTCTCCTGGGTACATATCGCCGCCACAACCCCCTCCTCTCATCCTCATCTCGGCATGGTGGCCGATCAGTCCCGGGTGTATAGTGTGTGTACTTTATTTTCCTGATGAACGGCGCTCCCTCGGTGGCAGCAAGCATCGAAACGTAGTCTGGTTGACACACAACGAATTCGTTGATGCTGTACAGAATGGGAAGGGCCTCGGCATGTGTACGGGAACAGGTCAAGAGCAGACTGATGCGGCGGCTCGGGGGTTCCAAGCTGGGTTCTAACTCAAACAGCCTTCCAAGTTCTATCTCTTGTGGATGAACTAACACGAGGCTGAAGATTTCTAGGCGCAACTCGGTTGGCAGCAAGGCGAAAAGCGGAGATTGAGTCTGTGGATGGATAGATTTCGCAGAGGAAGACTGGTGGCGGAGGTGCTTCAGGCGCCTGAGCAGAGACTCTGCTATGGGGGTACTCTTCCTTGCTGGCGACCATCTTTGTCGCTTCCGGTAAGGAACATAATTAAGCACCGTCATTGAAATGCGATACTTGAAGTCATGCAGTTTTTGATAGGAGATGAGTCAATCTCAGCAAAGAATTACTGCACAAGGGCGCGTAAACTGCTTTTTGACCAACGCAAACCAGCAGGAACCAACGGGCATCCAGCAGGCATCCAACAACGTTGGCAGGGATAATGATATCATGATCTTATCACGACACCACATGCATATCCAACGCTTTCAATTGTGCAGCCATAAATTCATGTCGTAAAAAGAGGCTGAACCTGCGCATCTCGCAAGATAAGCAAGCTTCAATAATTATACAGACGATTTTTTGAAGTGTCTGTATCTTACAGTCGTATCAAGTGAGCCATCAATGGCAAGGCACATCCATGGATGCGCTACAAGTCCATACCGCGTTCTCATTTTCCGCACTGTGTTGCCCTTCATGTGCATCTGCGGCGGTGCTCGAGTTTATTACTACAAGAGCTCTTGCATGAATTATTTGCAATTCCCACCGTCCAATTCTATCAATCTGGTGCTCAACTCATAAACATTTCCCCATCGTGCCAATCCAGCTTTTGCGCGCGTTGTGGTAAGCGGCACGAAACGGACAATACAATGTCTGAGCTCAACGGGTACATTATCAGAGCAGAGGTGCACGATCCTCCAGCCTGGGGCTATGCCGTTTACAGGACCGCCTACGGCGCGGCGACCGACGAGCCCTGGCGGCTACTTCTCGAGGCCATCCGTACCGAGGTTCGGAGAGACGTGCTCAGCCTCCGGATCCCCCGCGGGGGGAACCCGTCCCGCTACTCGGACGAGGAGACGCAGAGATGCGAAGAATTCTTGTCGCTGCTCACACTTGATACCAAGGAGGACCAGAGCACTCTGCAAGGCGCGTCCATGGACCGCGTACGGGAAATAATCAAAGAAACCGACCCGCTGCCGACCGAGGACGAGTGGCTCCTCGACGGCACCTTGACGACACGGCAAGGCGTCTTCCTGTACGTCGACGACGAGGTGCTGGAGTCAGTGGCGGCGGCGGCGGCGGCCCAGACTCCAACTCCAACTGGCGGCTCTTGTGCTGCTGCTCCGTGGATCAAGATGGTGGAGCTCGACTACGAACCAGAGAAGCACAAGGGAAACATACGCGTCGGCCCTCAATACTACTTTGGGTGGATGAAGGTGTCTACTGATAGCTTTTTCCAACTGTGGTCGGCACAAGAGGGCAAGTATCTGTGGTCATTTGCACCACCGAGCACAGATGAGAGAACGCTGCCAATATGGAATGGGATTGGGATGACACCAACCGACTGTAGGGGGAAGAGATGAAGCCTAACTCATGTCGAGTTCTTTGTATAGAGAATAAGGATTCAAGGCACCCCAATCCTCAGCCCTGTACTCTTGTATACTGTTGAGTCAAATGCTAGTGCCTGGCTTGGCCGTTGTTTACCGTATGGGTTCAGTGCCCTGCTGCAAGAAACCGCGGCCTCACTGAGACATGTGAACTCGCGGGCCCGAAGGAAAACGGCACGGAAAGCATAGAAGAGAGATTTCAGAATATAATGAGTTATCAAGGATTTCTTTTCAAACGCTGTCTCATGCTAAAAAGTGGTATACTAAAATACAGTTTCGCTCCTGAAAATGCTAAAACAGAAAAAGACCAAACAAACAAGGGACAAGATTGCTCTTGGTTTCGCTCCGTTTTGACTCCATGATCATATATATATACAAGTGTCGTTCCATATGTGTATGAATTTTTTTTTTTTATGGTGGCATAACATTCGTTTCTCTAACAAGTCTCCACGGCAGCCGTCCGACCACCAGTCCAGCCCTTGCCGGTGAAGAGGAATCCCCACTCGCCGCGGGTGATGGGCGAAATGTCATCGTAGCCATTGGGCGTGGCGGGTCCGATGCGCTGTTGGCTGGCGCGCAGCCTCTGAATGACGGGTGACATGGCGACCGACTCTGAGGCGGCCTGGTGTCCTCCTGAGCCATGACCGCGCTGCTGCTGCTGCTGCTGCTGCTGCTGCTGCTGCTGCTGCTGCTGCTGCTGCTGCTGGGGCGCAAGCAGCTCGTCAATGCCGTTCCAGAAAGATATGCCCGAAGCTATAGGTCGGGCAGTCACGTCTCCTTCGTTGTTGTGGCGGTCCTTGTCATCGTTGTCGCCTTCGTCGTCGGAGAGTGCGTCAATCTTAATGGCGAGCTCGGTAACTCCAGCCATGGACTTTTCCTTGTTGGCCTTGACAGCAATGGGTCGGATCACGACGCTTGGCTTTTGCATGGTTGCCGATGACGAAGTGTCAAACGAGGTCTTGAGCTTCAGGACCGGGGTATGGGCCTTGGGTGTCGGCGGCTTGCCAATCTTGACGACTCCGACGGGGATGCTCTGGGGCTTGGCCACGCTCATCTTGAGCGGCCACTCGGTGCGGTTGTCATCCTCGTGACTGCTGCTGCTGCTGTTGTCGAGGTGAACTGTAATCTTGTGCGCAGGTGTAGCGGGCGGCGGCATGACGTCCTCGTCAAAGGCCCCAATCTGCTGCACACCTCCATACGCTCGGCGGTACATGCGTTCGACGTCGCCGAGGGCACCGGCGCTGACGCCGATCCACGCGTAGCAGCTGTACAGCTCGCTGCGCTCCAGCCGGCGGCCGCCGCGGGACAGCACCAGACGGCGCAGCTCGTCGACGGCGTCTTCAATGCGGGCCTCGCGTTCTGCCTTTTGCTGGGCCGTAGGAGCCACGCCTCGTCTCAGCAGCGTCGTGCGCGCGTATGCCGCCAAGGCCGACTTGAAGGCGTACAAACGGTCAAGACCCAGTAGGGTCAGGCCCTCGGCGGAGAAGAGGACCTCGTTCTGGCGCAGACACCGTCGGACCAGGTCGCGGTTCAGGCCACATGATGACGCCGAAGAAGGCGGGGGAAGAAAGCCCGTGCCGGTTTGGAACTTGCGCTCGGCCTTGGTGATGGCGCGGCGTAGGTGGTATTCCTCTCTGGATGAGAGGGGTGTTGCGTGGATGAGACGGACACCAAAAGGGTTTGGGCCACCAGCGGATGCCGTCGATGATGCCGACGATGACGACGAGGTGGATGTACAAGTGGTCGCCGAGTAGGGCGTGGCGGGTGTGCATGGAGTCGCGGGTGTTGAAGCAAAACTCGGCGATGTGACTGCGCCCCTTGTGAAAGAGGCCTCAGATGTATTGGAAGAAGAAGCTGTAGAGGTCGAGCTGACAGATCCACCCGTTCCGCGGCGCACCAGCTGCTTGAGTCCAGCTACTTGCGATGTGAGGCGTGTGGGCGACAGGGGACCAGACGACCAGGAGAACTCGGGCGAGGCCGGTGGTGTAGCACATGGCAGCGTCGATGATGGGAGCTGGTGGTCCTTGCGGACAACAATGAGAGTGATGTGAATGGCCTTGCGTGACAGCCTCTTGGAGGCATACTCGAGGGCTTCGGTGAGGTGTGTCGGAATGCTTTGCGAGTCTAGAATAGAGGGGCCAGCCTCGAGTGGCGACGATATCCGCTGCTTCAGGAGTGAAGACATTGTTGCTGTGGTTTTGATTTTTCTTTGCAATGCCCCCCGCGTTTGTGTGTCACCAGGACGAGAATAGAAAGAAGGCGAAGTAATGCAAGGCAAGTGACAATGCAGAAAGAGAACAGAAGTGAATCAGTCCTCGGCGACTCAGTGCCCCGAATTGGAACGTTGGAATATGCAAAGAGTGTGTTGACGATTGAGGCTGAGTATAGATCTACTATATCGAGAAGAGAAAAGTAAGTCTAAACAACAACAAGAAAAGTTTATTAGATGAGAAAATATAGAAGAGAAAACGGGGGCCGATTTGCAGAATAGATATAGAAGAAGCTGTGCAAAGGGTAGCATTGTGATGATGATGCATGCAGGCAATATAAATATATCCTACCCATACAGAAGCAAGCGGGACCGAACCACCTGCAGAGAGACAGCCAAATGATCACCGACCTGCATGACCAAAAACGGAATGTTTCAGATCGACAAAGTGGCCAGGGGGGGAGCCTGGATGTGTCGTCTGAACTTTTTTTCGAAACAATGACAGAGATAGATTAATCGGGCGACAGGGCATCTTTCCCTTTCAGGAATCATGCAGGGGGTTTTGAGGATGTGCTAATCTAATCCAGATGCATTGGAAACGGGCAAGCTGCGTGTATATTTGGTGGGGACTCTCCAGAGTGCTATCCAGGGCTTCTGCTCCAAAAGACGGAAGGGGACTACAGATTAGACCATAGGATGTGCATTATAACATTCATGGGCGGCTATGTATGCAACACGGTCTCAACTATGCCCGAAATGAAAAAAAGACACTACTAGGTAGAGTGCAAGAAGTCGCATGTAAACCCCATCGTCTGTTCTTTTGCATGCAAACTCAAAACTGTACCAACTTTATTCCACACAAGAGCAGTAGAAACCCGTGACGTGAAACGGGAAAACGAGGCCAAGGAAAGCAAGAGAAGGAAGAAAGGGCGGACCGACTGGCTCATCATTATCCAACAAGGATGCTAACCAAAGCAGTGGTTTGATTCAGACTTGCTGGTCTGTTCCTGTCTGTGGGGGTGGGATGGGAATGTGGAGTTGGGACGTGTAGAGGATGATTATCTGACCACCAACCAAATGCGTGGGTTCTAGTGTTTTCTCTGTAAAAGAGTCGGTAAAAGAAAATAGACTATAGATTAGCTCTTCACCTCGGTTGATCCGCCTAGCTCCGGCCGGGCTCCTCCTCCTCTGGGCGCTATGGATGTTGTCCCCAACTAAGCCATGTTTCATGAAATCTTTGGTGACGAACGTCTCTCGTAGCTGCGTTCCAGTGGCTGCGGGTTCCTGCGGGTCTAGCCATGATGTGTGACAGGGGCCAAATGAGTGCGTGCGTGGCTTGGGTTGGCCAAAACAGGGTTGGGTGGCTTGGCCCTAGTTGGGCTTGGCGTCTTGATTCTTAGAGTTGTTGTTGATTGATTGCATCGGATTTCTCCGCCATGTGTGTGTGTCTCTCTTCTCTCTCTCTCTATCGTTGACATGCTGTAACGGTCGTCTTAATTCCTCTCCTTTTATTACACTTTATGCTTTAAACCTTTTAAACAAATCACACACTCGAGATTCCAAAGTAGTAGACCAATGACCGATAACGCGACCGTTATACATCACTGGAAAAGACATAGCGTTGGCGTGCCATTACTGCAGAACATTCCCAATTTATACTCGAGTGACGTCTTTATTGTATACGTCTCATATCAACCACTACACACAGAGGAATCATGCAGACAGAATGTCAAAATGTCGTCATCTTGATTGCTTGGCTGTCCATGTCAAATCCAGTCTGTCTTGATCGGGTTCTCCTTGCTGTCAGTAGTAGCAGTAGTAGCCACAGCATCAAGACCTTGACACACTGCATTACATCAGCCACGATAATGATGACAAGGCCACTCTCCTCAATTCCTTCACCCTCACAAACAAAATGCAACCTCAAGTATCATTCCCCCCCTTTTTTCTTTCCGCATCTTACTACTTTTTGTGTTTTTCCATTCGATCAACGAATGACCATGGACAGAGTCCAAGAGCCTCTCCACCGAAACCATCCTTGCTCACTGCGTAAGCTCTGTTTGGCCAGCCACCCCGCATTGGTCTCGGCGGTTAGAGGTCCCAAGAATAGCAGCATCACACCTTGGGAACCGGCATGACTACCCCTGCTAATACATATCTGCTCTGCTACTCTGGATATTACACGGTAGGAACTCGCTCGTTCCAACCCACTTTTGATATAGATACCAAGTAATAGATCTACCGAGCGCCCGGCAGACAAATCTCGTCACATTCACACACACATACTGTGTAATCACTCGCTACACTCTTTCCGGAAGACGTCGAGATCTACTTTGGGTTCGCTTGATACTCCCAAGTACTTGGTAGGCCAAAGAGTCGGCCAAGGAACAAACAAAACTTTCCTAAAAAAAAAAAAAAAAAAAAGGCTGATCCACTATCCCCATCCCTCGTGCCGTTCCACCCCCTCCCTATAAGCGCGAGGCACACCAACAACATTTCAACGCAACCATACAATCACATTTTTCCCCGTCCCGTCCCTGCATGTTGGTCTTGTCACCCTCTACTCCAGTCAGATCTCGTCGTATCCCACTACCGGCATGCAGCTGGATATTTTTATAACGCTGCATTCCTCACGGGTCTGTGTTTGTACATTTTCTCTCCCTTTTTTTACCGCAACGAAGACCCAAAGGAAATAGTGATTAAAATAGAAAGAAAGAAAAAGAACAGCAAGACCATGAAACTCGGACAAGCTGAAAAGACCCGACCGACATGACGAATTTCTCGTCCAAGAGAAGGACTCCTTGTCGCTAGTACACGCGCAGGGTCGGTGATTGGACAAATACACACTTGCCAACTACCTTTGCCAAGATGTGATAATGCCCGGCCCCGTCATGGACGCCTATGTCCTCTCAAAGTCAGTTCTATCTACCCCAAGAATAGATTCATCACACAATGATCAAAGCATCGTTATCATCTTGGCTAGACATGCCGAAAAACCGACGAGTCTTGTAATGTGAACATTCTTCCTTTGCGAATGGGTAATTTCACCCAATTGCCCATCTAGCAGGTAGTCAATTAGTCGACTTTGCTCATGAGGATAGGCAAGTTTTTTTGCCACCCAATACCGTTCAGCATAAACACAAAGTCTTACATTATTAGACTACTCTCAAGGTGGTCGCGATCGAGTCTATTGCTGGATCTTACTCTAACTTGTACCAAGCGCGGGCGGACACTAGGCCTGACTGATTCAGCAGATCTCGTCATCACCCTCTCCCTCCAAATCATAATTTCGTAATTCTTCCCATGCCATGACACAAACGAATGCAATTCAAAATCATACTAGTCTTTTCTCGTTCAGATGAACTGAAACAGTAAAGACGTGGGGAATCAAGAACCCAACCTTTGCGGAGTATCTTCCATTTCCATGTCCGACGCCTCTCACGCCTATGCTATGCATTGAACCATGCTGAAAGAAGAATTGAAATCATCTTTTCTCGCCCGCTCGCATCAGTAAAACAAAAAGAACACGCCGCGTGCTCGTCCAGGCAAGCACAAATTGTTTGTAATGGACACGCTTTCGAGTGACCCCAGACGGCTATCTTGGCCTCAATCAGAGTACCAGGTGCCCTGTCGATCCTCCAGTGCCGTTGGGCTCGGCAGCTATTTGCATATCTGCCACGTCCATCGGCTCCGACGATCCGACTGAATTCTCCCAATCTTGATCTTGTCAGTCAAGCACTCCTTCCAGGGTGTCAGACGGACTCAGTTTACTCACCAGAAGCCTCCTCCTCGATCTCATCAACCGCCAGACGGTCAAGTTCCATTCGCACTATCCCAAGCATTAGCAGTCATTTTATCTTAATGGGGGAGGGTGACATACCTGGCTTCAGCCTCTCGTAATCCGCGTTGCATCGAGTGGCAATTCCATTATAGGTCGGCGTAAAATAGCCCTCGCCCCGATCAATATGCTCTAGCAGAGTGGCAATCGCTCCCCTAGGCGCCTGCAGACTGCTTGAAACATACCTGTTGTTCAGATAGGTCAAACATGAAACCGTGAGCATCTTGCAGAATTTGACACGAGCGCGGGCTGCCTCAGAAATACCGCCTTCGCTGTTGTGGTCATTATAGTTGTCCAACCATGACCAAAGCATATGCTTCAACATCAGGTCCGTTTCCAAACGTACATTCAGATCGGCAAACCCAAGAAGGGTCGGTGCCCAAGACTGCAAGAGATTCAGGGCGGAGGTTTGCACCGGACTGAAATTGGTGTCCTCTCCCGGTCGTCTCGGTACTTGAAAGACCAGTCTAAAGAAGTTGAAAAAGGCCATTCCATCGGTAGCAGGGGCCAGTGTCCGACACTGGTCGCAGACATGCCTGATCAACCCTTGGGCACGGTCTTCACTTTGGCTCCATCGCAAGTAGAATAGGATACCTTGAAGATAAAGGGGAGTCGTTGGAGTCGTTGGTGGGTCTTGCTGCTGCCAACTGTTGTTGAAGCCTTCTACGAGAGTCATGAAGACCTTTTCGTCCATCTCGTGGCCAAGCTCCAGGATTTTGCGGAGTATGGATTCTGTAGACACGGGATTCTGGTTCAATAGTACAAGTTTATCGACCAAGAGGCTGTTACGCGTACGAGTGTCCGGCTTTTCTCTGTGGAGTTGATTAACCTCCTCGACCGTGTACGGAAGCGGCTGCTCGTCCAGAGCCACTTGCAAGCGGCCGCTTGAAGTCTCCATGATGATCTGATTTGCCAAATCACTGTCCAAAAGGTTCATGAGAATGTCAATGAGACTGATAATGGCTTCGTAGTTGGGTGGCCGCGGTCTCCGACCCAAAGTCGAAGCTAGCCGCATATACTGTGCAGCAAGCTCTTGCTCTGTGGCATCTGCGATGATGATGAAGAAAAGTTTGGCAAGATAGCCTTCTTCGAGAAGAGCAGCCCCCTCCAGTTTCGACATTGACGCAAATCTGGCCATGGTTCCAAAGAACTCGGGCCACGCGCGAAGACTCGTGTGGAATGAATCCCAAAGAGTATTGAAAATACTCACAGCGTCTGTGAGGATGCATGGTCGGGCTTCGTGTATAGCCAGGTCTTCATCCTCGGTATCTGCGTCCGGCGGGTTATACTCCTCGGAGCACGCATCTTTGATTGTCTTCAAAACGTATATGAAGAGATCCCCAGTGGATTGCCGGACAATGGGGGAGGCATTCTTCACGAGGAGCATACGAAGTGCCTCTGTTCTGACCTTGAAGAAATCAAAGAAAGCAAGACAACAGCTGACACATTTCTCGCACGCCTGGCGTATCTGTGAGAAAAGTGGCAGGAAATCTGGAGTGTCCTGAGCGCGAGCTGCAATCTGATCCAGGTGACCCAATGCCACTTGCATTGCCAGATCTTCGGTCTTGTGGTCACGGGAACAGGTATGCTCCCATGTACGATCGAGTAGCATCTGCGCAAACTTGATTGTGGAGTTATCATTGGTACAATAGCGGTGAATGATGTCCCGGTTGTCTTCATTGATTAGATCTGCGATGGGATTCCGAGGCTCGATCCGAACGGGGTGGCTTTGACCACTGTTTTGAAGGTCTGCGTGGTCTTTCATGAGGGTAGAAGCCCTTTGGTAGAAGAGCATGTATGCACTGTATCCCTTCTCGAATCCGAGTCCGCCGTCAAATCGAGAAGAGTTATCTCTGCCGCCAAAGCATGAATTTGCGAGATTCACCGGGTCCCAGGCAGTCACGTTGTCGTCGTTGAACTCAAACCACGGCTGTGTGCCATCAGAGGTTGGTCGCTCGCGAATGTAGGAATAATAGTGGCCAGACTCGGCAGTTCCCGAATGAACCAAAACACCGACAAGTTCGAAAACATCAGGCGTGGTTTCGCTGGAAGTGTCATTCAGATGCTCAACCGTGAAAGGGCTCAAATCGATCTCGGTGGGAAATTCAAAGTGATCGTTAATCTTGCTGCGCTGCAGAGTTCTGAGATCGAAACCGAACCTCTTCAAGTGGAAGATCAAATGGTCAGGAATTTCTTTGAGGCAAGCTCGTTTCACAGCATCAACGTGGCGATCGCAACTCCCACACTTATACTTGTTGTCCCCTTCCATAACTTCGCCATCCACATAGGCCTGCAGACTTTCCTGTAGACTGGATATGCCTTTGACATCGCATTGAATTGCAGAGAATGGTTCGGTTCGCTCCGAGATGTGTTCGCATTCCTTGGATTTGACTTGTTGCACGAGTTGACCACCATATATTGATCGTAGGTCCGCTTTGGCGCGGTCTGTTGGCATCTGCGACTCCCATCTGTCAAATAAGAGGTTGTAGAACTCATCAACGTCCATTTGGGTGTGAATATCGATGGGTGTGTCGTCGTAGTTCATGATTTGCTGAACACACATTGTGGGATCAATCGATCTACGTATGCTGTCTTGAAGTTCTGCGAACAGCGTCTGCGTATATTGCAGAAGATGATGATCGCGGCCTGTACATGGCACTTGCAACATGAATCGTCTGAAATGTACGTTCATGAATAGCTGCGTGAACAATGAGTTCAGGTAGCAAGTGTTAGACAGGTTTCTGAGTCCTGCATGGCCACCTGGAGTCCTGATAGCCCTCATCCGATCAAATCCTTGTGGGAGATCGTACAAGTAAGGATTACTAGGCTCTTCTGGGTTGTATTCCACCAACATGCCCAATGTTTGAAGCATGATACGCTGTTGCTCCCTGCTATCTTTGACAAGTTGATAGAGAATTTCGAATAGCAATATTCGATTTTCCTGTGTCAAGAAGACTCGGGGAGCTTTGGTGTCTTTCGAGCGTAGGCCGGGGAAAATATGCACCGTGAGAAGCTTGCGGGCGAAAGTGGGAGGGAATGCTATGCTCCCACTCTGGTCAAAGCATTTGACGCCGTAATGCAACAACTTCAATATTCCATAAGCGACCATGTCCACTCTATCTGGATTTGTGATGACCTCGGTGCTTGAATGGGCAAAGATTAGCTGGATGCATTGTGTCAAGTATGCCTCGATGTTTAGCACCGCAGATTTAGCCTGGAACAGTATGTCGACCAGCAATGACAGAAGAGAAAAAACTTCTTCGGATTGGGTTGGCTGAAGCGCGGCCTGAGGCAGCAGTTCGAATATGAAAGGCCAGAATATTTCGGTAAATTCCAGCGCCGAGGTGCTAGAGCCTGCCCGAGTGAAGGAGCACTTAGCCCTGATGACCTTTTCTGTGCCCTTCCGTACGACTGGTCGAACATCGCGAAGAAGAAGGTCCTGGATGAGTTTTTTGCTTGTTGAACTTTCACAAAACAATCCCCAGAATGACTCGCTGAGCGAACAGCATTGAAGCAAAGCATTCAGCGCGCGATTGATGGCTTCTACAGCATACTGAGCATGTTGCGCTGCGGAAGCCTCGGATAGCAGGGCCGCCAGCCGGTCATGAAGTTTCCTTGTAAGGAAATGTTCAACCATGCGCACATCATCCAAGCCTGTGGCTGTGTGAGAAATGATCACAGGTAACGCGTCAAGGGAAAACATACCAGTCAATAGCTGGACAAAAGTATCCAGGAGACGAAAATTCAACTCGCATCGCAGCGATTCATTTGGACAGCCATTGATGACTTGAGGGTCCTCAATCGCGGCAACAACCAGTGACATTGTCTTCAAAAGACTTTCCTTTTGGCCTGGTATCTCACTGCTGTCATTCTCTGTACCTTTTGCGTGAATCGCCAGAGACCTTAGACGCCGCGTGTTCAGGTATTCACGCAAGGCATGGATTGTGTATAAGCACTTGAAAGGCTCTCCCAGGGGGAAAACATCCAAATGCGATGTAGCTGGATCCTCCAAAGCCTCTAGAACCGACCCATCTGCCGGAAGCTTGACCAGAAAATGGTAAATCTAAGGAACGCTAGTCAGTAATGAAACATAGTGGTAGGAATGGAGGACAAGCTCACCTCTTTGGCGATCTTCTCCTCCATGCTCAAATAGTTCCACAAGGCCCGGAAATGGCCCAAAATCTCGATCTCCAATGGAGAAGCACCTGGTTTGATATTGGTAGGTGTGGACGCATTATCGGACTCTTTCTTCACCAAGAGAAGACCGTGGTGGATGTTGAGGTCTTCGAGAGACTTGCAGATCTGATCTTCCGTCGGCGTCAGTAACTTTCCGCGGTAGAAGATGCGGTAGTTACTGAAGCCAGTGACCTCCCGTATGCTGGCAAGTAAAGAAGCAGCTGTATTCTGTTTGCCAATTGCAAGGGGCTTCATGTCTGTCTGTCGAGTTCCATCAAACGATTGGACCTTGAGTTCTGCAGATGCGCCCTCAACAATACTGGGAGATTGCAGCATCAGCGGTCGAAGGTCCGGGGCTGCGAAATGATGAGACCCGTTCTGCAGGACTGCGACAAACTCGCGAAGGACGAGAAGCGACCTTGTAAATTTGAGCTCCTGAATGTATAAGCTATGGTCATCATTAGACACAGTCATGTCATCATGGTCCTTGGCGTTTGCTGCATCGCTTGAGAGTAGTTCCTTGGCAGCGTCTTCCATCTGGTTGAAGCATCTTTCTACGAGCGCAAGGTGTACTTTGCGTGCTCGATCCAATGGGAACGAGTTGATTCCCTTGCCCTTGACATAAATATCGTTTACGAGGACATGAATTGCGTCCGCTTCGATCGTCTGGGGCAAAGCAGTAAGAATCATTTGCCACAAAAGTCCGACGGCGCCGGCGTTGTCACTGAGTTCCTTCTCCAGAGCTGTATCTGTCGCATTTTCTGCGATTGGGACCAGGATCCCGCGCAAAAATTGTAGCGTGCCAGGACAGTACAAAAGAGGAGATAGACGCGGAAGATGCTCTTTCAAACACTGCTTCAGAAAAGCGTTTTCAGAGGTGATTGATCCCTGCGCAACGTTCAGAGACTGCCAGCCCACCACCCTGTCATTGTGAGATAACGCTTTCTCACCAACGAGCAGATGCCAAAACTGTTCCACGTATATGCGGTCAATTGCACTGCCATGTCTCGCAATAACTTGCTCAATCAAGTAGCGGCGCGCATTACCCAAGACGGTAGCATAAACCGAATTGGTGCCATGCGCACGTGCGATGGAAATAGTAGTTTCCAGATCTTCTGCAAGCAACCGCGGGAACTCGTGCTCCGCAACAAGATTAGCAAGCTCGCGATCGAGACCGGGTCGGATGAGGCGGAATAGGACATTTAGACTTCCGGCAGTGCTAGAGCTCCTCGATGAGATATCGCGAAGACACTCTGTTCGCAAATCCTGTCGCAGAAGATCTGAGGCTGGACTGAGCTGCACAAGTTCCATTAGCTTCATGGAAGCAAAGTCGAACACGTCCATATGCTCCGAGATTCCTTGCGAGTTGAGAACCGAGGACTCTTGGATCAACCGCAAACACCATTTGGTAATGCTGGAGATGGCATCGGTTGATTTTTGTGTGGCTGTCTTGATAATGGTCTCCAAAAGTTCTCGCATGTGTGAATTGAAGGCCTCGACAGGGAGTCCCTGCATCTTTCCTATGAGATGTGCCAGAGGCTCTCGTCCGAAATGGCTCGCGGTTCTTGTCATCATCTTGACGAGCGCCTCCAAGATCCTGGGATCCTGAGCGGTGGTGATAGTCTGCCAGAACAAATCCGTGTGGCGCGCTTCGTACGTCTCGGTGACGGCTAAAAAGCCAATGATGTTGTATGCTTCCACAATAATTTCGGGATGACATGTAGGGCCCAGCAGATATTCGATAAGCCCAGTATCTCTCAGCAGCTTGGAAAGGTGCCGCAAATAGTCCGGCATGGCACCTTCGCGATATGGCTCCTGGCTCCTCTGCCATTCCGAAACGAGGTGAGTGCTCAAGAAGCCTAGGGATACAACGCGCAACTGCATTTGACTAGACTTGATCATCTTGCTGAGTTGTTGAAACCGCCATCTGTTCACAATGGCGTCAACAGTGTAGAGGCCTGGCAATGTTGGGTTGTCCTTTCGGTAATTCAGAATTGCATCTGTGGCGGCCTTGTGGGATCCCAGTAATCCGGCCATTGACAAATTAGCCAGGTACGTCATGGTCGTCATGGCCAGATCCGCCGCGAAGTGATTAGCAGAATTATCAACCACATTGCTCAAAGCAGTTGAGACAGTTCTAAACAATGTCAAGGCCATGGTAGTGTTTTGCGGGGACCGCAATCGCAGCTCCGAACCGCTTGCTGCGGCCATTGTCGGATATCGTTGGTGTTCGGATTCCCGTACAATGCAATCGCCGAGAGCACAAATCTGATTGAAGTACTCCATCAATTTTCTCGGCTGGACGCTTGGGTGGTTTGCAGCCATATTGGCCAGTGCGACTAGTCCGGCCATGGCTGCATCGTTGAAGTCAGGGCCATGCTGCCGGGCTATTTCATCCTGGAACAAGCACAAAAGCCTAATTCTATCAGGTATAGCATCTACGTGGTACCCATTCTGTATCTGGTATTTCTCACTCGGGCGAGAGGTGATGGTAGCAAGGGCGTGAAGTAGGCCTGGTGAAAGCAGCTCGAACGCGCCCGAGGTGGAATCTGCAAGCAGGAGCAGGTCCAACTTGATCAAATGAGCACAAAGCCGTGGTAGTTGTAAGAAGAAAGTTGTGCCAAGGTCCCGAATGGTGGCATTCTTGGAAAGGACATTTCTGGAAGTTGTTAGCTCGTGACACAGGTAAGACATGCAAGTCGTTATGATTTGTTGATCACATACCTGCGCGAATAGACATTCAAAAAGAGCTCGGGCATTTGTTGCCAGAACATGCGAACATCGTCTGCCGACTTAACAATCACGGCAGCGCCCTCAGCAACGTGATCGTCAGAAGTGGTGTTATCCAAATACTGCCTGAACCAGTCTCTGAGCTTCTGAACAACTTCATCAAGTGGATGCGGTTGTTGAAAGAAGATAGTGATCTGGCGGACAGTTTGACATAGACTTTCCTTTGTATCATGATAGGGAAACGTCATGAATGTGCCGCCGATATCTGCCGGGTTTGAGACAGGTTGGACATGAATGAGCTCCACATCATCATCGTCGTCGTCTTCTTCTTCTCCTTCATCTTCCATCTCCTCTTCATCTTGTATCAGATTGATTTCCGGATCTTCTGAGCTTGTGCTAGGTGATGGGGAAGAAGGCACGGATTGAACCTCTGCCCCGGTGGGCAATGGATGCCTAGACTCCATTTCGGACGGTTCCACGCTGAGCTTGACATGTTCGGTATCAAGGTGTCCAGGGGTCGGCGATGGAGGAGCTTGTTCCCCCTCGTCCACATTGTTAATATTCCGTAAGTTGATGGTAACCTTACTAGAGTGAGGTTCGGCAGGGGGTGTCTCAGCAGGGAGGTCGGATTGGGGCGGCGTGCTTGGGGGAGGCTGCTCTGGGGTATCTATGGCCATGTTGGAATCGTTGGCAGACATGGCCGGCAGTCGAGTGCGAGGCTGCGACGGCAGTGACTCTAGGGATCTGCTTCTCGATCCAGCCATGGAGGTGCGGCGACGCTTTCGTGCAGAATCGTTGCCGTCGCCGACAAAAGGATAAGGTCGCGTAGAGCTGGGCTCAGAGGAGACGGCTCGTTCTCGCGACTCCTCTGTTCTTGAGTCTTGTTCCATCTGGCTGGCAACGGGGAGGAAGGGATGAGCGTCGTTGCCGTCGAAGCTTGAGGCGTTCGCGCGAGAAGGCTCGGCGGCTTGCAGGCTCCAGAATTAGCATGTGGGTTGACTGGAATGTGCGGGGTGAAACTGGAGTATCGATGAGGATTGCTTGCAAGGAAAAAAAAGATACAAGGTGATCGAGACGGGCAGAAGGGAATCTCGCAGATAGTTTGATGCTTGTTGAACCAGAGATAGTGCCAGAAGCGTCTTGAAAGCTGCGGGCTACTACCTTAGTAGTGACAAGTAGAAGTAGACTAGGCTGAAGCTGCAGCGATGATCAAGGGGAGCTCTCTCTAGCTTAACTTTTTGGTGGTGAATCAAGCAGTGACGCAGGACGCGACTGGATCACGCTAGAGGTGGGGGGGTGAAATACATTAAAAGAAGAGGGGCCCTGGATGGGGGGAAACGCGGGCTGGCGGGAGCTGTCAAAAATGGTCGCCGCCGAGTGCACTAAGAAAAATAAAGATGCACTCACTGTGGGGATCTGGAGAGATCTGATGTTTAGCGGGAACCCAGAGCTGTCTCCAGCCTGGCGGCGTGCCTCTTGTAAGGCCCAGGTGGGAGTGTAAAATGTAGAACAAAGGAGTCAAGCTCAGATAATAATCTTTGGCCCCTTGCGCTGGCGGCGCGTTTGGGAATAGTACAAAATAGTGTATGTAGTATGGATGTGTTGCGCCAAATCTGTAAGTAAAGAAGAGTCAATGCTTTGGGGGCCACAAGTCACAGGATTGGAGCCACAAGAGATCCAAACCTGGAGTTGTTCTTCGCTTGGCGATCTGCCACTCAGATCTGCCCTTGCCCACTACGTATGTACCTGGTAGTATTGAGGCTGACCAGGGTCGGGTCCGAGCAGGAGCAGTGGGTTTATGGAGAATGTGCGACGGAAGGACCCAATGCGACGGCAGTCGCAGTGTGTGAGAAGCGGGCTGTTTGATACCTAGCCAGAGGAACCTTGAATGTTCACACAGGTGAAAAATTTGCGGCTCTGTGCAGATGGGGGTGCAGCTCTCTATTTATCATGTTTGTGTTGGTTGGTCGGTCCAAGAACGCTTCTGTGCAATCTAGGTACGAATGGGAATTCGATGGACCAAAATGGTGAAGTGTCCAATGTTCTCTTGCTATCTTTTTATCATTTGCGTTAAGCTTTTGGGATGAGTGTCTGAACGGCTTGCCAAAGTCCGGATGGTTAAAGGCAAAATCGAAGTCCTTGCCTGTCTGCGATAATCCATTGACGGCTCTCATTGATCAATTGATACGCAATATTTGGCTGCTATGAAACCTTGGGACCCCTGGAGCTTTCTAAGTGCAGGCCCAAGGTACAAGGTACCAAACTCACCTTTTTCCGCTAACGTCCGTTGGGGCACCGCTTGGGCAGATGCAGCCTGGGCGTATTGTCCACTACATTAGCTTGTAGTAGAGGGGAACATTGAGCCCATCAATGCTCATAATGTCTAGATAGCGGGCATCAATGTTAGGAACCTTGAAAGGTTTCTAGAATTGCCCTCTGCTTCTTCTTCTCCTTCTTCTTCTTCTTCTTCTTCTCTCCTACCTACGTTGTCGACTTTTCACAAACACCTAGGCAAGTTTTTAAGTAGACACCTTTTTTTTTTTTTTTGTCTAGCCCTACATGCAACTGTTGTCAATGAATATTACGTAGATTCAAGACATCATCAATGCTAATTGGTGGCAAGGCTAGACAAGAACATGTATGTTACACAAGTATCTGCACCTCCTTGTGGATATTAGGTAATCCGGTGCATAGCACAGGGCCCCTTGCAACTCAAAAGGCGTCCGTCATGACACATACTCGGGTAAGTCATGTAGGCATATTATGTGTGTATTGTCACTTTGCGATCAACTGAAGGGTGGCTTGCCACAACTCGCACCTGAGCTGTAGGTTTCAGTTGGTGCCGCATCTAAGTTCTGTCAATGAATTCAGAACGGCCATTGGAATGCTTTTTCCTGCGGACCTACAAGAGGGACTTCGTTTGTGATTTCGGGTCTGGCACGGGCTTGGCCAGCTCCGGTGCGGGATGGTCATCTTTCTTGACAGCTTTCGTCTATGTTCACATGGTTTGACTTTGGTATGTCACATGCTTTTTTGGTCATCTTTACAATTTCTGCCTAGGAGACGAGGAATTTGGATGAACGGTACAATGTCAAGATCTCGTGATGGGCTTTGATAGGCGCTCAGTAGAGGAGAAAAGCCATCTATGATTTTCTCCTCATTGTCATAATGTGCTCAGAATTATATAACTCAGCAAATGCTAACCCACGTCTGCATGCATAAGTGTAAACAATATGCCGCCAACATACAGCTTGAGGACCCTTGATTATCCCCGATGTCATGTATCTAGGGTCTAACGTCCCGCCTTTCAAAAAAAAGAAAAAAAAAAAAAAAAGAAATTTCAAGCCTCGGGGTGAAATCTAACAGCTCGGTGCGAACAATGCCATCATCGTGGTCCATCCGTATTTGCCTGAATCTTGTAGATTTGATCTATACTAGGTACACATGTCACTGATATCGGGTTTTGCTGGTCTGCTGATTGGCGCAGTCATGTCAAAAGAAGCATACAATGTACCCAACCTAGGTACCACGAAGGTCGAAGCATTGTCTAGCGAAGAATGAACGTTGTTGAAGTTGCTACACTTATCCGATGACGAACGATGATTGTTGATATCTGAATCAAACGATTTTATCATCATTGAAAGGAGAGGGTGGGAAACACGTTTTGGTTGAGGTTCTGGGCCTAGCAAGTACATACATTACACAGTCGGTGCCTTTCAGCTAGAGCCTATCGGAACGACTCCTGCAACTGGCGCAAGATTGGGTCAGTTGGGGGAGGATCCACCAACCTAAAAACTTCTTGCCATCAATGATCCAGTCAATGATCCGAGCCTCGAAGTACATTCTCAGCCTGCCGCAAGTTCACGTACCATATGCCCATTTGAAAGATCTGAAAGACTCGGTAATCAACATCCGCGCTTTCCCCCGAAATCACACCGAGTTGCTCACCGAGAACGTCATTGCAGCGCATCATTGGATTCCCACCGCATCATGGAGAAGAAGAAGCTCGTATTTCAGCTCGATACGCCGTATTCAGTGGCTTCATGGTCTGTTCCCGTTTGCTTGCCCTCCCCGCCCTAAACACATGATAACTTACTGTTGCGCGTCTAGGCCTCTGATTACGCAGGGAGATCAAGATACAATTTTAGAACTTTTGTGCACGTGAGTCATTACCTGCCCAGAAGGACCTTGTGGGCATCCAGTCACTCGGCTACAAATGCCCACTGCCGACTGCCAACTGCCAACTGCATTTGTACCTGATGTGCTCGGGGGCTTAATCATGTGCAACTATGCCGTCTTCAAGGCTGACCAACCTTGCTAGCCTTCTCGCCCCGATTGGAAACCACCGACTGGAGCATATCAAACCCTCCAAGGGTAGTAGAGAGAGAAAGAGAAAGCGCAAAGAAGCCGCAAAACCATCAGCAGATCATCTGCCAGTTGTTCCACCGGCCCCAGAAATTGGCTCTTTTGTCGACGTGGGCCTCGCGGTTGTAACTCGGTCATTGGAGAGCGTTGTCGCCCAGAAGCCCGACGAAGAGAGCGTGATCATTGAGGAGACAATGACTGACGAGACCCATCCACAAACAAACTCAAGTTCAATACCTTACTCGGCGGTATTTGTTGCTCGTTCTGACCAACCGAGCGTTCTGAACAGTCACCTTCCTCAGATTCTGGCAGCTGCATCGCTCAGAGACCCCACTCGTGAGCCGATACGACTCGTTGGTCTTTCCAAAACTTGCCAGGATCGGTTGTCACTGGCTTTAGGCATACCGCGGGTTTCGGTCATCGGACTTCGTAAAGATGCCCCCAACTCCAAAGCACTTGTCGATTTTACATGCCAACACGTGCCCGCCATAGAGGTACCTTGGCTCAAGGAGGCTCAAAAACTCGAATTTCGGGATACCAAAATCAACGCGATTGAAACGTTTGTAGGGCAGAGGCAGAAGGGCAAAAGGGGATTCGGAGTATCGGAGAAACCATAGGTGCATGGAAAAGTACGCTTCCCCGTGATGAAGTTGTCTGCACGGGACCCTGGAAGTCGCCAGGGAATGATGCACTTCGGCGACCAGCAAAGTCCCGGGGCGGCTCAAAGGAAGCTTGCCTCTTGTCGTGGATGATTTGTTGGGATATCATGTGCTGCGGCGATTTCCCAACATTATAACCTTATTTCCATTGCCATTATTTTCATCGGGAAAATGTGGCGGAAAAGCACTTGATGGGTTGCCGAGGACATGGTGCTCTCAAGGGCCACCACGACGGCCACAAGGCCAATAATCATCTCAAGTGCTACCCGACATGGGAATCACAACAAGAAAAGCGGGACACAGTACAGTCTTGAGTTGGTGTCTCCAATCTTGCACTCTGAGGCACGAGAAGAACTAGCGGGGTGTGTTATTCTGTATAATACAGCTATGGAATGAATTCCAGTTTCTCCTGGAGAAAGCCATGTAGATGTAGATCTTGGCCAGGATGCCCTTTGTTCGAATATTGATCTCATTCCTTTACTTGCTTGCCGCGGGACATTTCGGTAGGCCAAAATTTTGCGAGACCAACGATCACCATGGCATTGGCTCGGGGGATTCTTCTTGGTCTTGCGTCACGTATCATCTCGATTACGCCCACACGGCTTTGCGTTTTTGTGGTATTTGGGCAAGCTTGGCAGGTTGATATGCGTTGTCACCGGTTAGAAGGTCAGCGGAACCGGGCCGTTGAATCCTCCTACTCTGATTTTGCCAACATCCCTCTGTAGTTTACCAAAGGAGATTTGACCTTTAAGACGACTGACCGTGTCTATTGCAACTGCGCGCGCGATGCCATTTGAAAATTTCCTTGCGATTGTTGAAAGCCTTGTGCTACTCCCGTCGGTCAGGTTTTCTCTTATGATGCATTGGAACACTTTTTCATGATAGAGGTGATGGCCGCTGACATAGCGTAAGGATGAATCCTTGATCTGGATCTTTTCCGGGACGACAGGTGCGATCCAATACAGATAGGAAGAGTTCGGTCTCTCTACACAGTTTCTCTCCTGCTGAGACGTGTTTGACGACGGATGTGTGCGTAGCGCAACGGGGACTGTGGAGTATAACATCAACACAGGGCTAGTCTTCGGGTATTTGCATTTCACCGCAAGTTACAAACTGGCCAGGCTTGTTATCTTTCGAGTCCAAAGAACTTGGGATCGATAAATCTGAGCTTATAGTTGTGAGTCTTTTTCGACGGCTTCATGTATGCTCCTGATCTAAGGTATCATTTCAAACCAGGGACATGGTCTCTCCCCTTGGTTTTGGTTGTGTTCTGGTGCCTTAGAGGGCAATCATGTCTCTCACACATGACTTTTGTTCCTTGCAGAACAGAAGACGTGCCTAACATATGAGCATTTGCCTTGGGCAGCATCTGCCAAGTTTTTATGAGGATTATACACGATATTGCAGTAATTACAAACGTTTCGCCGTTACCGCCTCGACAAATACAGACACATGCATCGCTAAACTTGTTCCTCTCGACGACAACCCATAAGTCTCGGCATCAAATTCAGTTGAGCTCATCGTCACAGTGACCGTCGTCTCGTCGTTCTTTCCTTCCAGACTGACGATAATAGGCAGCTGCGGGTTCTTGCCTCTGTTTCCCCAGAGCCTTCTTTAGTGGCCACACATTTCTTTGATTCCCTTCATCTGAAAACAAAAAGAAACAAATCCTCCTTGAGCCATCATCACCCGCCTGGAGCTCCCTCACACTCTGTCCATCAGTCTTATCCACGAACTGTGATTCCCCTTCATATCGTATCAGCGAGCATCCTTTGATATTCAAGCCGTCTGAGGGCACAGAAATTTGGTCTATCCTTCAATCCCATATTCTGGCCCCGTTTGCTGGTTGCTGTACCTGCAGCTTTCCACAACACCCTAAACAGCAGGCAAGAATAACCACAACCCACATTTCCCATCCATCAAACAACACCAAATCATTGCCAGGAACTACAGTGATGCAGTCTCTCTTCTACCGATCGAATCGAATAGATTGATCTTTCATCGGCTCTAGACCACGGGATTATCACCAACAGCCAAGATGTCTCGTCAACTCAGCCAGAACCAAGATCTCAGCATGGCTAAGGCGCTTCAAGCTGAGTTCGCCAAGAACCGCAGCAGCTCTGGCAATGGCCGTGGTGGCAGTGGTGGTTCCCGCGGTCGCCGAGGCGGAAGTCCCATGGTTCCTTCACGAGTCAGCTCGCACTCAAACACTGTCCCGATGTTCTCTGCCTCGTCGTATACAGCACGTCAGGGCGTTGGCATATCTTTCCCTGGGCGTGGAGGATTTTCACCTGCTGCAGCAGCAAGCGTCACCTCATCTTCCAGCTCTTATCGTCAAGAGCATCAGCCTCCTTCGCAGATCAACCGCCAAGAGAACCAGCCCATCTCGCACACCATGCAATCCCAACTCCCAGTTCAGGACTGTGGCGACACATCCACGAGCCATGATATCGAGATGTCCGATGGAGAAGTCACTTCGAGCACCCAGAATCTTGGCCAGAAGTTGAGAGTTTCCAAACATGGAGGCATGGAGCAGTCCAGATGGGCACAAACTGGCCGACCAGAGGTGAGCGGCCGACGAGAGGTAAGCGACCGTCAAGATCAGGCCGCAGAATTCGACCGTGTAGGTATCCTCCCTGATGTCTGAGGGACAGAACTAACATATACCGCAGAGGATGAAGAACTGGATTCCGACTCACGTCGCTCAGTAAGTATCTGAGGTCTTCTCTCAAATCATGCCTGTAGTCTAACCCCCAACAATCCATGGTTTTCAGAGCTGGCCTGCACTATTTGAGCCATGACCCATATTTCTTTCCAAGCTTTTATCCCTCTGTAAAAATCAGTGTATAGGCGTTTACTAATTTAAGAATTTCTGCAGTCCAACTCCGTCGCCATCCCATCTGGCTCAGGACATCCAGAGTCGTTCTCAGACCATGTATCATGGAACAACCCCGACTTCCCACGGAAACGTCCTCGACGCCGACCAAAGAAATGCATCTTCGGTTGGTACTCGACGTGTCGCACCTAATGGCGGCATGGCCAGTTCCCAATGGGCAAACTAAACCCCGACAATAGTTTGTAAGGCAAACTATCTTCTAACATATGTCCACTTGGTGGAACATGTACAGTCGTTTTTCACGGAGCGGTTTGCGACCGCAATTCTGCCATGTTCTATTTGTTTTCTCGTCTCTTTCGTTCCATGGCGGCATTGTTTCGGAACCCATGTGTTTTGACTTATGAGCTGACGATTCCCCCCATCGGATGTTTTCTGCTTTGGGGGCATTTCCCATGCACTGCCATTTTCTTACTCATGTTACGGCAATCAGAAGACTTTAGGGGGGGTAAAGGTAATCGGAACTCTACCAACAGGTGTTCTAGGCATCTACATTGCACCAAGCGACTGAATGGACATCTCAACCGAGGTCGCATGCTGCAGCATCCTAGCGAACACTCCTACGGAGATACGATAACGTCATGTCCGAGTCTCACAGACTGATACATTACGAACATTTGTTCACAGGTTCTTTGACCGGATGCATAGCAACGTGAGCATTCCGGTTACAGCACTACTTCTGCTTGTCCTAAGGTTGTCGAGTCTTCACATTACACCAGAACTCGATGGGAATGCAAAGTGCATGGACATATGTGTTTGTGATGAGGAATGGATGGGTGGCTCGTATTTGTGGTCCTCGATACTTGAGCGCATGTACGTAAATAATATCTTTACGGACAAAAAAAATAAAGGGAGTAGCATAAAATGAATGTGACAGGCTCAGCACAAGGCACGCCTATAATGTCCCAACTTGCTCTTCGTAGGTGACAACCCATATTACAAAAATCAGACTTTGCAAATGGCTTGTGATCTATCTATATCTAATACTGCTCCAAGACAGTGTTAATCTCTAGCTGCGAATCGCGAGGCCACATGAAAGGGCCGTATCATCATGACAGGATTCAACAGTGAGTTAACAAATTGAGATGAGATTGTAGACCCGACTAAGCCATTATACCACAGAAGAAGTCCTTCCAGTCATCGGGTATCATCTGTTCTTGAGGTCTCTGATGAAATTCAGAATCCTCGAATGGGGCCACAACTGATCCAAAACATCTTATGAATTACTGGTTCTTATTCTATCACTTTCTTTTCTCTACTGCATGGTATTTGAAGAATTAGAAATCCCCCCCCCATCTATTTACCGCCCGCTATTGCCAAACGTCTTCTCGACAATGCGCACACCCTCGCGCACCTTGGGACAATAGTGGCGGCGCAAAATCTCGCCCTCCCAGATGGTCGAGGCAAAGGGATTGGCGCCCTCGACGCTCTGGGACAGCGGGTTAAAGGTGCCGTCGCCCTTGCGCTCCTCGGTATTCCACAGCCCGGCAATCTTCTTGCCGTGCGTGCCGCCCACGTCGGCGAGCAGCGCCAGGATGGCCTGGGTGGACTTTTCGGGCGTGTGCAGCGCCGACATCATGAGCTGCTTGGTAAAGGAGGCGAGGCGCAGCGGCGGGACGCTGCGAATGTTCCAGGGCGGCAGCAGGATCGAGGTCAGGCACCGGACCAGGAGGACCGTCGTGGTCTGGAGGTTGACCTTGTTGCGCGAGGTCGACTTGGCGGCGGCGGTCTGGGTCGGGGCATCAGGGTCTGGCAGGTGCAGCGACTTGGCGCCGAGCTCGAGATCTGGGTGCACAGACAGCGGGAGCAGCGTCTGGTACAAATGTGTCGTGAAGAAGGACAGATCGAGGTGGAGATCTGACCGGGCATTGTGCGCGTCTTGGCCTGCGAGCAGGGCGAATGCAGTCACCGTGCACAGGAGAGCCTCGCGAGTGGTGTCGCGGCTTGGGGGCGGGGGCGCCTCGTCGTCTTCTGCCTCGTCCTCGTCTGCCGCCGCGTCGCTGTGCCGGATCAGGTCCTTGAGCGCCTCTAGCAAGTCTCCGAAGAAGTCTTGATTGATGAGATGTGCGTACTTGGCCAAACCCTCGAGGACTGCGCCCATGAGATGCGGCACGCGAGCCTTGAGGATCCGGAAGTAGGAAGCAAAAACAAGTTTGAGGGTATCCGATTGCATGCGATCCCGCTCCTCGTGGCTCACCAGCGCGTCAGCTGTTGCCATGTCCTTTTCGAGCGCCTTGACCTCGCGCATTGCTTTCTTTTGCTTTTTCGTTCGGAACTCCTTCTTGTACTTTGGCTTCTTGGCGGGTCCATCTTCGTGATCTCGCTCCACCTGGTCCTTGGACGCCTTGCCAGAGAACTCGGACAACAGTCGCAAGTGGAGAAAAAGGTTGACCACGCTCTCGTCAACGTGGTACTCTCGTGCCTTCATCATCTTTGACAGGAGCGAAACAGCCTCCATTGCCGGACGGCCTTCCTCATCCTCTTGAAACACGGTCTCGAGGGCCCTGAGGCACTTTTCAAAGTCTCCATCCACTCGGCGGGTGCTGAGCTTCCCTACGAGGATTTTGATCAGATCGCTGCGAAAGTTGAAGTGCGGTACCGAAGTCAAGAGAGTGCAAGCACATGTGATGGCGATGCTGGAGATGCTTTGGCCCTTGGTCGGCTCTTGATTCCTGCCGGCCTTTGCATGCTTTGCCAGCTCCCTCACGTATCCCTGGTACCCAGAGACAAGGGCTTGCTCGTAAGATCGTAAACTCCTGACGTCCTTGGACAGCTTTTCCTGCGGCGCGTCTTCTTCTGCTTGCCTGATTCGGTATCCCGGAATAACGTCCTTATAAACGGCAAGTTGTGTAGCCAATGCCAGCTTCACAATAGCCACAATCTTGGACTGGTTGTACTTGGCAAGCGTCTTAAAGGCACCACCATTCTCCTCTGGGTTTTCGTTTAGTGCTAAAGCTGTTTTGGCGAGTTCTTCTTTTGCTTCCAGGATCTGCTGCTGCACTGGGACTTGCGGCTCCTCTTTCTGTGTGGGCTCCTCCTCATCGACCTCAACGTCGGACAAGTCCTTGCCCTCGAGCCAGTCCTCATCGTCGATGGAAGCGGCGTCATCCTCTTCGGCGGCCTTGACGTGCTGGAGGCGTCCGTCTGCCAGCTTCACGGGCAGGCGAGTGCTTTCCTTGTCCTTCTTCTTGCCCTTTCTGGCCTTGGTCTCATAATCCTGCTCGAGATCCCAGTTGGAAGCGCTCTTGAAGAACTGCTTCTGAACCTTGGCACTGGCCTTGTGGGAAGACGCCTCATCCTCGGACGGAGGCGTGAGTCTCCTCTTCTTCATGGGTCTCGAGGCCATTGTAGAAAAGCACGTTGAGAGCGTAGACAAGAATAATTGCCAGCGGTTTATTTGTTGCCTCTCAGATTATGATTTTTCTGGTCGACTGAAACTGGAACTGGAACTAAAATTTCATGAAGGTTGCAGGGATCTGCCAGTGGAACCCCCACATCGCTTCTAGGCGGGACCAGTCCGCCAACCCAACCTGGCTTATCGATAGAGGGAGCTCCGCCAAAATTTTGGCAAAACTTGGAGCATCATCTCCAGCGGGACGACTTCAATTCTGCGACTTACGTACCGAAGAGCCGACCGAAACAACAAGAGACTTTTTCCGTTCCAGTCACACAGCAGCCAAGATGCGCCCCCTCACCGAGGAAGAGACCAAGACCCTGTTCGCCAAATTGGCCAACTACACGGGCGCCTCGCTCAACAACCTCATTGCGCCCCTCGACGATGGCGACCGTTATGTCTTTCGCCTGCAGCGGGATCGTGTGTACTATGTTCTCTTGTCGATAGCAAACTTGGCGACATCGGTAGGCAGAGACAAGCTCTTGTCTGTTGGCACATGTCTAGGTTCGTGATATCAATCTTCATTGTGTATTTTGCATTTTCTTTCCATGCGACACAAGTATTCTAACTAATCGTCTCCTGTTCCAGGCAAATTCAGCAAGACGGGCAAGTTTCGCCTGCACATCACCAGTCTGCCCGTCCTCGCCGAGCACGCGCGCTACAAGATCTGGATTCGGCCAAACGGCACCATGCCGTTCTTGTACGGCGGCAACATTGTCAAGGCTCACGTCGGCCGATGGTCCGACGACTGCCCCGAGCACCAGGGTGTTGTGGTCTACGACATGAACGACACGCCGCTCGGCTTTGGCGTCACGGCGCGGTCGACGACCGAGGCCCGGAGACTGGACCCTACAGGTGTGGTGTGCTTTAGACAGGCGGACTGCGGAGAGTTCTTGAGAGATGAGGATACCCTTTTCGCCAGTTAAAAAAGCAATGGATTTATTAAGTTATTTTACATGGAGGAGAGAGCTTCACAAGCAGAGGTGGATCAGCATTGAAATGGCGTTCAGGAGTTGGCTTTTCGTCAAAAAGTTAGACACTACCCGGTGGTATCGACACCCAAATGCGAATATCATTCACCAAAATTCTTACGGATAGACTTGGGAAACGGCCGGTTCCTTTGAGGACGAAGATAATACGGTTGACAAACTGTACTATCCTACCGATGCAGCGCTCGATGGAGATTAAAAGTAGATGTTGTTGGGCATCTTGATGTTGTCCATCTACTATGCGCTGCCTTTTGTACTGGAGCAGCAAACCCAATTAAGGACTCGAAATCCGGATCCTGACAAGGACGGGTTGTGGCTATACTGACTGAAAGGGTTGAGTCCCTAGATGAAGAGCTGTCAGCCAAGAGAACATGGCGGATCTATGTCTGGTGCGGAAGTCGGAAGTAGTGCTTATATAGCATAACATGTATGCATGTGCTCTGAACACTCATTTCAAGATGTATAGGTAAACATTACCTTGAAGTAGCAATGTTGTCAACTCCCAGGCACACCCCGTCCAACATTGCATACCTACCTAGGTATAGACCTACTAAAGCAAACATTGGATAAGTTGACAGTGAGTAATTATTTGGGCAGTCGACATACTCAACTTCCGTTGAAAGATATTACTTACCCTAGTTTCCGAAACCATGACATCTCCGAAGTGCCTATATATAAATTTGCTTCCTTCTTCCTGAAATGCATGGTTAATCAATCCTCATGACATGAGCGACTTGTAATGCAATTGCTCCTTTGTTCCACATGGGCAGAGCGGGCCCCTGAACGACCGCCAATTGGGAATGGTAGAGAGCGGCCTAGGGGACCTCTAGGGGATGGACGGCCTACGGCGCCTCTCGCGGGAATTGGAAGCCCCCCAAATGAACAAGGGCATACGTCAGTCAATCATTTACTAATTTCGTGTTGGCGCCTCGTCGCATCGTCGACTCTTCATCTCTTTCAATCTTTTATCTTCGAAATCCGGACCTTCGCGCATCTCTGCACAATATTTCACTTCAGGAGCAGTCATCTCATCTCTTTTCGCATTCAAGTATCTCTCCTGGATCGCACAAGCTTTCGAACCCTCTGAACGTTTATTGGCGGAGACAGCTGCGCAACTCTTGATTGTCGCCCTTGGACCGCAAGACTCGGCAACGGAAACGGCGAGGTAGCAGGCGCTTTACAGTTGATGGATAGCCAACCAGTCTCAAGATGGCGGCACTAACACTGACCACGGCGTCCGCCTCTGCCGCCGGTTCTGAGGTCTTTGCCGGTGTTGCACTTCTGGTGTTCTCCTTCATCGTCCTCATGATCTTGCGATACTATCTCCCACTACGAACGACGCCCGCATACATCCTCGTCCCAATATTCTTCGCCTTGTGGCTTCCGGCCTTTATCGTCCTGCTCGTACCCATCGATCTAGCATCCAGCGCCGCGACTGACGATGAGGCCGCGAGGGGCATCTGGTTCCCTGCGCGACTGTTATTGGTATCGTGGAGGATCACATATTGGCTCACATTTGTGTTGACATGGTACTGTTTGGGCTTTCACATGGTTGCATTAGTCGTATGAATGTTGTTTTGCTAATATGAGGCTACAGGTTTATCCTTCCTATCCTTGCCGAGTACTCCGATGCTGGATACCGCGAACCGAAAGACCGATTAATGTATTCTCTACGTGCAAATGCGCAGTACCATTTACTCGTCCTCGGCTCAGGTGTACTTGGTCTTGTATACGTTGTCATCTCATACGGGCTGTCACCAACATCGCTCAAGGGTTTGGTCATGGCTTTGGCTTACTGCTGGGGTTTGGTGTTGGCAATTTATCTCATGGGACACGGGCTAGTCTCGATACCTAGGAAACTGATCCGGGATGCTAGCCTACCTGGCCGGCTCCGGCGCATTCAGACTCATGCACCGAAAGTATACGAGAAGATGGAAGACTCAATTGCCAATCTTGAGGGAATCGAGGCTCAGGTTGCGGAACTCAGCAAGCGCAAAACTGGAAGTGCAAGGGACTTTCAGGACTGGATCGAAGAACTTGCCGATATGTGCAACGTCCCAGAGTCACGACCAGGTAGCGTCATGCCACGCATTGGGACCGAGAATAGGACCTTGCCCACTGTTATAACAGAGAAGTACTTGGCCGACCTGACCCGGCAACTCGACCGAGCTCGTCATGCTAGGTCACGCTATGTCGATGAATGGAATCGGCTCTTGAAGGATGCTGCGAAAACACAAGCCATTCTTGACTCGGGGGCATCCAAGAAGCTCGATTTCGGCGCAGCAACCCCAGGATCGTCACTTCTCGAGAAGAGCACCCTGCTCAATCCCTACACTCGCTACATACTGCACTTCCATGTTGCACCAGTATCTCGGATTGCACTGGGAGGTCTCTTTGCAATGGCCTCAGCTTGCGTTATTTGGTCTGAATTGATCAAGGCTGCATTCCCCAACCTTTCCGTTATCCGCCTTACCGTCGTCCATCATTGGACGGGAGACAAGGGCCAAGTCGGCTTTGCCGGCCAAGTCATTGCAGCGTTCTGGATATTGTACATGTGCGCTGCTGCCTTGGTATCAGTGACCGAAGTCAAGGTTTGGCGTGGTCGGGCCTTGGTGCGACGCAACACGGCTTATGAATCTGCCTTTTGGTATGCGGGTCAGGTGGCCAGACTGAGTGTTCCGCTCTCTTACAACTTTATGACATTTCTGTCTCCGGAAATCTACCAAGCGACGACGTTTTACAAATTCCTTGGATCGCTCATCAACTTGACGCCACTCGGCAAGTGGTTCGACTACCTCTTTCCAGTTTTTGTGTTGGTACCTGTATTGGCTACCTTGTTTGGATTCTACGGCAAAGCCAAGCGCATGTTTGGTCTCGACATGGATATAGCTGGCGACGATGAAGAGAACGAGAGGGGCTTTGGATCAGGGTGGCGCGAAGGAAGAGATCTGATTGAGCGCGAACTGAACGGAACATCGATCAGCAGGAGAGAGGCTCTCGCTGGCAGAGGTGCTCGAGGAGCACCAGTCTTGTCAGTGCCCGCGGCTCGATCTGAGCGGGCACGAACACCATTCGCCACGTCGCCAACGTACCACGACGATCCAACCGCTCGGGCAGGCCCGTCGTCGAGATCAGCAAGATCGGAAGCACCACCTGATGATGACGACTTTTTCGCGAGCTTTGGGCACCGCTTCAAGAATACGATAGACAGTATCGACACGCCAAAGTGGTTGCAGGAGCTTGGAGATGGCATCAAGAAGCCCAAGTGGTTTGGCGGGGACGACAGTACGATAAGACTTTAAATGTGACACACGAAACTATAGACCATATATACACATGATAGACACTAGATAATATTTAATTGCAATTCAAAACAGTATGCCACGGCAAAATCATCAATCTGTTCTTGTGAAAGGGGTGGTATCCTACATAGTATATAGGTAATTGATCGCAATGCCCCTTTTACGTAATTGTGCGGAAAAAAAGAGAGTGGTGTTGCTTGTCTTGGCTGCGTATGAAATGGGACAAAGCTTATTTCAAGACAAGCAATTCAAGTTATGCACGCTATCTTGTTATGTATTTCGGAGGTGGGGCCTGGGTAGTGTATCCAGATTTTGTGTAGCCCGCGATCGATCGAAGGTTTCAGCATGGTAGATACGCGTACTTCATATGTTTCGCAGATTTGGATAAAACTCGCAATATTCGGATTAAACGCGAGCTGCAGTGGTAACACAGAAACCGTTGGTAATAAGCATCTGGAACGGGGGAAAAAAAAAAAACGGGCAGCCAAGTGCCTGGGCCATACTGTCGGGTCCAGCCCATCTTCGGGCCCGAGTACTGTCCGCGATATGATGCCTCTCGAGCCTCTTTCTTGTTGAAGGAAGTTTATACTTATCAGTCACATCTCTGTGATTGGCAGATGGATACTAGAGTAGGTAAGAGTATGTAAGCGAAAGTGTTTCATTCAGACGATGGAGGAGTGGGCGCTTCTGCGATTTGCTGTCCGCATTTGAAAAGTATGTATCCGTAATGTAGTTTGTGTTGCGCGCGTGTTGTGTTTTCCTGAGCGACCCTGATGAAGCATTATCGGCGTCTTGAGGACCCCGAGCCCCGAACCTGCTACGGGGTTCGGGAGCGTACAACGGGTACGGGTTTCGTGTGGGGGGGATTGATTCTGAATGCGTGCGTATGTGCGGCGTGGCCTTTCCAAAAATTCTAGAAGAGCGCGTTGAATGATCTGTACTGGGGATCCACTAAGTACATGGTACGTAGTACGCTGCGCAAATGCAAAAGCAGAATAAGGAAAAAAGGGTTGCTGTAATCTCGATGTCAAAGTACCCGAGTCTTGTGATGGAATGTCACCATGGTCCCTCCTTGGGTTACAGTATGTATCCTCGTTGCCTATCACTGCAACAAGAAGGATGAGAGGTGGTTTTTTGTTGACGACACAGAGCGTGTGTGTGTGAGGAAATATCTTATTTTCAATGACAAGCCGCAACGCAACGTTTTCCCATTTGGAATAGAAAACATAGGCGAAGCGAGACGCATGTGAAACCCTGTCGTCCTTCCTGGGCCCGCCGAGTCTGCTTCTCCATAGGTAATTTTGTAGCAATAGTTGTATGGTGGCTTTGATGATCTCGGTGTTCTAGCCATGTGCACATCCTGGTAAAGTCGGGCCGCTCCCTTGAACAGGAATCGTCAAAGCATCCCTGGCTCCATCTGTATATATCGTGTACAGCAGTGGTTCGCACTCGCACATCTCATCTTACCGGGAGCTGTATCCAGGGGTTTCTGCCTGTCAAAGTCCATGTTTATAAGACGAGACCAGCATGTAGGTCAGATATTACTGCCTCTACCAACGGCGATGAATCAGAATGATTACTTCTTTGGCGGTTTGAAGCAACTAAACGATTGCCTAAAGTAAGCATTCGGGAAGTTTGATGAAGAAGTTCAGTGCGATTGATGCTGACAGTCAGCCGACTTGTTACATATTGCCTGTAGCTGATTCGTGAGGGATGGTACCCGAATATGCGGCGAGGAGTCATTACCGCCACGATCAAAGCCATAGGTGGTTCAGGGAATCATTAGAGAGACTATACAAAACCTTAGAAAGACTATATCTAACCATATATGGATAAATATACGGATCATCCTTTTCCGCGGTATTTACGCGCAAAATAGGATATATCTAATATACCCCCTTATATTTACCGTAGCCCCTAGGCTAGCGCAAGCTAGCTATAAGTTAGGGTCGTTATCGCCCCGGCTTAATTAAAGTTATCGCTAATTCGATGCTATATTTTTAATTAATCGTAATTAACGGATATAATTGCTAAAAACGGGTATTTACTATTAGCTAATTAAATTTTTTAAAATATAAAAATTAATTAAAATTATTAAATGCTATTAATTATAATTAATTATTATTAATTTTATATTTCGGATTAATTATAATTATAATTATAATTAATTAAATTATTATTATATAAATTAGCTATTAAAAAAGCCGGGCCCGTTAATAACTTACGAATTTATTAAAAATTAAAATATATAGTTATAATAAAATTATTAGCCTTAGCTTTAGCCGTAATATTATAATATTAGCGCGGTTTATAATATATAAAAAATTTAGTAATTCGTTGCGAAATTAGCTAATAATAAAGAAAAATTTATAATAGCCCTAATTAAAAATAATAAAATATTTATTTAAATAACCGGCTATATTAATATATTAATATATAAATTTGCTTATTATACCCGATTTACGGAAATTAGCGTTAAAATTAATATTAAAGCTATAATTATTAATCGCGCTAATAAAGCTAGCGTTACCTTATTTCCTTTTTTTATACGCTATAAACCACTTTTTTTTTATATAAAACCTTTTTTTAATCCCTTTTTTTGCCGCGTTAGCGATTTATTATAATAGCGTTAACGGCGCGAATTCGTATCGTACGATCGATTAAGATTAGCTTATTAATTTAATAAAATTATAAAAAAGTCGCTATTATTCGAATTAATTAAATATTTAGGCTATTAAATAAAATATTGCTTAAAATCGTTATTATTCCGCCGGCGCCGTAAAACGATAAAAAAATCTTATTTTTACCGTAGGCGCATTTTTTTTTTCTAGTATTTATATAAATAATTAGCTAAGAATCCCTTATAATAAAAAATTTTTATTATTTACGTTATTAGCCCGGCGAAGCTAATAATATAAGTTAATTTAACGAAAGTTAATTAAGCTTTTATTTTATAATAATTTATATAATATCCGCTAATTAGGAAAATTAAATTATATTAAAAACGAATTTTTAAATTTATTATTATTAAAAATTATATATAAATTATAATTAAACCTTTTTTTTACTAATTTATAAATATTATAAATTTTATTAATAGCTTAGAATAAAATATAAAAATAAATTTTTTTAAATATTTTAACGTTTTTTATAGCGTTAATTTTATATTTTATTATTTTAAATAATTTAGCTTTATATTTATAAATAATAATAAATTAATAAGCCCGAATCGCGTTATATAGCTAAATTAAATAAGCGCGCCGGGTTTTAAGGTGCTTTTTAAAGGCCGTATTTAAGCCTTTAAATCGGGATATAGCCTTAATTCCGTAATTACGGTGCTTTTTAATTGCGTAAATTGCAAATTAATGCCGCTAATTAACGTAAATTAATTATAAATAAGTAATAATTGCTTTTTATTTTAGGAATTTAATTTTTAAACGCTATTATGCGGTATTTTAAATTTTTATTATAAATGCGTAAATATAATCGCGCTATATAAATAAAATCCTATTAATATCGGGTATATAAATACGGCTATTACGATTCGATTAAGCACGTTTAAAAATAAAGCTTAATATATAAATATTAAAGTTATTAATTTTATCGCTTTAATTAAATAATTAATAGGCAATTTTAAACGCGTAAATATCGCGAATATTTTCGTTTGCGTATTTAACAAATTAATTGCTAAATTCGGGTATAAAATCGGGTTTGCTTAAATTATTTATAAATAAAAAATCGGGGGAATCGGGGTTTTTAGCTTTTTTGCTTAAATTAGTATTTTTAGCGCCGCCGCTAAAATTATTAAATATAATCCTATTTAATATACTTATTTATTTTTTTTTTAATATTAAAAATAACGTTTTTAAAAATATGCTATATATAAAGCTAATATTTAATTATATTAAGGTATATAAATTTAGCCGTATATTTAAAAGCTTTATTAAAATCGCTTATTATTATAAAAGGTTTATAAATTTAGCTAGGCCGCTTAAAGGCCGCTTTTTTATTAATAATTATAATATTACCGAAAGCTTTAGCATAAATGCGTAATTATTTTAAAACCTACGTAAATAACCCTTTTTTTTACCGTTAATTAAAGCGTAAATAACCGAAAAAGTCGTATTAAAAAAAGGATAGCCTTAAAATTAAATATAACGGTATATTAAATTTATTAATTTTATATGTATTATTAATAAATAAAAACTCGGGGTTTTTTGCCTATAAATTTACGTATTATTTATATATTTAAAAAATACGCTTAATTCGGCTATTCGGAGATCCGTTACGCTTAAAAATAATATAATAGATTTTATCCTTTTTTTTTAATTCGATAAAGGTCCGGAGGAATATTTGCGTAGCCGTTCGATCGCTAAAAGCAAATTATTTCGCTATATTAAGGGCATTTTGCATATTTTAATCCGAAATAATATAACGCTCGTTTTTAACGCGTAATTAAATAGCTATTATAGTTATTAATTGCAAAATTTCCTTAGCTAGCTATAAAATCCGCTTTTTATGCTTATTTATAAATTAAGCGCGGTTTAAATTAATATTAACGGCGCTTTTAATAATAGCTAAAATATAGTTATAATTAGATTTTTAATTTTTTATGCCTTTATTAGCTATAAAAAAATAGCGCTATAGCTAATTACGGGTTAAAATAAGCTTAATTTGCTATTTATAACTAATATAAGCAAAAAACCGTTCGCGTAGCTTGCCTTTTTTTCCTTTTAATCGATTAACCTTTATAAGCCGATTTTTTTTTTAATAATAATAAATATAATACTAAAATATATTTATTGCTTTATTATAATTTATAGCGCGTAACCGGCGCGCGGTAAAGCCGTTATTTTAATAAGCATCGAAAACGGCGTATTCGGCTTCCTTAAAATGCGTAAAAACGCGATTTTCGATTAATTCTAATAAAACGCTAAATATAGCTATTTTTAGCTATAAAATCGGGGGTCTGCGGGTGCAAAGTTACAGTGCAAAATTAATAAAGTAAGTTATATTTGCGGTATTTCGGATATATTGCTAACTAGTGTGAAAGTACCGCCAAATTGGCCCTGTGGGCCAATTTGCCGAAGTAGGTTAGATACAGTCTCTCTAAGGTTTTGTACAGTCTCTCTAATAATTCCCGGTGGTTCATGGTCTTTGAAGATTGGCGAGATTAGAGCACGATAGCTAATTCTAGTGCGTGCATCGGCGTCGTCACAATCCGGAAACGTAGCTGAAGGTCCATGTGGCGCGCAGTAAAATAATACAATGTCAACGGGCGCGTTAGCCAGTACCTATCACACCCATATGGTAGCTGGCGCTGTGATGAGAGTCGTTTTCGTAATAAGCCTAGGTAGGGAGGTACTACTCGCTTTCGGGTAAACGATCCTGAATGAATGACTCTGGGGAACGAGGCCAAAGTCAAACCCAAGCTTCTGGTTGGATTTACGTCCAGGGGATCCTAGACAAGGTCCCATCTGCTAGTTTCGACAGCGGGGCACACAAACAGAGGTCGAGTGTCGAATTGCCAGCCGAGATGGAACTAGGCTGCCTGACTGATGGGAACGGAACGCTTAGTAGTGGTAGTAGTACCCGTGTACAGGTGGAACATGCACATGTTCGGTGGACGGAATCCTTGTTTTCCGTGTGCAAGAAATATGCAAATCAAGTTGCCCCGGACGCCTTTCCGCTTCAAACAAACCCACGATGGGCGGCGTCCGTCCAAGGCGGCCATAGCAACTTTCTCAAATAAGACATTGCCCGCAACCCGTTTTGCGCGTACCAATTTTTAATGTTCCCGATCTTTTGACTTGTTGACTTGACGCTGCACGTTGCTTGCTTGCTGTTGCTGTCATCAGTCTTTCTTTCTGTGCGCTCATGCTTTTATTTACTTAATTATTACATTCTTCTCCTTCTCCAACAAGCGTGCCAACCCATCTGGCTCGTACATTGACAGACAACGAATTGTACATTCTCATAATCACTACCTGGGTACTTCCTTCCCATTCAATAACGTCACCAACGTACATAAGACGCCTACCTACTGCTACAACTTGCCTCGGTTCGGATCCCCCACCCAAAACATTAGATTCACAAGACCCCTGGAATCAGGTCCGATCGCAGAAGGCGAAAAGAAAGAAAAAGAACGACAACAAATTATACTAGTGGTCCCAAAAAAGCGCAACCACTCTTCTAAGCAGGGCAACTACATATTTACTTCCGCAAACCTGCTCAAGGTTCTGCGCGACTCCCCATCACTCGGCTTGTCCGCGGCCACTTTGCTTGTAGTCGCTTTTCCAAGGTCAATACACCATGGCCGACGAAATCTCGGAAAAGACCAATGTCGAGGCCAACATTGGTCCATCGAGGGCCTCGAGTCGCCATGAGTCGACATCAGACGCCGAAAAGCCCGCGCAGGGCGACCAGGCTCTGACAAAGCTGGACTCAAAGGTCGTGCAGGCCGTCAAGGAAGACAATGACGACCCGTTTCGAAATCTGCCTGCAGCAGAAGCCGACATCCTCAAGAGACAAGTCATCACGCCCGAAGTCAAGGTCGGCGTTGCCATACTGTACCGCTATGCTTCGCGCAACGACCTGCTCATCATGTTCGTCAGCGCCATCTGTGCCATTGCTGGAGGTGCTGCCTTGCCTCTCATGACCGTCATCTTTGGTAATCTGCAGGGCACTTTCCAAGATTATTTCCAGCAAAAGACAACCTACGACGACTTCACGTCTGCTATGGGTCACCTTGTCCTCTACTTTGTATATCTGGCCATTGGAGAGTTTATCACCATTTACGTCGCCACCGTGGGTTTCATTTATACTGGTGAACACATTAGTGCCAAGATCCGAGAACACTATCTTCAGAGCTGCATGCGCCAGAACATTGGTTTCTTCGACAAGGTGGGCGCCGGAGAGGTCACCACTCGAATCACTGCCGACACCAACCTGATTCAAGACGGTATCTCTGAGAAGATTGGATTGACCCTGACCGCCCTCGCCACCTTCATCTCGGCTTTCGTCATTGGCTTTGTGGAATACTGGAAGCTGACCTTGATCCTCATGTCCACTGTCGTGGCCATCACCCTGCTCATGGGCACTGCTTCGCAGTTCATGATCAAATTCAACAAGAGCTCTATTGAGGCCTATGCTCAGGGAGGCACTGTCGCCGAAGAGGTCATCTCGTCCATCAGAAATGCTGTTGCTTTCGGAACCCAGGATCGCCTCGCAAAGCAATACGATGCCCACCTGATTCGTGCTGAAAAGTACGGTTTCAAGGTCAAGGCCACCATTGGTTTCATGGTCGCCGGCATGATGCTCCTCGTCTACCTCAACTATGGTTTGTCCTTCTGGATGGGCTCCACCTACCTGATTGACGGCAGTATTCCCCTGTCCAAGGTCTTGATCATTATGATGTCCGTCATGATCGGAGCCTTCAACCTTGGTAATGTGGCGCCCAATATTCAAGCCTTTGGTACAGCCATCGCCGCTGCTGCCAAGATCTTCAACACCATCGACCGCCAATCCCCTCTGGACCCGACCAATGATGCTGGTGACAAGCCCGAAACTGTCGAGGGAACCATTCGTCTAGAGAATGTGAAGCACATTTACCCGTCTCGTCCCGATGTTGTCGTCATGAGGGATGTTTCTCTCGAAATCCCTGCCGGAAAGACAACTGCGCTCGTGGGAGCTTCGGGTTCTGGAAAATCGACCATTGTCGGCCTTGTTGAGCGTTTCTACGACCCTGTCGGTGGCAAAGTCTATCTCGATGGCCGTGACATTAGCACCCTGAATCTGCGCTGGCTCCGACAGCACATCTCTCTCGTCAGTCAGGAGCCTACCCTGTTTGGCACGACCATTTACGGCAACATCAAGTACGGTCTTATTGGTACCGATTTTGAGAACGAGAGCGAGGACAAGCAACGTGAGCTTGTTATTGAGGCTGCAAAGAAGGCCAATGCGCATGACTTTATCTCGAGTCTCCCTGAAGGATACGAAACCAATGTTGGCGAGCGTGGTTTCCTGTTGTCCGGTGGACAAAAGCAGCGTATTGCTATCGCTCGAGCCATTGTTTCTGACCCCAAGATTCTCCTGCTTGATGAAGCCACCAGTGCCCTTGACACCAAGTCTGAAGGCGTTGTCCAGGCCGCTCTCGAGGTTGCTGCTGCTGGCCGGACCACCATCACTATTGCCCACCGTTTGTCCACTATTAGAGATGCTCACAACATTGTTGTCATGTCTCAGGGTTCTATTGTTGAACAGGGTACTCACGATTACTTGCTCGAGCAGCGCGGCGCCTACTACAAACTCGTCAATGCTCAGAATATTGCTGCTGTCAATGAAATGACGGCAGATGAACAGGAGGAGAATGATGCCGCAGAGGAGAAGCTCATGAAACAGATTAGTGCAAAGGACGGTACATCGGCCTATATTGAGGACCCTGATGACAACATTCAGGCCAACCTGAAGCGTTCCACTACGCAGGGCTCCGCTTCAAGCAAAGCACTCCAAGGACGCAAGCCCGAGGAACAGCACAAGTACAGCCTCATGACTCTCATCAAGTTGATTGCGTCCTTCAACCGCGAAGAGTGGAAGCTCATGGTCTGGGGTCTTTTCTGGTCAGTGATTTGCGGTGGTGGCAACCCTACACAGGCTGTCTTCTTTGCCAAACAAATCATGGTAAGTTCCCAGGGTCCTATTTGTGGTTTGAAACGCTTTTGCTAACTCGATATCAGACTCTCAGTGTAACCTTGACGCCAGAAAATGAACATCAGGTCAAGAAGGATAGCGACTTTTGGAGCGCCATGTATCTAATGCTTGCTTGGGTTCAATTCGTCGCCTATATCCTCCAAGGTATCGCCTTTGCGAGATGTTCCGAGAGACTGATTCATCGTGTCAGAGATCGTGCTTTCAGAACCATGCTTCGACAGGACGTTGCCTTTTTCGATCGGGATGAGAACACTGCTGGTGCCCTTACCTCATTCCTTTCGACCGAAACCACTCATGTCGCAGGTATCAGCGGTGCCACTCTGGGCACATTGCTCCTGGTGACCACGACTCTTGTTTCGGCCTTGGTTGTAGCCTTGGCCGTTGGCTGGAAGTTGTCCTTGGTTTGCATTTCGACAATCCCGATCTTGCTGGGCTGTGGTTTCTTCCGATTCTACATGCTTGCTCACTTCCAGCGTCGCTCCAAGCGAGCCTACGAGCAATCTGCCACTTTCGCATCCGAGGCCATTTCCGCCATCAGAACTGTCGCGTCTCTCACTCGTGAGGATGATGTTCTGAAGCAGTACCAGTCTGCGCTTGCTGCTCAGCAGCGATCCAGCTTGATATCTGTTCTCAAGTCCAGTCTTCTTTACGCCGCCTCGCAGTCCTTCCTGTTCCTGGCTTTTGCTCTTGGCTTCTGGTACGGTGGAACACTGATTGCCAAGTACGAGTACAGCATGTTCCAGTTCTTCCTCTGCTTCTCGGCCATTATTTTTGGCGCCCAGTCTGCCGGCACGGTCTTCTCCTTTGCCCCTGATATGGGCAAGGCGCATCACGCTGCAGCTGAGCTCAAGACCCTGTTCGACCGCAAGCCTGTCGTGGATGCGTGGTCTGAGGATGGAGAGCGCCTCGAGGCTGTCGATGGAACCATCGAGTTCCGTGATGTTCACTTCCGCTACCCGACCAGACCTGAGCAGCCTGTGCTACGCGGTCTCAACTTGACTGTCCGCCCTGGCCAATACGTGGCTCTTGTGGGCGCATCTGGCTGTGGCAAGTCTACCACTATTGCTCTTTTGGAGCGATTCTATGACCCCCTCGTCGGTGGTGTTTATATCGATGGAAAGGAAATCAGCTCCCTCAACGTCAATGATTATCGGTCCTTCATTGCCCTCGTTTCCCAAGAGCCCACGCTTTACCAAGGTACCATTAAAGAGAACATTCTGCTGGGTGCACCCCATGAGGTCAGCGACGAGGCCGTCGAGTTTGCGTGTAAGGAGGCCAACATTTTCGAGTTCATCATGTCCCTGCCCGATGGCTTCAACACGGTTGTGGGCAGCAAGGGTGCACTTCTCTCTGGTGGTCAGAAGCAGAGAATTGCCATTGCTCGCGCCTTGATTCGTGACCCCAAAATTCTACTTTTGGACGAGGCTACTTCGGCCTTGGACTCTGAGTCCGAGCACGTCGTCCAGGCAGCTCTGGACAAGGCGGCCAAGGGACGGACGACGATTGCCGTGGCACACCGTCTTAGCACCATTCAGCGCGCCGATATCATCTATGTGTTTGACCAAGGCCGCATTGTCGAGGAGGGTACGCACTCGGAGCTGATGCGCAAGAATGGACGGTACGCCGAGCTTGTCAATCTGCAGAGTCTGGAGAAGCACCGATAAGTGGAGAGTAGAGACGGGTGTACAAAAGATTGACGGTGATTTCGGTTGTTTACTCCATTATACAAAAGAAAAAGATTCCCCCGGGGGCCAGCAACCATGTTTTTTGGGTTGCATGGTTTTCCCTTCTGCATTGGGTTGGCGTTTTCAAGAGGTACAGAGGAAGATGATTGTCATGTTTTTGACAGACACTTTTACTATGCATATAGCACAAGAATAAATTGCATTTGGACTGCATTCATTGAACCGACCATGTGCATTGTGACGGAAACATTTATTGCCTTTGGATACCCGTGTCAAGAATCAAGCTAACATACTTTTGTCGAGTAGATATATACTAGAGGTTATCGTCGGATGTTCAGATCCATTTGGCCCCGTGCACCTCGTCAGTAGTGTCTTGTAGTAACCAATTTATTTCAACGGTCACGCCACTCAATTGTGTTCCCATATACAAGACCTGACTGAGACAAGGCTGGTGGTCTATTTTCAGCCACCCGAATTAGATACTCAGGAGAGCGCAGACGGGGAAAGAAAAGAAGAAGAAGAGACACATCTTTTGGAATACCCCTGGCACAGTCTACCGGCGGGAGGGAAAGATCTGCAAGTTCTAGACTTTTGCTGGGATCCGCATTTGGATTCTTCTGGAGTGCCGGGAGCACTCTTTGGGAAAATTTGGGATTGCATTGCCAAGCTGAGAAGTCTTTTTGGGGGGACGCCTTACAGACAAATGACAGTTCTCTGCCTGGGGAAAACACAATTTCCTCTTTCTCCCCCCTCCCCCCCCCCCTTGCTTGCTGGGTATCTCATCCTACTGCGAATCTTCATTCCCAAGAGAGTGGATGGATGGATTGGGATGGCTAATATCGGGATGTGCGGAGAGGGAAGGAAGACTAAAAGAAGAAACAAGCACATGCTGTCCCTCGATACGAAAACAAGAGCGCGCGCCCTTTTCCTAGTAAAAAAAAAAACATTTCTTACCAATCAGTCAATCTATAATTTAAAATGATCAGCCTTATACGTCAAGTATCTCTATTGACGTTTGGCTCCATTAGTTGGGCGGATTAGACGCGCCATCCTTCACTTCTTTTCCTTCTTCAGCCTCCTTCAGGAAAAACATACTATCAACACTAGATTGTTTTTCCTTGGATTGAAAAAGCCCGGACTGTTAGATGGCGGCTATAATTTAAGAGAACCCCCCCCCCCCCCCCCCCCCCCCCGGGGAACCACGGGAAACAAATAGACTCATCCCATAGACACAAGCTAATGGATGCCAACGAGTAATAATGGTCAAGTTGCTTGGCGGAGGGGTGGCCCGACTCGGAAGCTACAAGACATGGCCTTGGGCAATTGTTCGTTGCCGGCTGATTGGACAATGGTCTTGGGCGAATGACAAGTGAGAGTTTGTGCTCTAAGAGAAGAGAGCGCTGTCTTTTGCATGTTCATGGGCTTACGAAGGGAGGGGTAGGGGAGGGGAGAGGAGAAAAGTCTGGACCCGGCAATTGCTTGTCAGGAACAAAAATCCTGTCCCATGAGTCGCTTACCTTTTTAATTGAGAGAGGAACTATTGAGAGGAAGTGAGCTCAGCCTGGCATCCTGACATTTGGTTGGTTCTGGCCATGTATTAGTCGTGATCAACAAGAGAAGGTAAAAGAGATCCGTTTGTCAACCTAGTCAGTACCTGCATACACGTCCCTCTTTTTTCCCTCTTCGTCTTTCCTTTGGATCTACCTTTTTGGCTCTGATGCTGATGATCCGGTCGTTGGCAACCGGATCATCAACTTTTTTTTTTTCTCCTAGGGCGCGCTACGTGTTAGCAGTGTACGTACCTTGGTTCAGAGTATATCGGTCGTAGTGTACATCAATAACCGTCGTACATGCAACATTTGACGCCAAACCATGTAGAAATCTCGCCCTTGAGCCGTGTAAATTACTCGAATGTACCTAGCATTCCTGTAGTACGCAGTAGTAGCAATAGAGCCGCTTCAGGTCATGCTCTGCCTCCCCCCATGAGCTTCGTCAAGAGAGGTCCGTATTTCGTATTCCGGTAGCACTCGGCTGGTATTGTTTCAGATGAACCGATCTTGCTCGCTTCGCATCCCGTGTACAAAGGAGAAGAAGACAAGGCCTTTTTCCCTCCCCCACTGACAGGAGATTAAGTGAAAAGAGGATAACATAGTCCTAGGCATTTATAACGCACAAAGGCCCACGGAAGTCGTCATCATGGCCGTTGGGCAAAATACAGAAGGTGTGGAGTGAATGGAGTGTACCAAAAGAATGGCTGAGATCAATCTTTGGGTGCATGTAATAATGTACCGGGGGCCGACTAGTCAAGTACTAGGGGCTGGAGCACTTGAGTACCACCTTGAACCTAGTGCTGTCATATGCATCAATTGTTGCCGGTAATCAGATCATTGCAGCGACAAACACCATAATAAACCCCCCTGGTCTCTTACCCCAATCATCCCTTCCATCCACATTCAATGGGATTCAATAGTCTTGATCGCCTTTGCATCGGCTAAGCCTTATCCTCTGCAATCGTAAAAGATCAAGTCATCTTTTGGGATATTATCAACTCTGGGGAAGGAAGCAGCGAAGGGAATCTCCATATGTACGTACCTTAAAAAAAACCTGGTCTATATTGTCCAAGAGGCGCCGCCATCAAAATGGGAAGAAAGCAATGAGTTTGCTCAAGTTGGCCATGGATGGTTGAGAATCAAGATCCCGGTCCAACTAACTTGCACTACCCACCGAGTGGTTCGTTCGTTCGTTTTTTCCCTCCTCCTCCTCCTCCTCATATTCCATCCCGGCAAAAGGGAAGCAGATTTGAAGCTCGAGACAGACAGGCCTTGGCATCTGATCTTCTCGGGATCGATTCTCCAGCCGCCTACCTGCCTGCCCTGCTCTCCCTTGTGACTGAACCTGACCCGTGAGCGGCGCGTGCTCTGTCAACAACTACAGATGATTACTACCCTTTCCTGTCTGTCCCTTCTTCTTGTCGTCCGATAATTCCAGCTGATAAAAATTTCCCAAAAGTTCATGCAACGCAACATTCTAGGTGGTTTAGCGCAGGCAGAGGTCTTCCGGTTTAGCCACTACCACCACCGTCCGTCCGTCCATCCATCCATTCGCTCGCTCGCTACCGACGGCCGGTTCAGCGAATTTAATTCACTCTAGTCGGTGGGGACCCTGCAAAATGTCACTATAGGTAATGTAGCATTTCAACAGGAACCAAGGTAATGAATGTAATGCCCCCCTTACCTGGGTATTCTGGGTGGTTCATCAGGTGAATTGAGAGAGAGATACAGCCAGTCAACCCACCAGTCAGTCAAGTTTAGTCACTTCTCGCTGCCGGTCAATTGTCATCGGTCGAGTATTGTACCTCCCTACTCCAATGCAAGGGGAAAAAACACTGCACCCCAAGAAATTGCAACATCGAAATGACATGTGCGCCTCTGGCGGCAAGGCTTCGGTGATGGGGCACGTAGGTAAGGCACGAAAAGGTAGGAACATTGCGCTAGGGGTTAGGTACTTTACTGGACAGGCTGTCTAAAGAATAGGCAGGCAGCGGCCGTGCCAGTCAGTCGATGAATTTAGAAACAGCCAAACCTACACACCTATCTCAATGTCCTTTCCCACTGGACTGCTAGGTAAAGTTCAGATCTCTGTGCCGCTGTCAACTGTCATGGGAAGTAGAGAAAGAAGGAAAAGCCCAGCCCTGTCGCTCTGCCTGTCCGAGGCACAGGGATTTTTTTTTTTTTTTTTTCTTCTTGTCTTTGTACCTTGGCGTGATCCCGAGATTACATAGGCAGGTAGCCTGTTATAAGTGTATCAGGCCAAGCGCTGGGTTCTGGGTCGAGACTCGGTTACTTTACCACCCAAAGCCTAAGCGCTCCCTCGGTACTATGCGTGGCTGAATGCCAAGAGAATTTTTTTTATATTTCACCCAAAAGCAGCCTGTAATGGTTTGATTGTCACCAATGACCTGCCTCTGCCCCAAGACTGAAAATGCACACAAAAGGTGCAAACATGTCAGCCCTGACCCAAAAGAGGGTTTTACACATTTGACAACCCTCCGATTGCCTGATTGAGCAAAGACTTCATTTGATGATAACCATCCCCCAAGGGCGGGCTACGTACATACGTACATACGTACATACGTACATGAGCTTGCGAAGTCGAATACCACCCGAGCACCCCATCCCAATCCCGTCCGTCCCTCCCCAGTGCCCCAAGTCAAGTCCCCATTTCCAACCCCACCTCGAATCGCATCGCCAACGTCGTCCGCGTAGGCGCAGGCGGGACCACCTAGGCTGCTTATGGCCTGGCCGAGCCAATATTTCAGCACCTCTTCGCTGACGGGGCCGCGTGGCTTTACCTTTTCGCTATGGGCAGCCGAACACGGACGAGCAAACGAACGGTCGATATTCCATACCTACCTACCCAGCTGTCGCTGCTGCTGCTGCTACCGCTGCCCACCAGCCTAGTTGAGATGAGCAGGGGGCTCTGACTAGCAAGCATCAACTAGCAACTACTTTCCCCTCTCTCTCTCTCTCTTTTGCCTGGCTTGCCTTCTCTCCCTCCCTTCAATGGACAAAATACCTAGGTATGTATTGTGTAGACGCCTTGTTTAGCTGTAGTCCAAAAGTATCCTCGGCCTATGGGGCGCGGGCAACGGTGGTCATCAATCCTGCAGAAAGACAGGGCCATGCCCATAATTATCAGTTCTCGAGTCGCTCGAATCATTAAATTGACTACCTGCATCGGGTACGGAATGCTCTAGACCTCCTCCGACTTACCAGGTGGGTAATAGATGTACTGTTGGACGGGTAGGTAAGAGTAAGTAGAACAAGGCATGCAGTCAATCATTCATTCATTCATTCATTCATAATAATCATTACCCCCGCAAAAGGTTGTTCCACGTGTGTAGCTGGTCCAGCTCTCTTTTATTCCCCTTCCGAGCATCTTTGCTTTGCTTCTCGGGTGGTTTTTGTTTATGGTTGAACGACTTACACGTACATGCACTACCTACCAATCTACCTACCGACGGCCGACAAACTAATATACTAATAAAACCGCCCGCTTCTCAAGGACCGCGTGTGGATTCCATCTACCTACCTACCTACCTATCTTTGCCTGACCTGACCTGGTCTGACCGTTGCACAAGCACACTGCATTACAGGAACAAGAAAGAAAGAAGAAGAAAAAGGTCCCAGCTTCGTCACAGACACACACAAGACACACAAACACACAAACACACAGACACATAGACTCGGTCTTCTTGTTACGGCTTTTCTTTCCCACCAGCAGGTTTATCGGTCAACACTAAATCGTTTTTACCCGCGCAGCCGCATAACGGGGGAGTCAGTTTTTAATATAAGATCAGACTCGACCTGCCTGCGTGGCCGCCCAGTACAGCACACACACACACACACACACACACACACACAGCACAACTACTACGAGGGAATTGGATAAAAGGGAGTAAGATAGGAAAAGGACGTGCAACCCTCCGGCTCCGAGACTGCGACTTGACTTTTCGATCGGCTCAAAGAAAAACAATGCTTCAGTCTACTAGATTATAGCGACTGACGATCCTTTTATTCTGTCGTCTCACCACCTCATACATTACCTGCGCTACGGTACTTGCCCGAAACTGAGATAATTTCGGTCTGCTATATATTAGCTCAGCATCCCTCTTTCTCTCTCGGATCTCTGGAACCAGCTTGGCAGATCTGCAGTGGCCCGGGCAGTTTTGGAAGTGATGTTGGGACGTTTCGTAGATCGGTAACCTGCCGTTCTTGAACAAGCCAAGCCGGGCGATCATCGTTTATTACAACATTGTCAATAATTTTTTTTTAACCTGGGTAGCTGCTGTACGTGTTACTATTCGTCGAGAGGCACAGAAGCACATGCACAACAGCGAACCATTGCAACCAGAGGGCGCACAGCAGCAGCAGAAGGAGCAAGGGGAGCAAGGAGCACCCAAAAAAAAAAAAAAAAAGCACGAGCAAGTAAAAGGGTAATAATCAGCCCACTATAATCATGGGCCTGGACTTTGGCAGCGGCGCCGACACCCTGTCGTTTCAGGTTCGAGCAGGACCCAAAATACATAAGGCAATGATTTTCGCCGCCATCCTCTGCTGGGGGTCTTTGGTGTCCCTGACCACGGCCTTTTCAATCGTCGCTCCCCCACATCCCTATGAGACGCTGATCGTCGACACGCGAGTCCCCGTTCTCATTGAGGACAATTGGGTCATGATGTCTCGGGAGGATCACCAGCGCTTCTTGCAGAGGAGGGCAGCAGCAGTGGAAAGAGAAGAAGATTCAGACACAACAACCACCGAAGAAGAAGCAGAAGTGGAAGCCGCCGATTCCTATCCCACTGCAACCAGCACACAAGATGGTGCATCGACAACGACTATACCCATTAGTGTAACGACAACGACCTCTTCGTCCTCAACCAAGACAGCAACCACAACAACACGCACTGCGTCTTCCAGTCCACTCCCAAGCCCATTGGACAATGCGATTGCATCCAACTTTACCGGCAATGGCGAGTGCCAGGAATTCATTACCAATATGCTGGCCGACTCGACTTTCAAGTCATGTTACCCTTTTTCCATGCTTGTCCAGGTAAGCAAACAACAACAGATTTATATCTGCGTTTTCTTGCACGCCAATGAGCGGCAGTCACAGATAGCTAACTGCCCCAAATATAGGGCTCCCTCTCCATGTTCAATGCCGAAAAGTCGCTCTTTAGCATAACGCAGGTCCTGGACGCAACGTGCAGCGCAAACGTGACTTTTTGCGTCGATTACCTCGACCAGGTCGCGAGCAACCTGACCGAGACGGCCAACTGCGCCGACGACTATGAGCAGCAAAACTCGGTCGTCGTTCAGGCCTACCTGGGCCTCAAGGGCTACCAACCGCTCTACAGCGCCTCGTGTCTGCAAGACGCCGACACCTCGGCCTACTGCTTCGCCAATGCCGTGACCAACTCGAGCGCCATTGCCGACACGTATCTATATTACCTACCGCTCAACATTAGCTACCCAAACATTACGACGCCAGACTGCAACAGCTGCACAAAGAATGTCTTGGGCATCTTCCAGGCCGCCACCGCCGACCGCGACGCAGCCATTGCAAATACCTATGCCGACGCTGCCAACGCCGTCAATGCCCAGTGCGGCGCCGGCTTCGTCAATGCCACGTTGCCCGAGGCTCAGGTTTCCAGCGCTGCGGTGCCCGGTTTCGCCCACCAAGCACCGTCGCTGCTGCTGTGGTCGCTATTCGTGGCTGTCTTGTCACAGTGGCTGCTCTAAACTTTTGTCGGTCGGTTGACCAGCATGTGACCGCTTTCAGTCATTGGACCATCAACGACCATACAATCAATCAGCAGCCTCGAAATTTTTCTTGTTTTGCTTTTTCAAGGACGGAGTCGAACCCTGGGGGAGGGGCGGGATGAAGGGAATCCCGGGATACTGGAAACTCAACGATTGCATACATTATGTTGTCGTACTTTCGTCGTCTATTTTGACGCAGCGCCCTTTTTTTTTTTTTTTTAAACTGATACCCCTGTTGGAACTTGTCCACTTTTCATCATCTTTATAACACCAACTCTTTATCTGAGTTGGTCTCTATTTTTACTTTTTATTTCTACTGTTTATATTTTCAAAAAATCAAATTTGTTTCATCTGGGAGGATGAATTGAAAAGAAGAAATGAGGCCCGACAAGGAGGGAAAATAGACGAGCACGTGTCTACCGGGACATGCATGCAGGCGAGGGAGAGACGGGGATGAGAGAGATATAGGGCCTGGAACACTCACGGGTCTGACCGATATGCCGCAGAAACAGCAAAAAGGCAAAAGCCATTTCACACCGAGCAATGGAGAAAAGAAAAAAAGGGAAAAGCAATGGAACGGCGCAAAATGTGCCCCCTCGGCCCTGATCGGAATCTCTTGGTCCATTTTCCCCCAATCATTTCCTCCTGTTCGGGTATAATCCAGCAGAAAAGGAAAGCAAAGGGATTATAGGGAAGGAAAGAGACTAGATAGCGCTCAGACCCATCAACCTCAAACTCGGGTCACGAAAAGAAATGTTCAAAAACCTTGTTGCAAACTTATTACCCGAATTCGGGGTTCGTGATTGTTGCTTTTTATATGGTTCGTTTGAGGTTACACAACATGTGCGGACCGCAGTGGACTTTTTGAGTTTCCTTCTTTCTGGGCCAAGATACTACAACTCATTTTTTCTATAGTATCACCCATTTCCTCCCGATCGTATTCTCAGATCTGGATCTCTGTCCCGTGCTTTGGTGCAACCCGGTCCTTGACATCAGTAGAGTAAAAGGGAGAAAAAAAGAAAGAGATTCCACTATGCGCGTCTTCTTTCCCTTGGGAGCCAGGAATTCTTATTCTTTGTTTTACTTGCACGGTCCAGAGATGTGACGATGAAGACTTGGTTAATCACGGGGCTCAGAATAAAGGGGAAAAGAAAAGAATTCTTGCTGGTCCCTCCCTTCTTCAAGCCTGCCTCTGTCCTTTTTCTTCTTCTTCTTCTTCTTCTTGGGCAGCTTTCTTTAGTTCCCGTGATATGTGTATAAAATCTTTTCCTTCATCAAAGTAACTGTCCCCATACAAAACACGACAAGCCAAGAAAAACGATGATCCAAAATAATGCCCAATTTCTCCCCTTTTCCTTCCCCTTCTTGTTTCTACTTCTGATTCACGAACAATACACACTTTTTTCGGGCGGCCCTTGTCAAAACCATTATCCGTTGCCCCAGCTTCCGATGGAGGTTTCATTCATGAGCCCATTTGTACTAAACTCTATTTTCTCAGCTCAGGTATTTCAATCTGAGAAATGCATACGGGTCAGACACAGGAACAAAAGCAAGCGAGCGAGCCTTATGATGTCATGTATTTCCATGGTGAACCCATTTTTGTCTATTACCAAGTCTATGCTACATATGATGCCCAATGTTCTGTTCAAAGAGCCCAACGCCCCCGTATCGAGTAATCTCCAATCATATTGTCCATTGTCATCCCTTGCTCCTTTTGACGACGTTCTATCTATACATCACCTATATATACATATATCAAACCCCACCATAGTCAGCTAGAACGACGGGGACTATTCTGCCCAGCCAAAGACCTCGCTGATAGCCAGAGTGTTGGTCCTCACGCCAGTCATTGTCACCGCAATGCCCACCAGATCGATCACGAGGAGCAGTGAAGCAGCCATCATGAATCTCGGGCTAAAGACTCGATAGAGCATCAAGTGACGTCGCAGGTGGCCCGCCCAAGCCATGGTTGCCAGACTTTGTACAGCATAATATGCAACAAAGACACCCAAAGCCCTCGTGGTGCTCTCAAGAACCGCCTTGCGTTTGGGATTTGTCTTCCATAGCACAAGCAGTGGTACAGCAACACAAGCGAGGATCTGGCCGGCATAAGTGTTCAGAGCCACCACGATGGGCGACCAAGGATACCGCACCGTCTTGAGTGGGATAAATGCACTGTCCCACTGAAGGGAAGACAAGGCAGCCTGGTGGCCAGTCTTGAAGTAATGAAAGTTTCCAAGCAGAGCAAGCGTAGTTGGACCAATGGTCTCAGAGCTCATTGCGTTCAAGTCAATGATCTCAATCAAGGATAGTATTTGCCACAACATCAGAGCCAGTGCGCCAGCTCCCATAGGCTTGGAGAGCAAGATGCATGCTGCTGCAAAGTTGAGGACCAGGAGCAAGTAGCGTGCGCCATTGGCATTGCCGTATCCCAACACCGTAACCTGGGCGCGGCGTGCGTTGCTGGCGGCTGTCGTGATGATAGAGACACAAGGAGGTGCCCAAATAAATGCCGTTGTGCCGGCTATAAAAGCGATTGCCAGCGCAGTCTGAGCCACTAGAACTTGACTTGTCTTGAAGGTCTCCTCGGTAACAAGGGGGAACCATTGGGCGTTATTAGCAGCATCCAATGACCAGTACGCCGCGGCAAAGAAGAGGCCACCGCGGAACACAAAATTGACCCAGACGGGTGCAAGGCCTTCGAAAGAACGTGACGGGACAAGATACCCCTTTACCACGGTTGGTAGAATGAGGAGCACGGCATATGGCACGATCAGTTGCCACGGCGCAGGAGTGGAAGAATTAGCAGATGCATAATAGGTTGATGTGCAGTATGGCATTTGTTCTTCTCGGCAAAGTTTTGAGAACGAGGCAAGACGTCCGAGAAGAACAAAGATGACAGAGTGGTAGATACCCAATGATCTTTCCACAATCGTAGGGCGCCGGAGGGCAGCGACTGCAGACGCCAGGCCAAAGGTAGACAGGAAGAAGAGAGAGATTGAGTCTTCCCAAATGGTGTAAGAATTTGCCGCGAATCCGATCGATTGGCTGGCTGTGAAAATGATAGAAAGCCAGCCCCAGAATGTGGTTGGAAAGATGTTGACTATGCTCTTACCAAGTCCAAATAGCGAAATGATGACTGCAACAATGCTGCCACAAGCGGCGCCAGCAGCTGCGATGGGCCAATCTTGCGAGCCCGTAACCAAAACGTATCCGACTCCTGAGCCCGTCCCGAGTAGAGCGCCAAGGGAACCCAACTTGATGAGACTTTTCTCGAGGTTTTCATAAGAAGGCGTAGTCGAGCCATTTTGCTCGTTCAGCAGCTCCAGACTCTTTTCGGCAAAATCAAGCTCCATATCGTCGAGAACAGCAAACTCTTCATCGTCGTCCCTGGAGACATATACGAGGAGAGCTACGACGCCGAGAGCCATGACCGCAATGCCCATGATCATTCTGGGAACGTCGAAGCGGGCCCACAGGTCTTTGCATAGTCTCAACGTTTCCTCTTGAAACTGCACAAACGAAGCGTAGGTCGCCTCGGCGACCTTGTGGCCTTTTTGGGCACTGGCGTTGGCCGTCTCCCAAAGTTCAGCAGGGCTTCCTGTCTGGGTACTCTGCTCGATACCACGAGCAGCAAAGTAAGAAGCCTGATATCTTTTAATGCCAGCCGAGGCCAGTCTCGTGACCGCGGCCAGGTTACTCCACGAGTTACCTTTTTGTCCAGCAAATGCCTCTTCTATTGGCCGACCCAGGTTGTTGAAGGGAATGGGAATGCCTAGCAATAGAGACAAGGTGGGAACGAGGTCGATTTGATTGACTGGGCGGATTTTGGCCGTTGCCGGAGGCGTCACATACTCGGGCTTTGTTCGACCAAATACCGGTCTTTTTGAATACATCCACAAGGCAGCCTCAACTTCATCGTCGCTTTCTCCGCCGTGGTCACCCTTTCCGTCCATGCCATGATCTCCCATTACTACGAGGAGGGTATCATCGTCAATATTATGCACGAGGTCCCGCACAAACATGTCCATCTGCTGGAGCTTTGCAGTCATGGCAGCATGGCTAGGGCCATATCGATGGCCGGCGTGGTCGACTCCGAGGAGATGACCAATCAGCACATCCCACTCGCCCTTTTTATCCGATTGCAAGAGCGGGAAAATATGCTCGAGGACACCATTGTCGACGGTATGCAAGTCCCAGACATTGAAGCTGTCATATGCTCGGCTAATATTTGACTCAAAATATCCAGGAAACAAGGCAGTCCATGTGTCATCACCGAGATGGGCGATTTTCTTGCCGAGTCCCCGGAGCTGCTTCAGAATGTTGTCCTCTTCGATTGCAGTTCCGCCAAAGCTGCTACCGATATCAATGAATGTGGGCAACGTCCCGGTTGTGAGCCCCTTGAGTCTTTGCAAGGTGGCTGTTGGCGGATCGGCAATGAAAGGAAGCAAGACGGCATTATTGGGCGACTTCTTGGAGGTCTCATAAAGGAAGGGGAAGGCGTTGTGGTAGACTTCGGCCTTGCTATCCTCCACAGGGACAGTGAAGTCATACTTGAGGGCATCTATTACGACAACGACAGCCTTGTCAAATGACTTGGGGTGCCAACAGCCTCCTTCCACCGTGCCTTGACCATTCCATTTGCTCAGGGGCTCGACGGGGGGCGTGGCGCACTCTGATTGCTCCTCGAGGACCAGCCGAGCCAAGAGGAACCCGCTTGTGAACAGGTATATGCCAACTGCATGGATGCAGAGCATCCACACCCAGAAGCTCAACGTCCAATTGAAGCGGCTTCCATAGGCGGCCTTGCGTCGAGCCTCGAGGGCAAGACGTTGTTTCTCGGCTTCCTTGTCGCGCGCCTTTCCGGAGGAGGCGGAATTGTCCCGCTTCTGAGCTTCCTCGAGCTCTTTCAACCTTTTCGCTCGGGCGAATTGAGCTGCAATGGCCTTGTATTCGGCAGAGGGCGCTTTCGGGCGAGCATCACGGGTCGGCATGTTGGGTATGAGGAGGTGGTGGTGGTGGTCGTTGTGTACGTGGTGTGGAAAGGGAGGCGGCTTTAAAGTATGCGAGACCAGTCGCAGCCATTGGCTTGCCGTATGGAATCTGGCGTTTTCAATGGGTCGAGGGGTTATTGGGTCATAATACGTGTGCCAAAATAGAGATGAAGAAGAAAAGCAATGTCAACTGCGTTGTTGTATTTGGTGATGCTATTCGCGAGCCTTTCGACTGGCAAGCAAGCTGCTGCAGGCTTCAGAATGCAGTAGCTACACCTTACTAACTCGTACTAACAGCACAGTTTCAAAGCCTTGAAGCTGTGTGAGCTCAAAGCTTGGCCAAACTCAGAGGTTCCAGTCAACAGCTCAGCTCTAATTGGTGGGATTTTGCTTACGGCAGTCTGCACTACCCGTGACCCTTTTTTTTTGTACCCTTACCTAACGCGAGGTCAGACAGCTCGGTCAAGCCCAGCGAGGTTATGTAATACATTACCGGTAGGCTTAGGTAATAAGCTCAGAAAAGAACATGGCGCGCATTGTCAACTGCCGTCCTTGCCACGTGCCACCAGTTGCATGACGGGAGGATTGCATAGTAGGATCATCTTTATGCTGATTTGCTGCCCAGGAAGCAAAGTAGTACAGGGAAGGAAGTGAATACCCAACGTCCAAGTGCTACCTACCTACAATTTTGCCAACACTCGCCAACATACTACTTACTCAGCGCCTACAGTTGCCTACCTGACAGACCGTGCGTGCTCTCGTCTTTGAGATGGAGTATGAAATTACGAGCCCAACTTACTTTAATTAATTATGGACATCACTCATATTGATGTTGAGCGTGATGAAATTGTGCGTTGCGCCTAGCACGCTACCGTGTTCAACGATCATACCTGCATACTCTCTAGTCCGTCAGTCACCGTCTTTCTTGGATCTCCTTCTTCTCCTTCCTCTTCTTCCTATACCCTCCATTTCCCAAATACTTACCCGCGGGTGAGAAAATCATCAGAGTTTCATGACGAATCTTTTTTTCCCTCCTCTCCTTCCTTCTCGTTTTCGGGATATACCTAACCCCGTGGCTGCCCTGCTACTGCAAATGCAATGCAGCCTGCTCCTGAAAAATGCACGGTTAGCTACTATACTTAGTATCCGTACATGGCCTGCCTGTCACTTTTCTTGGCAGGCCGTATAGACCATGATGGCCTACGTAGGCTGAGCCAAGTACTATGTAGCACACTGCCATTCGGGAGAGCATCCGGATCTCTGGGCGAATAACAACGTGATTCAGATCATGCTGGGGTCAGCCCTGAGCGAATGCGTGACCGAGCTGGGATATCAGCCAGAGGCTCCATCTTTTGAATGCATCCGTAACAGTACAGCCATTATATTGTCTGCGAGATCATGACTCGTGTAGATATCCCTTTTGACCAGGACTGCAGAGGGCACTAGGGGGTCTTCCTTGGGGGCCTGGCGGAGCCAAGCTGGGCAAGGCAGATTGCCTCATTGTGCGTATCGTGTGTCTTTTTTCATGGGTCCAACTGCCGGTGAAAAAGCGAACACGGGGACGGGGGGTGGGGGGGCTTTTGTTGATCTACATGGGTAACAGCCTCGGCGAGAGCCGGTTAATAGTACACCGAGATACATCATTACCCCGAGCGAGCCCTCTTTCACCCTTTTATACAGGTGCCCTGTCCCGTGGATATCTGAGGTTGCGGAGTTGAAGTCGCCGGTCGGTGAATTAATGCAGATCGGAATCGACAGAGAGGGGTGGGAAAGTTATTGTCCTGGGCGAATTGCTCATTGTGAATCTTGTTTGGCACTATCGGCGGAGTATATACTGTAGCCCAGCTACCCGAGTAGGTATGCAGATAGCCGCCAATAAGCATGACGGGTAGGGAAGTAGTATACTTTTCTAGGTTGATTCTGTGTAAGTGAAAAGCGGCAGACCCTCCTCGGTATATCATTTCGGAGGATAGTCCTCCCACCAGCGAGGTGCATACTGTTATGATACAAGTCTCAGTGTATTAGCTCAGCGGCGGCTTCGTTCTCTCGATCGGAAACGGAAAATAAAAAATTCCTTTCCAGGTGGTAGTAGGAATCAAGTCGGCTGGCGGAAAACATCAAGCCACTGCACAAGATCAGGCCACTGCACGGGCACTCCATTAACCTAGACAAGTTCGCTAGGGCGGATGCGATGAGAATTGCGGATCATTATGGCACTGCAAATCTTGATGAATGGTCGGTAGTGTGAATCCAGGCCAAGTAGTGTACTGCGTACTGTGTACCGTAGTATTAGGTCAGGCAAGGTGGGCAAGGTAGGGAACACCTAACCCAGTCAACCAGTCCCTTGATCCTAGCCAATGATCTCGCGATCCGGAGGCGTTGCTCGAGATCTGAAATAAGCCCCCGCCCTTCTCCAGTGTCGACAGGGTGATGGGAGCAGAAGTGACTAGACTAAACTTGGTGAGCGAGAAAGAGAGAGTAAGAGTGAGAGTGAGGGTGAGAGATAGGGTACATCCTGGTCCATGCCGGAAACTAATAAATCCCAGTTAGACTGGTGGCATACATAGGCAAAAGGGCGGCGGCGCCAAGGGACGAACAGTATAGGTACCCATTCTGGTAATGAAAGAAGGTGGTATGAAAGGTGGTAGTGGGTGTTGCAAAAACGGGTTGGTGGCAGAACAAGACTGGGGCGGTTTGACAATGCTGCAGGTTGCTGAGTTAGCTGAACTCTAAATCTTCAGGGCTTTCATGCGGCGCTGGATTGGGATTGGTGATAGATGGCACGGGGGAAATGGGTACGAGAGTACATGGTAGTTAGTGTAGGTGCCAGTCACTGGTGTGCTGTGAGCAGTTATGTAGCAAGGTAAGGTATGGAGAATGGGCAGAGATGGGGAATTGATTGATTGAGTTTTGATTGACCTCTTGGTTCGATGGGGAATGGGATGATTCCAACAAGAACAACGAAGAAGAAAGAATCTCCCGCGGGGTCCTGGTCCTGGTCCTGGCTTGCCTTCTTGGCTAGTAGATACTCTACTCCAGTCCTGGCCATCACCAATCACCCATACATCGCAGTCTCCATTTGCGTGTTCTATGTACTGTACACTAACCACATAGGCCGGTAGGGGTTCTCCATCGTTGCCAAAATGTTGTGTGAGTGTATGCATGCATGCACGTTCCATGGTCGCAGCGGGAGGATTTGCGAGAGCTCCTCAAACGTTTGCACCAGGGTATCGATGTCTTCCTCCTCTTGGCCGCCGCCCCGATCGCCGTCCTCTGCGCCCTTTCTCCTCCCCTCCCTTCTGCCCTGTTGCGCTCCGCCCACGTTTTCCGGAGTAGCATTTGCTGCATACTGTGACATGAGATCGCCGTCCACTTTCAACCCGTTGGTATCTAGTGTCCAAGTTGAACTGTCTGGTAGGTGGTATCGCGATGACATGATCCCAGACGAACCATCATCACCTTACACTATAAACTGCACATACAGGGTAACGCTGTTTCCTTTCATATGCCATGCTTGACTGCCATGCTTGACTGCCATGCTCAGCCAGCCTTGGAGTGGGGTGATTATGAGCGGGTTCTTTGCAGCCCAGCCAGCAGCGTTGCAAGGTGCCCATAGGTATGGTAGTAGTGTAGGTACGAAAGGTTAAAAAAAAAAAAATCAAGTTCAAATCAATCAATCAATCAATCAAGCCTGTCGTCTGCTTTGCCTGGCCCTGCCCTCTCCGCCTGGGCTTGCCTTCGTACATGATGTATTTTTGCAGCCAACCCATTCAATCTGCCCATTGCCATTTTTATTAGCTTCAACGGCTTGGGTCGCGATGGGCCGGCCACCACATGTGCGCAGCCCAGGTAGGCTTGGGGTCTTCTCATCACTTGGCGGCCCCCCCATGCTCTCTGCTGGTCCATGGCTGCTGCTCCTTGGATGCCCTGGCTCTTGCGTGTCCATCTCGACTCCTTTCAGACTGGCTCGACCGCTGGGTCCATACTAGGCCGGGGTCGTGTCAAATTCCGTCGCGAGTCAACTCCCATGTCTGACAACTCCCATAATCATAATAAGTGTCTCTCGCAGAACCTCAATTGGGCAGTCCACTCTTTGCGATTCTCCTCTACATACTTTACATACCACATGCCGCCCGCTCCCCAGAATCGTGAGAGGTCGAAACATGACATGTGCGACTCTCTGCTCTGGTCGCCCACCACAGCAGAAGCGCAAAGAGAATGAAGCGAGCCAAGACATTTACGCCCAGCGACGCTGCACCTGATAAGTCGGCGTCCCCCTCTTCAGCATCCTCCAGTGCCGCTACTACTGCTACCACTACTACTTCAACATCGACGACGAGTATTCCCACTACCGCCGCCGCCGCCACTGTCACCAAGAGACGCCGCAATAATCCTGATGAGTGCTGTGTGACTTGCAAGTTAAGAAAGGTTAGCCCAAAAGACACTTATCAACCCCAAGTTTGCTGCCTTTTCATGGCCTCCCACCACAAGACAGTTTTCCTTGTTGCTTTTCCCCCCTTTGAAAGAGGGAGAAAAAAAAAATCACCCCCCACACATACGCAAGGAGCTGACCCATCGTTCCATTTCAGGTAAAATGTAGTGGTAAATCAGGCGATGACCCATGTGACAACTGCTGCAGATTAAAACTGAAGTGCAGCTTTGTCCACGCCGTCGACGGATCAAACTCCTTTGGTATTTGAGCCCTGGCCCCAATATACTGCACTTTGTGTGACATACTTGCTGATCCAATACAAACCTTAAAAGACAAGGTAGCTAGAATTACGCCCAATGGTACCGTCACCGAAGCCGGGACGCTGCGGAAGCGTGCACAGAGAGGTAAGCAGCCTATTCATTCACACAGCGCAACAAACCTTCCTCCTCCAACCCACCCCAAAGCCAATAATGAATGATAACTGACGCTAAATGACATACGATAGCGTGTCAGCAATGCCATGCTCATAAGACAAAATGCAGTGGCGACTTGCCCAAGTGTGCACGATGTCAGCTCAATGAGTTGCCTTGTGAATATACCCCATCCAAGAGGAAATTCGCAAATCTGCCAGGCCAATCTAGTGCATCCGCCACTCCGGCTCCGCAGGTAGTCAGAGCGGCATCAAGTGAAGGCGGCAGTATCAAGGAGGCGCTCAACGACCAGGCTTCTGCGGCCTTGGACAATGCCCTTATTCCAAGCCTGAGTGTACAGTAAGTAGCCTGATACAGACTCGTGCCGCAACCTCCGATTGTCCGCTAACGCTCGACTAGGGATCAGCTCCTCAGGAGAGATGTGATATTGAAGCATGTTGATGTTTACTTTGAGCAGCTCTTTCATATGCCATGCATGGGCTTCTTGCATCCTGGCACCATTTATCGTTTGATCGAGCAGGACAAGCTCCCGCCTCCGCTCGCGGCAGGAATATGTTCCATTACAGCCGACTTCGTCTCTCCTGGCGCTGCTGGGCGCGCTTTTGCCCTCCAGTGCAACGAGCAGCTGGAATTCTTCGTGCTTCGCAACTGCGCTTTCATGACCAGAGACTACCTTGTCTACCATCTGCTCGCGGTCCTGTACAACTGGGTGTCGGGGCCCCTGGCCAAGGTCTGGATGTGGACGGCGACTGCTAGCAGGTTGATCAAATGCCTGCAACTCAACTACGAACCCGACCTACGATCATCGCAGGAAACCTATGCCGAGCGGGAAATCCAAAGACGCAGTGTCTGGCAAATATACATTATTGATCATTTCCTGTCTGGGGGGCATGACGAGCACCTGCTACTGCCATCCTCATCAATACATATACGGCTGCCATGCTCGGATCAGGTTTTCCGAGATGAACAGCCCTCTACTATGGATACACTTGACAAGATCCCACCCGTACCGGCTAGTCTTGGCGATAACAGTCTTGACGCTTGCCACGTCAGGTTGCTCACAATACGCAGCCAAGTATTACGGTAAGACTTGCATAATGACCTTTTTGCAGGAGTCGCTAACATGAGTTTTCAGTGCTACAAAGCGATTCACAGATTCCCCGCACGGCCATTTTTTAGACATCATGCGCCCTGAGCAGTTCATGGAGCATGTGAATCAGTTTCAAACAGCTCTTTATCGATTTTCTGACTCGCTTCCGGAACACCTGAAATTATCCGTGGCCAACGTGGATTCGCATATTCTCCGACCAGATCGCCCAAGCTACACCATGTTGCATACGTGGTATTGCCAGACCCATATAGAGCTTTACTCCTTTTCATTGCACGCCCTCAAAAAATCGACTCCCCAGGATTCTATACCATGGGATTTCTTCCTACGCTCAAATCAAGACTTCCTTTTCCGTTCACAGCAGCAGGCTGTGTCTTACGCCATTTGTCTTTCACAGACTTGGGAGTATAGCCTACAAAACATCAAAAGAAACCCATCGGCTACTTTGAAGAGCGGCCTAGTTACAGTTGACTGGATGGTGGGAGCATGTGCAGTGGACGTCGTCGAAGTGCTCTTGACAGCCAGGAGATACAAACTTTACGAGAACCTCCGTGGCAATACTAGTGCTCAAATGGTAAGTGATTTGGGTGAGGAGTTGATCATAGGATGACGTGATGCTAACGTATTTGTATAGTGCTATTCAAAACCTGTTGACGATAGCTTGCTCGCAGGACTTATCTCAAAAATAGTTATGCTTGTAAATGATTTGGCCATGTTTTTGCCTCGAGTGGAGCACTATGTAAGTGGTACTGGGCTGATCATCATGTAACGGCATGGCTAACTCCATGGAAAGGGAAACGTCATCCAGGAAAAGATTAAGGAGTTCGAAGAGGATATGAATAGTGGCAACCACCCAGGTTCTGTCAAAGCCGAAGATCACGGGCCTACTCCAAGTCCCACGAATCTCCCAGGAATGGACAACATGATACCACAAACGCAGGTTGGAGTGAATGTCTCACCCAAGAGCTTGTCAGATTCGGCATCGATTTCGGAAAAATACTTGAGGAAAAAGTCAACTTCTTTTGAGAGGCCCATGGGCTACAATGGCGTCTCTCAAATCGCGGACCTACCAGTCATGCCATATTGTCTCCGACAGGCTCAAGATACATCCCTGGATGGACCTTTTGCTCCACCGACCACTGGAAACTTCAACTCGATCCATTTCATGGACCATTCGGCACAACCGTCATTCAGTCCAGCTATAGCACCAAACATGGGCCCGGTGTTTGAGGCGGCCTTTAGATCTGCGTTGCCAGTGGATGCGACCATGCATGGCCCAATGCATGGCACAATGACTTATAACCACTGCCCAGTTACAGAAGGCCCCCAAAGCGACATGCAGACGGCAATGGCACCATATCATACCGATGAGAATATTTTTGTTACCCAAGGAACACCCTATGCTTTTCCGAACGAACAACAGCACCATTCGCCGTGGGTCCAGCACCCAATTAGAGATCCACATTCCTATACTTGAAATAAAGTATCCCATCAGGTTTGAGTCTCAGTCATTCAAGTGCGCAGGCATATGGCCTTCAGATGCACTTTGGGTGCATCCGTTATCAGACTGCAGCTATTAGGCCAGCAGTCGGGGCGATTGTGGACTTGGCTTGGCCCTCGGCGGCAACTAGCCATTGCACAATACGCACCATTGTAACAACATACCCAAAATGATTCAACCAAGGATCACCATGTACAGCAGGCATGCGTCACAGGGGACGCGTGAATGACGACTCCGATACACGAGAGTTTCTATGAGTGGCCTCTGGATAGCGATTCGAAGCTGTGGAAGATCGTTGGAGCACAGTACATTCACAGCTCAGTTTGATCCGGGTTCTTGTATTTTCATCCTGGATGACGAAGGGAATATTTCCTTATCACGACTTGACGATCTTGTTTATTCCCAGCTCGGCTCAGAGATAACTTGATCTCCAGCAGCAGCCGCATCTTCATTCCCCATTTCTATGCTATATCCCTTGGAATCTCGTGCGATGAAATTACCGACCGACATGATTCGGGAAAGTTTGGATGATTTTAAAGCACCGGTGCTATTTCACGGTTTACGGAAGAACAGTTCACATACCATACGAGGGAATTGCGATATCCATGTACAACAATAACAAAGATAAGCTAAGCGCTGCCTTACTCGTCACTGCTTGGATATATAAGCTAGACGCAAATTTTTTTTTTCCATACCCCCCAGCTGTGTTTTTTTTTTCTGATATATATAGATAGAGATACATTTTTTAAAAAATCATTTTGCACGCACCGGCGTGCGTGCACTTACTATTGGAGACTCATACCCCAAGACTTTTTTTTCCTCTCAGTCCAGTGTCAAGACCGCATGTTTATTTCTCCCCCCTTGACGTCAATGACTTTTTCTGCTTTTTCTGCGTAAACCTGTTCCAAGGGTCTCCAAAGTTTTGAACGGTCGTTGATGCGAGCAGGCAAGGAACCATAATCCTGGGCAACCCGCATAGAGCCAACGGAAAAAGAAGGCTGAAAGGGCACTTCTCCTGCACGTACTCAGGTCAAGGTTTCTCCCGTCATGTCTCATATGTGGGTTTCACGCATCAGAGGTGAGTCAATCAACATACTTCCTGGCTAACTTTTCTGCTTCTCTTTAGGTTAAAGGAAACATGGGCGTCTAAAGATTTCCACGTGGATACCAGAATTGGGCATTCTCAAATTCAATTCCCTAGTAATTCAAGTTGGGGGCTTTTTTTCTGCAATTTTTTGTATCTTTGAAACATTATTTAATACAAATAAAGAATATACAATATGCCACTATTTGTCATGTCCTTGCCGCGCGTCTTTCGGTCGGTTGTGGTTGTGTTTCCCTTCTTGGCGTGTGTGCGACCGAAAAAAAAAAACAAAGACAGTGTATGTCCGCGCCGGTCTCAAAGGAGATTTATGTACGTGGGGGTGAGAGAGTCCATTCTTGCCTAATGTATACCCAAGAGTTTATCTGCGTGTGGTTTCTTGCGAGAGCGCCATGGTTGCCCATGGCTACTAGCCCGACACAGCGGCCGGGTTGATATTGAACCAGCTCCCGTCAAGAAAAAGTTAAGCGCCTTGGTCCAGAGGCGATTAGAAAATTAACCATAAAAGCATTCGCTGCCGGAAAGGTTTATGGGGGTATCCCGTGATTCATGCATGATTTGTTGTAAAGAAGTCGTCGTCCAGGACTCGGTCCGGGTTGGTTGGTTGGTTATGTTGGTAAGAGAGTGTGGGTGAGTTTGAGCTGGGATTAAGCCATCTGCCTTGCAAGCCGAGTGAAGGCACGTTTTTTTCTTGAAAGTTGAACCGTGGTGGCATGGCACGAGCGAGCAATTACTGGAACTGCGAACGGTCCTTCTCCTTCAGGCCACCGATTTGGTCCATGTCGATCGAGTAGAAACCGTGGCTGCTCTCCTTCTCATAGGCTGGCAACTGCTCCTCGCGGACGGGCTCCATTCCAACGGTAGTATCGCCAACTCTGACAACCATGACACGTCCATCTTGCTTGCGGCCATGCTCGTCGTGCTCGTCGGGGAACGTGATGTGGATCTCGGGAATGTTCTTGGGCGAGTAAGGCGGCGCATTGGGGTCAGCCAGCATGGGTCGACGGCCATCCAAGACAACGACGCTAGACCGGCCGTCTGCGGTTGTTATAGTCAGGCGGCGGGCACCATCGGGGCCGTTGTACTCATGCTTGATGTCGTTGTATTGCGGGAGACCCTCATCGTTCATTTTCTGCTTAGCGAGGCGCTTTCTCCGCATCATGATCAAGACGGCTGCAAGAATGAGGGCCACAAAAGCCAAGCCCAAAAAGGTGATCATCAAATTCATGACGCTGTCTGAATCACCGACCTCACGGGCCATGATGGTATTGATGGGAGACATGATGCACGACTAAATGATTTCCGGGTTCTTTATATAAGAAAAAAAAAACTCGCGACGAATGTTAGGAATTCGTCTTTTCAATTGGTCCCAGAATCCTGCGTCAAAGGATGGCTGTGTGCTGTGTTGCGTATGTCTGAAGGCTGTATCGAATGAATGTCGCAGTTGCTATACTAGATCCTCCTGGTCAGCCTTGTTTCATGATAAGTGGGTGCGGCATCTTGGTCTCAGTGTTTCAACGGCAGTGATGCACATGGCAACCAAGCCGCCAGAAACACGCATAGAAGGACAAAAAAAAGAAAGAAAAAATCTGATATACCCAGAAAGGGAATTGGACATACCTGGTTGAGCGGGATAGTCTTGACCAGGCCGGGTTTGTTATACCAAAAAGACCAAAGAGAATGAGGATCTTGGCACAAGTCACGGCGACTAGGAAAAGAAAGGATTGGACGGAAACAACTAAGAGAATGGAGTTGTTTCCTGTATAATGAGCGAGGGAGAGTGGCAACGAGGGTAAAGAGTGAACCTCGAAAGCCTGGTGGTGGTGTTTTTGGATCAGACCTTCCTTCGTGGAAGAGACGACGGACGACAACGGCAGCAACGACGATGGGATCGTGAAGAAACAGAACAAGAAGAGAAAGGAAAGAACAAGAGAATGGAATCGGAGAACTGGACTACACCGGATTGAAGAGGAGAAACGCCCGGGTTGCATGGGGGAGAGCAGAGCAGGGCCGGACCAGCCAGACTCGACTTAGCCCCCCCAGGCTTTCTTGGGTCGGGGTGCTTTGGCCGCGTTGCGCTGCGCCGCCCATCTAAATTGTTATGGTAGATAATGTACTACATAGATTCTAGGACCGTCCACTCCACGTTATTTGCAGGTTGGCGCCCTGGACCATGGTCACATCGGATGGCACACTGACGAGGAGATTGAGCCACTCATTGATTGGAACCATTGGGTCAGTTGGCGCTAGCTCAGGAACCAGGAACCGCTAAAGCACATGGCTCGAGAAGGAAAACGGGGGGGTGGGAGGGGATGGGCTCGATGGGATGCAGGTACTGTTCGTCCGTACGTCTGTCCTTTGGTGTGCCAGGCACATCTGATGTTGCGCTATCATCATCTAACGGTTAGTGCCAGAATGTAGTATGGCCTTGCAAAGTGTGCCATTTTTGCGTAGTAAGACCTGGTAAGCGACCACTGTTCCCTAGGGGGGAAGACCCTCCATGGTACCTAGAGCAGGTTCTAGCCAGTCATCGGCACGGATGTCCCATGCTTCGATGGCCCCCAAGGGAACCGCAAATGCAGGGGAATTATGCGGGCATCTGGCATTAGCCAAACCTCGCTGTGATCCTATTCGGCCAAGCGTCTGCACGTCCGCCGATGGAGCCGCTGCCAATTTCCTCTTGTAGCCAATCATGTCTGATCGCTCATTGCGAATAGTGGGACCTAATCTGAGAAGAGGGAAAAAATACAGGCGAAGAAGCCAGTGAAGCACAACATTGAAAGCGGCTCCTTTTTCGAGCTCTTTTTCTTTCCCCTCAAGGGTAGAGAAGACGGAGAGGACGGGGCAGATGACGGTCGGCGCTGTGGAAATTGAATCTCTATGCCGTGGATTCGACGATTTTATTCTCAGATGAGCGAGTCGATTAACAGGTTAAATATAGCCAGAAAAAGGGACGCGCAACCCTTTCGCGGGGATAAGCTTGTCGGTCATAGAGCTTCAACGGGCTTCCAAATGCCGTCCTGGGACAAATATGGTTGTTTTGTTCATGTACGCCGGCTCCGGTCGCAACAGGCGACCTCGAAGCTTGAACAGTTCTGACAGCGGATCACTGATCTCGAGCCGATAGAATGACAGCTCTTGATTTCAAAGATATCTTTTGCACAGCGACACGATTCTCTGCACCTGTCCACGCATCAGCTGACGACGGTTTCTGGCGCAGATCAAAACTGAGCCTCAGATCCTATGGAGAGGGTACGCGTAGCTCTAAGGGCAACGGCGAGGCTTTCGCGGGATCCAAGCCGACCGATGCTTGCTTCAGAGTTTTTCCCGACCACGACTGTTACGAATCACCTCGTTGAAGTCACACGAAGGCGAGGTATCTGAATCCGAGGTTGCCCACCGGTCACAAACTTCAACACCCCTAGGATCCTTCACGAGCCCATTTCATGAAATATCTTGAGCGAGTAAAGACCAAAGAGTGTCAATAGCAGTGATGAATGTTCTCACTTTTACAGAGCAAATGGGAGACAGCGACGGAAACACGCAGAGTTAGGTACCTGCGCCAAACTCACAATCGCAGCAGCGCCGACAATAGCGCTAGCTCGGCCGCCACAGCGCCTTTAGCATCGACTCGAACTATTGTGCTCATGAAATTGCTTATCCTGCTCACCAACGCGCAGCTCGGGTTTTCAAGCAAATGCCTGCGGTACAGTCGAAAGTAGAAGACCGGACTTCGAGCTGCTGAGAAGCATGAGGTTCTGCTCTCGCTAGCTTCGACTCGTTCTTGGGCATGCCATGGCTTCGTATGCGAAAATACGAGGACTTGCAGCGACGTGCATATGGTACTGGATCGACTTGATCCCCAATATCATCTCACTTGCAGACCAAAAGCAATAGTCTTGGATCGACTGGGCGTCATTGGGTCTCATCCTCAATTAACAAGGCGCCATGGCGTCCGCCATCGGCCAGGCCAGCGGCCATTTGCAGGAAACAAGCAATTCACTTGAATTGTATGACAAGAGCTAGGAGATAAACAATCGTGATCGCTCTCTGAGCAGACAATATCAGGCCATGACAGTGGATCTCTCTCCCTCTCTCTGTTTATTGCTTGTTTTTTGCACCGACTTCATCTTGTTGAAACACTTACACTTGGCCAGCTTCGATGGCCAGGAACGGGTCATGCCTGCAGATGTTGTTTCGGCAGGCCACCGCTCTGCCGTGCTGCTGTCCGTTATACATATATCAACTCTAACATGCCGATCAACCACCGCAGTATGGAGGATATATCAACATTGTGGCCTCTCCTCCATCAATTCCTGTCGCGCCTGGTCACAGGTTATCAGGTTGGGCAATCATCATTTCAAATGGGCACAACGGCGGCATTCCTCTTCCGAAGCGTGGATTGTGCATATGGTTGTAGAGCTTGATTTGAAACATCAAGACGAACGTGCCGGCCTTCCCACGAACCAACCATTTTCGATCAGAGGCGAGTGGTTGGTGTTGTGGAACCTAGACAGTAATCCATTATTTAGCAAAAGACATTGGCAGAGAAATCTTTGCTAATGCTTTTTGCAGTATTTTTACATAGTCCTTGGGTAGGTCAAGCGACGAGATCGCCAGCAAGGGGCTTGTCAATGTGTGTTTCGTTTCAAACGTACGTGTTCCGGGACATTGACTAGCATTCCTCCATGTAAGGCATACTGAAACAACATTGTGATATGTTCTATGTCGCGAAATGAGCTGTGCTCTCAAGAATGTAATCTGGTGTTTGAGGAATGGGCATTTGGCCACTGGCTCTATTGTGACCAGCCAGCCTGGCAGTCTAGATGACATTGGCTCACGCTTTCACTTGGGAAAGATCTCCGTGTGACACTCTACAGATGCCCTCCGTAAGATTGTCTGTTCGTCTCCTCTGCGCTCACGTGCGACCAAGAACGACACTCCCAGACCGTCTCATCCTTGAGTAACGCTATCTGCTGCAAGTTGACAAACTTGTAGAAGTGGAGCTTCCCGTGTCGCTACATCTCATTCGCTTTTGTGCTTCGGCTGCTGGTCGGACGGCTAGTGCACATCAGAGGCTTCATTATAAACCTGTAGTCGGCTTCTCCCGTCTTTGTATTATCCCTCTGATTGATTTTCCGTCCTTGGTGCCTGCTAGCCTATCCATCATCCATGGTCGCCAGCCCTGCCCTTTGCTAGAAGGGATGATTGAATGGAGAGCGCCGATATGTGTGTGTGATAAAATCACGGGTGAGATTTTCTGTCTGTGTTATCATACAAAACCATCGTACATTCCTCAGCTATTTCGTCTCATTGCTTAGCATCCTTGGCAGCATTTTCCATTTATGCTTCTTTCATCGAGGTCGTCTGTATATCGTCAGAGGCACATATCTATGATACCAACTGCCTGGGTATTCGGCAAGTGTACATCCTACAGGGCAAATTACAACTACTTTGAACGTTTCGTTCTCTGTCAGGTCACCGGACACAAGGACACATGATCTCAACAGTACATATACTTGGTACTTTATTTTCAAGACTGCCAAGGTAGTTCCTGGAGTTTGGACACCGAGCAGCCGACGCCGCGTGAGCTATACAAAGCCCCGACACCGAAACAAGAAAACAATATCATTTTTGGCCAATAGAGAGGTACGTATAGATACTCAACACATCCGACCAGAGCCCCGCTTTCCTCCAAGATACCCAAAAATATGGCCCCAGGTAGGCAGACGGGCAGGCTCAATCAAACAGACATTGCATTCATACCTTACCTACAGAGGACATTGCCTGCACTACATTACCTACGCACATACTCATGACACCAAATTTAGGCAAGTAGAGTAGCAATACTTGACACTTCCGCCTTAACCACCACCTACGTCAAAGTGGGACTCTCAACTTTGTGCCTTGCACCCATATCTGGTCGCTACACCGCACACTTCTACAAAGTACTAGTATATTTATCACAGCCTTGACAGCCTATATATATCTACTTGCTTGCCTGCTCCGCCGCCTGTTAGCAGAGCCCTGTACAAATCTATTTTCTCATCGACCAAGGAGGGTCACGGCAAAAGGGAAGCGAGACCATCGACAATTTCCGCGTGAACGGGTTGAGACATAGCAATATACGGAAAAGAAAAAAGAACAAGTCGCCATTCCACCAAAATCTTTTTGTCGACCCGCAACAGCGCCACGAAAGAAAGCAAATCGACATTAAAAGCGAGCCACAAGTCTGCCGAGTCCATTTGTCGATCCCCCTCCAAAGGGCACGGACGACGATCCCTGACGCAGGAGAAGGGAAGCCAAGGACACGACGCCTTCTCCGAGCAGCCTAGGCAGCTTTATCCTTCATCCTCCGAGGAGAAGGAGTACGTAATTGGCATCCAATTCTACCTCGATATCACTCGGTTCGGGCGTTGTCAGCGTCGAAGCCATCAGAATTCGTATCCCACCTTACCTATACAATAGGTGTACGTACAAACGAACCCACGGATCAGACGGCCCACAGCGAATTGCTTCCCGCTCTTACTGGCTCCCCGAGTTTTGCGCCCATCAGCCTTTTGCGCCATCCCGTCTCTTGCTGACAGTTTGCAACTTTTCCTTCCTGAACTCGATCGTACATTGACCTACACACACGATACATGACCTACTAGTCGTCCAAGCTTGTCTTTGACGACAAAACAAAATTCAAGGCCCCCGAGTACCTAGTAGCCTCAAAAGGAGGGGCCCCAACACTAGACTGGGATCCTCAAACTTCCCAATTGGCCGGCCTTCTTGGGTCCCGTTGGAAACAAGCTCCCTTCCAGATCCGCCCCATCCACACGAACTTTTTAGCACGAGATCCCCTGGAAGTTGGGGTAGTATCGGTAGGTGGTGTCGCTCCCCCTCTATCTTGGCCTCACGCTAGGCCCGCAAACGACTGCATCAGAGTTTCGAAATTCAGTTGACAGGCCCCCTCCAAGGTCCTACCTTAGAACCTAAACCACGTCCGTCCCAAAAACTCCGAGAGAGAGATAGCAATAACTGGAGGTACGTATATTTTTACAAACTTGGGGCCTCTACTGCCTTACACATTGATGTGTATGCCATTACGCCAGTTGAGTCCGTCATACTTCACGGTACTTTGAACGATTTGATTTTCATTTTCACTCTTCGTTTCCTCATGTATCTTCTTTTCCTTCTCTCGTCTCGACTGTTCACTGTTGGTCTTGCGCTCAAGTGCAAGCTAAACGAGAACAAGCCCAATTCCTCACGATAACAAAAACAAGCCGCAACCGGAAGCCGAAGCCGGCATCAGTCTCTTTGCAAAGGCTGATGACACTGCAAGAGTTGAGTATGTATGCAGTTTGTCACCCAAAGTTGGTGTCTTTCCCCTCCCACCCTTGCCGTCCAAGCACAGCCATGCTCCAATCATCACCAGCCTGGCAGCCCTGGATGGTATGGAATGTCCCCACGTAGGGTCATTCCCGTTGGCCCCCCAGATGAAGAAAGGGGCCTCAAGAAGATGGCAACCATTGCTCGTCTAAAACGCATCCACTCCAGTCAACGTCGATAGTCATGAATTGGCCCGGGGACTGTGTTCAGCGACATTGTTTAACCCATGCTAGTATTGCAAATATGCAATCAATCAGTTGACTGAGCGCGTGCCGTACCAATTCAGGATGCAGCCCTTTGTACATCAACTTGAAATCTGGGGTGGGCAGTCCAGCCGCAGCAAGGACCAAAAAAAAAACACCCCACGCGGGTACCTCATACACTGTGTCATGCATCATTGATGCAGCAACGCACACTTGATGTATTATTTTTATTCATGCTCATCAGGTTCGAGTGTCCCGCTTCTGTTTTCACAAGAATGGCCCCAATAAAGAAGGGGTGAGAAAGTTTAGAGGGCATTAAACACATACACATTCACACCACACGAAATGGTGCAACGCTGTGTGGGCATAGCCGACCCTGACTGTATGACCCTGGACCAGGCTCTGCTTGAAGTACCTAAATACTACAAACCCTGGCCATATTAACCCACACGGCACCTCTTATGGCTGGATGGGCAATCTGGCTCTTGTCTGGCATTTTGCTTTCCTGTCTGCATGCGCTCTACAGTACCTACTTCGAGGCAGAGCAAGGTTTGAAGCTAACATCATTGGGAAATTCCAGGTCTGTCAGGCACGCTTGATATACTTTTTCCTTCTTTCTTTCTTTTCATCCACGGGTCGCGACCTTCATTCCTACGTGGTTTTCCCCCCAAAACCCTTTGATATCGGCCGACCGTCGCCATTGTTGCCTGTTTTTGTGCTTCGATCGCATCAGATAAAATCGAAGTCGAGGTGGTGGCACTACGTCTGTACGACCACTACCTCCACCAACAACAATACGGATCTAGGTAGGTTGACTACACTACTTGCACCCACGTTTGCCAAACGGCGCTACTCGACCCGGACGCGGATACCCACACAGCACATACCTATCGACTGGGACCGTGAACCAGACCTGGCCTGGCCTGGCCCTGGCGTGCCTCCTCCTCCTTCGCCCTCCAACGCCCGCCCAAGATTTCTCACTTCGACGACCTACACTACAGTTGCCGTTTTGCGAAAAGTCAAGCGCGCTAGCTAACCAGCCAACAGCCCTGCTGGGAAGCACTACATACTGTACATTACCTACATTACCTCCTACGCATTTGGAGGTAGGGTCCAAAAATATCACGGTTGATAGGTGGATAGGTACCTACCTGGCCAACGACCGAAGAACTTTTGTGGCTCTCCACGAAAGAACCAAAAAAAAAAAAAAAAATCACTGACTGGCGTGAGTGAGCCACTCAATCAACCACCCTACAGCGTACCGAATACCCACTGAGCCTGGCCCAGATCCGCAAACAACCTTCTTGCTCTCTTTGCTCCTCCCGTTTCGTCTTTCGTCATTCCCATACAAAAGAACAGGGAGGGCCCCGTGGATAATCTTTTTTTGTTTTATTCGCCTTCATTTCTTCCCTCTCCTCTTGTGCGCTCTTCGCTTCTACCGTTACATTCTTGAGTGTGTGCGCTTCTCAAAATCGGTCGCCAAAACTACTCGACATTGGTCAAAACTTCTTCGCAACCTAGACCCACGATCGACCATCGAACAACGAATCCCGATTGTGGCCACCACATACACTGCACCATTGCGCTCACTACCCCGATATCACGGTCGTCCATACACTCACGTCTCGACCGGGCTGCGCCTGTCTTTTGTCTCTCCGACACTTGCGCTTCGTTCACCCACCGCTCCTTCAGAATCGACTCTGCTGGTTGCGCGATCCCTTGTACGATATAATTCGACTGCTTTCTTGTTCGCAGTCTTCCGGTCGTTTGCGTAATAAAAACAGATAAACGTGCTGGGGGAATTCATCGCGTGGCCTTTGCAACATCGCCGAACCTAATGTAGGTATGCCCATTTGCTCTTTTCTGTTTGCCTCGAGTCTGTGTGCTCGGCTGCTAGCCCCTCGAGCATTTTGCTCCCTCTCTTCCTCTCTCGCTCACTCAGCCTTGTTGCAAACATCAGTTTCACCGGTCTGCCGCAGTGCTTTCCTCTGCTGACAAGTTCTACCCACCTGCAGTCCCGTTGTCTCAGATTGAGATCCTCAGCAACCAAAGCAAAGATAGTATATTATTACCAATATCGGAAGTACCGATTACTATAGAATATTCTTAATTCAGCGTATGTCGACAAAGGACCTTTCCCCTCCCCCGACCGACTGGCCCTGGCCCGAACCAGCTTGCCCTACACATTCCATTACGACATGTCAAGTAGCCTGGGAAGATGTGGGCATTATGAGTTTGCCTGTGGAAGCCTGCACTGCACTTGTCTGTGCCTGCTGCATGTTTCTGCACATCGTGGGAACTAGTGCGGAGCAAAGCAACCATTGCCACGACCACGGGCCATGTCAACTCCAGTTGAGCAGTCACGATGTGAACCAGGATTGTGCACTGGCCAAGCTACAACCTTTGCCCATGATATCGTCGAGTGACGTTCTCAATGAAGGCGCCATGAAGCGGCATGTCCTACCATCCTGTGGCTATACTGGAAACTGACGATTCTTTGAGATAGATCCCAAATTTCTATCGGGTATCACCACACCCGAATAAAACCATTCTGGACAGCCAATCACGAACCTGAAACAATGGATCACCCCACGCTCTCCAGGCCGTGGGTCAATGGATGGCCTGAGTCTAGGAAAAATGACCCTAGGAATAACGTCATCGGCGGAGGGCTTTCATCGCAAAGGGACGTCCCGGGTTCAAGAGGTATGGACGATCCAGCGTACTACGGAACAAAATTACTAAGACATCGCTTAGGATCTGATGCCGCTTCCCCCACGGCTGTCTCTGGCTCGGCACAACTCAACCACCAATCTGAAGCAGAGGCACCTCAACTTTGGCCTCAAGACAGCGTTTGGTCTTCAATGGAGAGTATCGGCCAACGCCGCAAGGACTCGGGAACTGCCTCGCCAAGCCAGGTTCGTGATGTTTCTGGTCAGCAGAATCCCCTGAAAAGTACTCACATATACCAGCATCAGCAATCACTTGGTCAGAATGGGAATGGCTATAGTAGCCGCACAAAGACAGCTGCAAACTTCAGCACTTTTACCAACAGTCTGGACAATGATATGAATGGATTGAGACAGTTTTCTTCTCCATTTGGTCCTGCGCATCATGCTTTGGGAGCAGGCAGTCGGACACGCGGTTTGACGACGAGATTCGGCAACATGCCGGCGACTTCTGGTTCTACCAAACAGGAACAAATACCGAACCCGTTGTATAGCGGCTCTAGAGCCTCAATCTCGGGTCCCTCAGTTTCGAATCCGTTGGGTCCACACAGTAGGGGTGAGAGTCTATTTAACGAACCAATTTCATCAGCATTGGCACGCCTAGAATTAGCTGAGAGCAGTGTCCCTGATCGTACGGGCGATGCACACCTCAACCCAGCGACCCAACCATTTCAGCTCAATCCGTCTTCCCAGACTTGGCACACTGAGCCGGAATCCAAACTCCGAGCACCTGTCTCAGCATACCAGTCTGACGAAATCCATTTTGATTTGCCTCGTCATTCGCTTTCGGGCATCAGTCGGGGCTCAATTGACAGATCGTCTCCCAACAGCTCGAACTTCCCAGGCGGTACCCCTCAATCCGCACTCTATTTCAATCATCAAGAGGCTTATTCGAGAAGTCGTGCAGAGTATCTGTCGCAAGGCAGAGACTCTTGGTCGCAAAGCAGACCCATCTCTCGGAATCCACTATTGGCGCGGGATTCGAATCGATCTGCTTCGTTTTCACAGGCTGTTCCGAATCCCTACTACTCGAACCCGGCATTCTATGGGAACACCTTCGCTCCGCAGTATGCTGAAGCTGCCCCCCAGTCGGCATATGGCTGGGACCAAGTGCCTCAACTCAGGGGCCAACTTCCACTGCATCAACTGATGCCACAAAGCATGCCGGTCGGACGACCTCATCGCGGCCAAGATCCGGGCAAAGGGGTGCGGAGTGTACTGCTGGAGGAATTCCGGGCCAATGCTCGCTCGCACAAGAAATATGAGCTGAAGGTATGTGAAATCAGCTGCCAGTCTGAGCAGATCACAACTGACGTTATGTATAGGACATTTATGGCCATGTCCTGGAATTCAGCGGTGACCAGATGGCCTCCCGTTGGATTCAGGACAAACTCATAAGCGCCAACAGTGATGAGAAGGATCAAGTCTTTAACGAGATCAGAGACAATGCCATCCAGCTGTCAAAAGATGTCTTTGGTAATTACGTCATTCAGAAGTTCTTCGAGCATGGCAGCCAAATCCAGAAGAAGATCCTGGCAGATGCGATGAAGGGTAAGCTTGCGGATCTGTCACTCCAAATGTATGGCTGCCGCGTTGTGCAAAAGGTAAGCTGGTCAAAGGACTTCTCGGGTCTGAACCCCCGGCTAATCTGTTATTAGGCACTCGAGCATGTGCTCAACGCGCAATTGGAGGGCATGGTCGAAGAGTTGAAGCCCGATATTATGCGTCTTTCCATCAACGTCAACGGGAATCATGTCGTACAAAAAATGATCGAGGTGGTGCCCCAGATGTGTGTTCCGTACATGATGGTAGAGTTCCAAGGCCAGGTCCACTCCTTGTGCACACAGAACTACGCATGTCGCGTTGTCCAACGTCTTCTTGAGATAGGAAACCCAGAGCAAAAGAGCCAGTTGTTGGGAGAGATCCATGCTTGCGGCGCTACTCTGATTCCGGATCACTTCGGAAACTATGTAGCTCAGCACATTCTTGAGCATGGTGCCGAAGAAGATCAGCGCCGATTTGTCAGTCTCGCCACCGAGCGGTTGATAGACTACTCGTGTCACAAGTTTGCTTCCAACGTGGTGGAGAAGTGCATCGCGGTCGCAACGGTCGAAGAGCGGACCATGATTATGAAGAAGCTCATTACACCCGAAGCAAACTCTCGCCACCCCCTAGATCGGGTCATGGCCGACCAATACGGCAATTATGTGATGCGTAAGTCGAGACTCGATGATCATGCCATGGTTCATATGCTGACTTTTAGTAGAAAAAGTTGTCAAGGTCCTCGATGGCCAAGAACGTGCCGATCTTATGAATGAGATGAAATCACGTTTTGCGGCCTTGAAGAAGGGTTCGAGCATCAACAGTCGCCAACTCAATGCCATGGAACGTCTATTATCGGGCATGTCAGACTCGCCGTCACCAGAACTTGCAGGCATCAGAGCCGGTTCGGCGCAAAGGCGATCTCGAGGACGCAACATGCAAATTGATATCGACTCGACTAGTCCCACACCGGCCCTGACTTCGGAGAATTGCAGCCCAAAGACCACGAGCTCGCCCAGCACAAAATCAGGAGATGACACGGTCCCAGAGCCCGAGAAGATGTCAATCGAGCCAACGCTCGGCTCCGAGCCCAAGGTTGTCTTGGAAGACGGGGCCGAGAACTAGCCAGTGTTCCACGAGTCTTTAATGGGTCTCGAGCGGCCGGCCTCCGCTCAACTAATACGACATTGATTTCGGCCATTGCACATTCATGCCATTCGACTGTTAAAACTTGTGGCAAGACACGACATGGAATGCGTCTTTTCTATCAATGCATACAACGTGAATTTCATTTATACCCTAGTGCTTTCATGGTGGCAGTAATGGATTCGAAAGTCTTTTCATAGGGGGTCGTTTACAGGTCAATATGCATTTTTCTACTCGGGCACATTTCTAAGGGCCCTGTTGGCACAATCCGATTCCGACCAGGCCCTGGAGCTGCGCAACTGAGGAAGGATACGAATGAAAATGGTAATTTCTTGGGCATATGGTTGGCGTCCAGAAGAAGCATTAGCGTGCGTAGCTATTTGCGGCCGGTGACTATATGTTTTCAAAGGCAAAGATACCGGTGCTCTTTGCTACAAATATGGCGATAAAAAAGCGACAGCGATTGGATTTGCCCGGGTTGCGGGGTTGGCGTTTGAAGTGATTTTTCGCTGTTGTATTTTCTGGTGGCTTTATGTCACCTTGAAGATTTCATGGAGACATGAAAACTCTAGTCAACATTAGTGGTCAAATAAGACACAGATCTAGATTCGGTGGATAGATCATGGTGCCCTTACTCATACAGGCAGTGAAGAGTTTGTGCTCAGCCGAGCTTTGTTCAATGACTCAAATGGTGACACTCTTACACTACGACTCATCCTACGCTCTCAAAGATATTTCCATAATACATGTGTATATTTCCTGTCCAGTGACCGTCATGGCAAACGTAAGGTACCAATTCCAAGACATACGAGATGTGCCTACAATAATAGGAATCAGGGTTCGTCGACTGTGGCTGCTGGCTGCTTCAAGTCTTGTTCTTTCGGCTGTAAATACTGCTTCCATTGATTGTTTTCGGAGATGTCCAAGTGGATATATGTGAGACGTATATTATGTATTTGGCATCTCGAGGCTATAGGTAGGTACTAGGCAATCGGTTAGCAATAATAGCACGTATAAGCCGACGTATACCATGATATGATCGACCCATGCCTGACAGCAGTGAAGAGAGGTGTTTATATCATGTCGATACATGTTATGGAGACTATAGATGTCCTTATTGATGCGCTGCGAGTGGCTGGAGCCTGTGGCTATCCGTGTACAGCCTCATAGAGACTGTTGGTTGTACGAGAAGGGCTTTCATTTGTCATTGTGCGCATGATTAGTTTAACTTGGAAGAATCATCTTGAAATTGACCTTCATTTCTACGGTATTGTCGTGACACTTGCAAAATGTTATTGGTATTTTCTCGCCAGTTCTGAAGCCGTTGAGTTCATATTGCAGATCTAATAACTCAATTTTTGTGCCTTGCAGTAGTCTTGTGTTTTTTGTTGTTTATCTACAACTCGATTAGGTGTGAATGCACCTCAGGGAATGCCGTTAAAAGTGTAAACTTTTTAACTATTACTTCGCTGTATGCATAGAATCTGGGTCTGGATTTTCGAAGTGCCCTCTTTACATGCCCTCGTCCTGATCATGGGTCACGTTTCGCAACCGGATGTCGCAAGAACACGGGCACAACAGGGTCGACAAAACGAGCAGCCTGAAAACAGGCGAAGCCCGAGAATGGCATGCGAGGACAAGGAGGCGGCAGCGGCAGCCAACGACTTGGGCAGAGCCCATGAGTTTGACGGAGTCCAGACTCAAACTATCAGGGCGGTCATGGCGGGTCGTTGGCATTTCCAGAGTCTCTCGGATTACAGGAGAGAGATTACTACCAGCAGACGTGCAATAAGGGGCATCGCCATCGACTAGTCTTGGGGGAAAGGTAGAAGAAAAACGACCGGCACCTAACAAGTAGGAGAACCGTGAAACCACGAGGAACTCAGATGAAGCCGGAATTGACCTCTAGCATCTATCGATGCGCAAGTAATCATCAAATCCGCTCCCTGTGGACAGGGCCATCACACCATAAATCAATGACGAATTAAAGCCATGTTGAACTTTCACAAAAGGAGATGCGGTCGGTACTTTGAGATCCAGAGCATGATGCAACATTTCCACGATCAAGACGCGGCAAATCAACTTCCCACGGCTCTGGTCCGGGTTTAATCCCCTTTCATTAGCGAGGCCTTTGAAAAATGGACGCATCTTGTGTCCGGAGCGTAATTTCATCAAGTGATGACCTACCCAGTGAACACACAACCACCCCGGATGACCTGTTTGGGACAGCCTCAGGCCATTGCGGCGTTTACTTGGGCATTGAGATCGGCATCCGAGTCGGCATTTGTATCGGAGTATAGTATTTGTACAATCACAAGCAGCCTTGTGGGAACTCCTCGTTTAGCCGGCTGTACCCGCGCCTTCATACCCAGCTCATCAACACTGCAAGGGGTAACAGCTAGTTATTACTGAGGATGATATGCCGGCAGCTACGCAGTGCGCAGTATCAAGAACAAGGTGGCATTGTGAGCGCTCAGTTCATGCAAGTGCAGTTTGGGAACTCTCACGGTCCGGACCGTCTGGAAACTTTATCTCGGTACTCTCTCGGACGTACGGTGCAGTCAAATGAGGACAAGAAGAAACATGGGTCCAGGTGGTTCCCCGGATACTGAACATCTCCAGTTTCTAGGGTTGGGACCGGTCAACCACAACTCACCGGGTACACTGGTATACATCGTGAACTTGGAAGTGATTTGCCTGATGTTCTGCGGCAATTGACAATTTCCCAAAATTGTATCAAGTGGCGAGCTTCTGATCTGCCCTGCTACACAAGGACTACACCCATTCCCAGCTTACTCATCTGGCGTCTTCAAACAAGCTCGCAATTATTCTTGGGGGTGACGCGATTCCATACAAGTTTGCAGCTGTGCCTCGCCCCCGTGACGAATCGACTTTCTGGCTGCGTACGAATGAATCACTTGGAGCAAACGGCCAGACCAAGCCTTTGGCTACCGTTTCCGAAGCTCATGGAGCTAATGTTCAATAGCAATAAGCAAAAGGGACTCGACGTCAAAGCACCATAAAAAGCTGCATTAGCTCAGGAACGCATTTGGTCTATGGAATAAAGGAGGCTTGTACTTGGAGCACAACGTGAAACGGTTCTGTCGCCCACATTTCCCCTTTGTGTCTAATTCGGGAAGAAACCAGGACCCCATATATAAGATTTGATATAGCAACTCGCGGTTGGGGCCTCATGTTTATGGTCCGGACGACATCAGCACCGGGGAGCGTCCTACGATGAGCAATTTGGAATCTGCATCACAGGCCATTTCATTCTATTGCCTCTCGCTACTTTGTCATTGCGGCAAGCACTAGGCAAGAACGGAAATTCCGTGAAACGCTGCGTAGATCATACAGGGGACCTGCACAGGAAAGAAGAATGCGAATGGGAAAAAAATGTTGGATCATGGCTGTGTAAGAAATAGAATTCGTGTCGCGCGGCGCGCCATGTCTTGTGCCAAGTTGCCAAGGGGTCCAGCGAGTCGGAAAGCAACCAGACTTGGCGCAAATCTATGTTAGTGACGACGGAAAACTATCTACACAATAGCGCCCTAGGAATGGGGTTTCCCATCTGAGCAAGCGACAGAAACGTCCCAAGTACCGGCATTGCCTTGCCTGGGCAGAGACACATCTCATCCAGCCCAGTCACAGGGCTACTGCAGGTTGGATTGAATCAAGTTAGCAGCAGCCAAGTAAAAGTGGTGGGAGGCTCGTACTCGTTTGCCCCGAAGCCATCTCGTTCGCGGCAGCGGAAAGTGGGGTGCCACTGGTCTTGTCTTGTGAGGAGCAAAGGAAGGCTAGGACATGTGTTCTAGCTGATATTGACGATAAAGTCCGGGGCCGAGGGATGTCTATGCTCTTTTCGGACCGTCATTTTACTTGAGCTGAAGCTTATCGCCCTCCATCTCGTCGGGCCAGTGTCCTTCAATGTTGGTTGGTTCAAATCTAGTCTGGGGAAATCAAGAAAGAGATCTACTTTGGACTATTCATTTGCTCATTCTTACGAGAATAGAACTCTTGCAGCATCGTGCACCATGATGCGTATGATGAGCCAATATTCTAGAACCGAATTGATGCGTTTCAATTGACAAACGGTCTGAACGCTTTGAACGCCAAGTCTAGCCCTTTCCCTTCTCCTTATCTCTTTTTCAATATACACAACTTACCCTGTCTGCTCCATAGTTGCCCGCTTATTCCCGGAAACGTCACCTCAGCTTGCCAGGTTATATCCTTGGCATAGCGATCAACCCCCCGGGATCGTGACTCGCGCAACGACTGACCAGAGCTATATGGTGCTACTTATATATGTGACTGAAAATTCCAGCTGGGGGTAACAATCGTATGATGTGGGAGAGCCCTGGTAAGAGGGCGTCGTGATGAAGTGGTATTATGCATTGCACAGCAACCAGCATTTCTTTGCTGTGCGGCATATGAAAAAAAAAAAAAAAAAAAAGGCATTTGCCATTAGGATTTGCCGGACTCTACGAGGCTTTCCGAAGGCTGAATGAAACGATTCCTCGCCTAGAAGCTTGTCCGAAGACCAGTTTGTTTTGCAAGTTGGGACACTAGAATCGATTTTAAATTCAATACCTGTGGTTAGCGGAACTGAATGCCACACTCGTCAGATCATGACACAAGTCATGGCGGAGACGAATCACTCGAGGAGGGAGAAACCAAATGACTAGGTAACCAACTAACCCGCCTGGGCGTCCCAAGAACTCTTTTCAATCTCTCCCGCGGGAAAAGCGTTCCGATGGCTTGCGGATCTAGCTTGCAACAAGCTTTCATGATGCATATCTACCACATACCCCACGCGTGCCTGACTACTATATACCAGCTTGGCTAGCTTTTGAGGAGAGTGTGTATCCTAGCGTCTTTTTTGAATGGTCAGTCATATGTCTGGGCTCCTTAAGAAAGCAACCCTCCCTGGCTCTCTACCTCGATCCCTTTATGCCTTCCCGTAACTAACGCCCTACCATTACCCCACGGGCCCTTCGGAGATGCCTCCGACCGAGTGACAGTGAGCACTGCTGAGAAAAAAGAGAGGCTCGTTGTTGTTTCGGTACGGGACAATGAGGATCAAGTTTCGGGTATCTGGATATAACTCCAACGTCTCTCCTTGCGACCCCATATACATACAGCTTCAAATGATTTCTGGACGGCTTCTTTCCAGACCTTGGCCCACTTGCAGATGAACAACAACAAAAACAACGACAAAGCAACATTATACACATCTTATATACATACGCGAGCTCCGACTTAGCCATGGCCGACACGGTGGATACTAGGTCCAATGCTGTCCTAGTTATTGTAATTCTCGGCAGCATCCTTTCTACAGCGGCATTACTGGTCCGGGTATATTCTCGTCATGTTCTATTGCACACATTCGGAAAAGATGACGCTCTCATGATTGCCGGTTGGGTGAGTCCAAGTCTTTCGTCAGAGTCTGCAGAGCAACAAAAGATTAACATTGCATGTCAACTAGGTCTTCCTGATCGCTACGGCAGTTGCTGTAGGCCTTGGTACGAGACGTTCTGGTGTTGTAATGTTCCAATGCATGTTCTAATCAGATACTCAGAGTACCACTTTGGCATGGGAAAGCACAGATGGGATATCACACATGATGACTACGTCTCATACATGAAGGCAAGTGTCCATTCTATCGATCGGGCTGCATCAAAGCTAACCTGCTTTCCCCAGGCCTTTTTGACCTCGACGGTTGTTTACAGCGTTGCAATATACCTTGTAAAAATCTCCATCATTTTACAATACTGCCGAATATTCAAAGACACTCGCTTCTACCGATTCTACTTTGGCGTCATGCTACTCCTAGCAGTTTGGACTGTCGTCATGTCGTTTCTCTTGATTTTCATTTGTGTCCCCGTCCGTCGATTCTGGGACGAAAATGCTCCGGGAAAATGCATGAACATGCTAGCCCTGTGGCTGTCGGTTGCCGTCATCAACATGATCACCGACCTCACCTGCTTCCTCATACCGATACCGCCACTGCTCCAGTTGCAAATGTCCAGGAACAACAAGATTCTTCTTTCGGCAATCTTTGCCCTGGCCCTTTGGTAAGCATATTTACTCTACACCGTCACCCAAGGGGGGGTGTGTGTGTGCTCTTTTTATACTAAACTGTCATACATCTAGCCCCTGCGCCATATCCGCCTACCGCGTCAAGACGCTCATTGCCGTCGCGAGCTCGAGCGACCTGAGCTGGGAAAACAACAACACGGCCCTGTTTACGTTTCTGGAGCTGTGCACCGGCGCCGTCGCCGCCTGCTTGCCGGCTTGTCGACCGGTGCTCGCCAAGCTCATGCCGCGCCTGTTTACCTCGTCGACCCAGCTGCGCTCGGCCAATAGCGTCGATCTCCAGAGCCACCACCACCGCCAGACGCAGAATTCTCATCGCCATCATCATAATGATGATCAGCTGTCGCAGCAGGAGCGCCGGCTGTCGGTGCCGTCGAGCAGTAGTATGCATGGCAAAGATTCCATTAGGGGCAAGTCTGACTGGGGGAGTACTCGGGAGCTCAACTTGGAGGATAATGATCAAGAGAGCTTGTAACATTCACCGCAGAATTCCGTTAATAAATACTCGTTATGATACTATTAATTATTTGGGTGACGTTTTATCTCATTTCACACTGTGGCTCTGGGACACTGTGAGTCCGGTTAAACATATGAGCCCTACTTTTGAGATTTAGCAACAGGCATGTTAGAATTCGTAGTCGACTTTGGGTGGCTCTAATCGACTCGCGCCTAGTCAAATGGATTGACAAGCATTGGGAAGAACTCTCCGTACGGCAAGCGGTAGTGTTGCGATTAATTGTCGCGCAGATACCACGAGGAGAGTCGCTTACCGTCGCGGGGGAGATTGACAATCATCAATCAAACAATACCACAAGAGCTTGATGGAAGATACGCGGGCCTTTCAAGTTGACTCTGATACAGCTCTATCGGTCGGGCCGTCGACGACGTTGATTGTCTCGCTACAGCCCGCGACAACCCGGCCCACTTGCGATTACGAAAGTAGCTCGTCACGTCCGTTGCCCTATATGCAGATTACAACCGTAAAGCCTTTGAGTTTCCCATGGCTATTAATTTAGTCACATGTAGACCCAAGCGTTCATAATGTGGCTCAGTGATAGACGTGATGGCATCAATTTTATTTCGACAGCCTCCACGAGGCATTCATCCCTGGTAGAAAGACAGAGGGTGATTTGGGTAACTTGTAACCTCTTTGACTAGTATTCTCAAGCACGAGCATGCTCTTGCCTGGTGCTAGACCTTGACACCCGAATCACCATCGCTGTCACATGCAACCTGTTGTCGTCTGTCTTCTGTCCACTAGACGGAGTAACAGAGTCAGTTGGCATTCACAATCTGAGAATATAAGAACCGGTCCATTAAGAGGCAACCCGTTGTCCTCTCTTTCACTCGATAAATGACTCCAGGGCGGGAAGGGGTCATTATCAAGAGATTTATTTCGTAGTTAATACTAGGAAAAGAACATCACTTGTACTGTGATATCATCTCGGATCCATCTTGATAGTGGCGGTTCAAAACTCAACGCAGAGCAAACCATTTCTTCATGCGCTCCACCAAGACCATTCCGGATTAAGTGTACAGCAGCATTTGAGTCTTGGTAGGTCGCTCTGGCTTCCGAGTACCAGCAACGAAACCGACCAAACCTGACTGGTCCGGCATCAACTTGAGGTAAGCTCATTGCCGGTTTCGTTCCGTTTATCGTCAGCTCAGACCATCTGCTGACGAGGTCAACGGCGTTCTGGTTGCCCATGGTATCCCAAAGGCCATCAGTGGCCTGGATGACGAAGGACGGAGCATTGCCCGTGGGTAACTCTATTGTAGTCACAACGGGCAATGCAGTTAGATACGGGCCATCATTAAAGCCTGGATACAGTGCATCTCCGGGCTCCCTGTAAGCGTTATACTCTGTGCGGAGTCGTTCTCGAAGCTCCCTGTTCCACTTATAGACACCGTCGCCAAATGACCGGGAAGGCTGCATGCCATAGATCCGACCTCTGCTGCGGAAGATGTTGGGCTCGTCTGGGAACTGTGCCCTGAGTCTGGCAATCTCGTCGGCGTTGGAGCCAGTCTGGTCCTTGGTCAGAGGTCTGGCTACCCAGTTCCCATCTGCGGTCTTGTACCCCAATACAGCGCGGCAGTCACCGGTCGAAGCCACGTGGAGCTTTCGGGAGGAAGGGTCATACAATGTGAGCAGGGCGCATGCCCCGGAATAGGCTGGCTCGAGCCGCTTGACTTTTTCTGGGTACGACAAATTGCTCTCGGTAACTTCCATGGCGCTTTTCACCAATTCATCATCCAACCTCACAAAGGCTGATTCAATGGCTCTGTGAACAGCTGCGTCTGTGAACACGCCGTTCTCGGGCTCAGCCTCTCTTAGGGCTCGCCGTACGTATGGTAGCAGCTGTCGTGTAAGTACTTGGGAAGTTTGCCAGCCATTATGTCCATCGAACACTCCCCAGGCCATCCAGTCATTCTCCGTCTCTCCCCTTGTCAATGGATCTGGGAGCTTTCCATGGATATAGGCATCCTCGCAAACCTGATTGGAACCGAGCTGGGCGCCGTCGTACCTTGCAACACCCTGGACATTGCCATCAAGGCAGGAATATGCAGACTCGTTCAATTTGGCCTTGACATCTTCGGCCGTAATAGCAGGCGAGGGCTCCGACCTCTCTGATGAGCCAAGACCTCCAATGTCTGGAACCTGGTCGCGTCGGGGTGCTTCGGGCGGAGCCGAGGGCGCCTTGGACATATCGCTCCAGACCAAAACATTTTGACAGGCTATCGTGGCTACCGATCCGGTTGCCAACGCAGCGCCAAAGAGGAGCAGCACAGCTGAAGAGGTGCCTTTTGCTTTGGTCGTGGGTTTTGTGGAGAATTGCGCTGGTCTCGGGACGCGAGTCTTGCGCAAGAATGCTGCCAAAGGATGTCGGTGGTACGCAGGAGGAACGCGCCGCGCCCACATGATTGGTGGTGGTTTTGATCCTAGGCAGCGGTGCAAGAGGCTTGTATTCGGTATGAGCAATATACCCACCACTATATGTTCACCTTGTAGCATATAGTAGCAGGCGACAAATCATTTCGTCTGTCCTAATATTGGCGAGATTTCGAAAAGGGTAACTTTAGCTCTGGGGCATAACTTATGGGGAATTGGGCTGGTCGCTGGTCACCATAGTACAGTATAATAAATCCAACCTAGACGCTTCAGAATCACTGGTTCTGTGAGGTCTTATTTCCATTATTTAATGACGGCTCATCACTGCTTTATGAGGCCATCACCATTTCGTCAACTTCCTACTCTCCTCGTGTACGCATTTGATTAGGCCGCATGTAGTTTATGCAAATTATGCAGGATGAAACTTAACCAACCATCGCCTAGTCGAGGTCATCGGTGTTCTCCGCTCACGGGGTCCCCATTATCGGTTTCAATATAGCGACTCAGCCATCATTCCCCTATGGTCCATGTACGCATACCTACAAGAGCAAGTATTATTTTGAAACCGAAAGCTTATACATATTGTGTTTTTATGTCAAGCTCATCAGGTCTATTTCGAGTGATACACTCAGCCGTCTGACTAATCCCATGATGCTTGGAAGGATGACAACCGGAGCTCTGCGGATAAGATACGCTTATCGTCTATCTCTTATCGATGTGACGTAACCGGTATTCGCAGATGAGCTTCTAGACGGTTGGAATCCTGCCAATGCCGTCCTCAAACAAAGGAACCACATAATGGCCATTGCAAAGGGTGGAATTCGTGAAATGTTGACAAATGGGACAATTGGCGCAGTCACAGACGCTTATCTACGGTAAGTTGGACAGTCCTCGTGGTCCGTCTTCCCGTTAATGACCGGCATCAGCTGACCAAGAAGCTTGCCGCGCCATGCTCCTTAGTCGGGGGACCTCGTCAGGCTGTGTTGTTGGGCAGGCAAAGGGTCCTCCCATACATACATAGCACGGTAGGGTCCTTGGCTAGAACCTGCCTAGACGTGAAGGAGAGTGGAAGCGCAACAATAGAGTTTGGCCATTTTCAAAGAGCGGGTTTACTAAAAAGAATGCTGCTGATCGATCTCACAAATGCTTGAAAGAAGACCCCTTCCCGCCTCGTTGGATCGATCTGAGGAGGGGTTTATCGTGTGACTAAAAGGTGACGCCGGCCACCAAGTGAGAGTTGTGCCTGCATCATTCTCATAAGCCATGTAATGGGTTTCCAGGAGAGCCCCAAAAGAAGAAGAAGAAGAAGAAGAAGAGGTAGGTAAGTAGGTAGATTAGGTACACGAATGTAGATTCCAGCGTTGATCAGAGGACAAAAACAGATGACGTTCCTGCGTGGTCTCACCTGAATTCGGTAGTGTCGGGACGCTGTCATTGTTACCTCCCAATCGAAACCCATTCCATGCCATGCCGCTGGGAAGTTCTGGACGCCGAACGAAGCCAGAACGTGGCCGCCGCAGCCCGCTGTTGTGGACTCTGATCTGCGTCATGGACATTCAACACAGTTGGTTGGTAGGTAATGTAGGTACATTCACGCTGCCATGCGTCCCATTGGGGGAGGGGGGCATTGGAAAGCGGCACTCTGGAGACTCTGGAGAGCGGGGAGTTTTACCCCCCCATCATCGCTGCACAACCTCCCCCCGCTACATTGCGGTGAATTACAAGTTACCCGTGGCACCAACTAGCAGCTCGAGATCGCCCCCAATCTGCCAATGGTACAGCGATTAAAGCTTTCCATCTCCACCAGGACCCCCCTACACAAGCGCCTTGCTCTTCTGTTTTATGCAGGGCACAAGGAACCAGAAAGTATGCCCAGATGCCGGTTGACCTTAATAAACTTACACGGCAACACCCTCAGATCTGCCGGGTTAGAACGGTCTATATTGCTGGTGCTACAGTTACCGTTGATAGAGAGAGAGAAAGAAAGAGAGAGAGAGAGACAGAGGAATATGAAGAGGGTGGGGTGTCATGCATCCTACATTATCCAGAGCAGATTACATGTACATGGCATCCTGTACTTTGTCTGTGATCCGGTTGGGCAATGTACCTAAATATACTACGTACCGTGGTGTATTCATTTGTACAATGGCAGCGGCACCCCGATTGCGACCTCTAACCTCCATTCCAATCTTGGCCCCATGCTTGCCTTGGCCCAGCTGCTGACCTGACTGACCCTGGTTTCGGCATGACCCATAGTTGTGAGCCATAGGCCATCTGCCCCGCGCTTGTCCATGTCCGCCCAGGTAGTGGGTAGGTATCAGTGTACCTATCTCCCGCCCTGCCTGTCCGAGTCGCCGATCCTGGGTCCTGGCCTCCGGTTCTGTCTCGTCTCGTCGTCTTGTTGCTACTGCTTGTTGTGTTGTGATCCTTCTGCTCCGTTTGTCATATTCTTCCAAATCCATACTCTCAACTATACTCGTACGCTTCTTGATTGCAAATCGTCTCATTCTTTTCGCAGTCGACAGAAAATCAAACTCCGTGTGGTGCCAGGCAACCTCCTTGTGTAGTCATTGTGTTCGCCTCGGCTGGGATCATCCACTCCTTTATCTCTCCAGCTTCCCCTCCCCCGCTGCTCTCGAACGACAGGCGCGTAACTCGCGCTCGTTGTTGCTCTCTTGTTCTCGCCGGTCCGCTCGACTCGTTGCCCAGACTCGTTCATACGATACCGAATACAACAACATAGACAAGTCGACGTGATCATCGGAACTACTTTCACCGTGTCGACCTGCACCCGCTTTGCGACACCTTCCTCGAGCTAGGCTCCTACCAGAGCCGCTCAGCTGGTGGGCAGGAAACTGTCTTCCAGCATTCTGGTAACGCTTCTTGAATGCCTGGTGCGTCTTCTCCAGTATACTTGTCCTCTCTCTTCTCTCCGGCGCAGAAAGGGGCCTCTCAAGTGTGGAAGTAATAGCTGACCTTGTGATTCTGATTCAGGTTCCAAGAAAAAGGACAAGAATGCGAAAGATAGCGGAGGAGTCTATGCTGCGGTGACAAAACATGGGGCCAAGTTCCCGTACGTATCCATCAAGTTCCCCAGAATGAATCAACTATAGTCGTATTTATGGTGCTGATTCTTGCTCGTCTCACAGAAACGGTGCCCCCGTCAAAGAGGTGGTTTCCCCGATGCCGGAATCTCCTCCCAGTCCAGAACAGACGCCCGAGATGAAGCCAACAGCGCCAGCTGCGATTCCCACCAGCAGAAACTCGACTGCAGCCTCTCCGACTTTGGATGAAGTGACTGGGACATCTGTTGCTACTAGCACTGCTCCTAGCATGAGTGAATGGACAAAGAACCATGGTGCGCTTGCCGGCTCGCCCAACCTGATTAGTCTTATGGGCGAGTCACCGCCTACTCAACCCTCGTCATATGAGGATCACAAACCTCATCCTGCCTGGATACAGCAGAGAGCTGCCGCTAATAACTATGCTGTCTCGGCGTCGCCGCCAACTGCGGGTCGTCGGCCTTTGAGCTTTCATATGGATAACCACTACCAAGGCCATGATATTCGTTCTCAGGCTTCTTCACCTCCCGGTATCAGGCGGGGCTCGATGCATTCGCCCTTTTCCAAGCCTCGCATGGCAGCTAATCCACCCCTGCCGCATCAAGCACAAGCTCATTTCTACGGGGCTCCAGATCTAGATCTTGATCTCGGCCCGCAAGACGGGCTCAAGGCAGGCGAGCGCGGCTACTATTTTGGTTTTGATACCTGTCCTAGCTCAAATCTTGTCCATGGTATCACTGGCAACAATGTTGTCTTGGCTGGGTATGAAGGTGGCTTGGATGTTTACTCCGTGTCAAAGCGAGGTGTAGAGCCTCTTGCGAGCCTAAAAGGACTTCGCGGAGGCGTCTATAATGCCAAGATTCTTCCCTGGACAAGTAGTGGAGAGGACAATGAAGTGTATCCGCTTGTCGCTGTCGTCGTTCACGGGCCAGTTTTGGCTCCACAAGTCCCGGATATAGTCGAGACACGATACGATGCCATGGGCAGCCCCAAAATGGAGGGCATCGATACGCCTGAATCTGAGACGAGCCAGAGACCGATCAGTATGGGTAAACCATTACCGGCGATTGAGGCCTATCAAACCACGGTTGAAATCTATTCCCTGAGAACAAACGCTCTGGTCGGGACGCTCTTACACGCGCCTCGGATACCCATCAAGTCTTCCGTCCAGAACCCAATGTTCCGGAGCCCGCCACCCACTGGGGCCCTTCAAATCAGGGCGGATGGCGGCAGCATCATTGTTTCTTCAGGCACCACTGGCGAGTGCTGGATCTTCCGGGACTACAAGATTAGCGAGAAAGCTCGAGTAGAATTTCGATGTGTGGGCAAGCTATGGACAAGCTTGCAGCAAGCTTTGAAGGGCGATGCATCTTCTGAAGAAAACCGAAGTCACAATCCGATCCCGCCTAGGCAAAGTCCCCAGATGCCCATTGTCAGTATCTCTGGCAGATGGATAGCATACTGCCCTCCAGCCCCCTCTTCGCAAATAGCGCTCAATGCCTCCATCGGTGTCCCCATTGATGGCAGAGCGCCCGGACTCAATACTTTGACATCACCCGTTCTGCCTAGCGAAAGTGCTGATTTAGACCAACCGTCGTCGAATGGTGTTATGAACAAGATCATGAGAGAAACCACTCAGGAGGTGATCCAGGGTGCGCGATGGGTCGGAAAACAGGGAATGCAGCTTTGGAACAACTATTGGAAGCAGCCAAGCCCACAGTCCCAAAGCCGTTCTCCTTCCGTGGGATCGCCTCCATGGACTGGACAATTTTCTAGCAGGGCGGAAGCGTCACAGTTTCCTCCGACATATGGTGTCTCTGGTCAAGCAGTCACCAAGGAACCGGGCTTGGTATCGATTCTTGATCTCGAAAGCCTTGCCAACTCAACTTCGATTCATCACATTACCACCTTTAAAGTCCCGCTTGGATGCAGTTTCTTGTCATTCTCTCCAACTGGCTTATCCCTTTTTACTGCTAGCACAAAGGGAGACGTGCAGACGGTGTGGGATCTGATGAAGATCCAACACAGCAAGTCGTCGGCTCTTCAGAACGGTACGACGCCATCAGGCGGACATGCGACACGCGTCAGACAGATTGCCCAGTTCTCCAGAATGACTGTAGCCCGGATCGTTGACGTGGCATGGACCAAGCCAAACGGTGAGCGCGCTGCCATGGTCACTGAGCGAGGCACCGTTCACCTGCTTGACATGCCGTCCAGTGCTTACGTTTGGCCACCACCTCGACGCAGGACAAAGCCCCAAGAGTCCAGTCCGGCAGCAGCAGAGAGCACCTCGGCCGTCAGCATGGCTTCAAATGTGCTCACCTCTGCATATGGCGCCGCCAAACCATTGATCGATCATCGCCGCCGAAGCAGCTCCAACGCGCACACAGCATCTAGCCTCATGGGCCAAGCTGGATATGGAGGCAAGGTGTTGGCTGCTGGAATTAGTCACTCTCTCGGCAACACTGCGACAGCCATCAACCAAATGCGCCAGAATGCCGAGAACCGCGTCAGTCTACCTATGAGCAGCCAAGCCCCGGGTATCTCGTGTGTGTGTTGGATTACGGGTCGAAAGTACCCCACGCTATTCGTCGCTGGTGACGGTCTAGTGAGAATGTTCCCCAGTAAAACTCGTCAGACTAAGAGCAGGACCTCGCGGGGCAGCCGTTATAAGGACTTTAAGCTCAAGAGCTTGCCCAATGATGTCCTTGCACCTATCGTCAAGCGCTCTATAGAGCCAGAGGAAGACTTGGACTTCAACAACCCAGACTATGATGGGGGAAACACTCTCGTGCTGAATCCCCGTCCTCGTCCTAGCAACTCTGATCTCAACCCGGAGTCATCGATCCCCCAAGCAGAGATCGAGACGAGTGCGCCATATCAGCCCTTCCATACGGATCGTCGGGTTGCTCTCTTCGAGACAAGCCAAGAGAGTGGACAGTCCCCACTCGCCACTGTGACACAATTGTTGGATGCCACAACGTTGGACGATGCTCCAGCACCATCCCGCAAGTCAAAGAAGAAGCAGCAGAATCAAGGAGAGAAGACCGAGACCAGATCGACCGCATGGGCTTTTGGTCAAAGCATACCCGCCATTCAGATTGATCTCGGCATCATGGTGGAAGAAGACCTCACCAACAGCAGCATTGACGAGCACCGTGCCTTGCCAGCCTCGGCTATGGAACGGGTCATGCAAGTTGGCGATAACGACGAGCAGATTGTCATCACCACTCGTCGTCGTCGGGGCGGCAATCGATTGTCGGACGCTGACGAAGACGGCTTCTTTGAGGATGATTGCGAGGTTCTTGATTTTGCCGATCAGAGAGTCTGAACTGGAAATCTCCGCTTGCAGGGTGCTTGACACTGACATGTGAAATAAGAGTCCCTTTTGTATTGAAGTATTCAGAAGTATTGCATACATAGACGCATCGAGAGTTCATTCAGGACATTGCATCACATCGCGTCTTAGCAGAGGGTTTGAGCAGAGTAGCTTGTCTTCATGTTTTTTGGTCCATTATCATAAAAACTTAGTATTGCATGGCTGGTTGGCCATTGACATTCACTTGGTGTAGACGAGATGGCATATGGTATATCCCTGTTGGAGTATAGGAGTTCAGTGTGTTCATACAATACTCATCAGAATAGTAGACTATAACCAAGCAGTTTGAATACTGTAATAAAGCGATGTGTTCATAGATAGATTATTATTTATATCATTTTTTTTTTCGACACTTGTGAAATCATTTCCGAATTCACGTATATCCAGCTAACCACTCCGGGGGGTTGACATGGTGCTGTGTAGGTTGTGACCGAGACTTGTCTTGTCCAGGTGATTTGGCATCTTCCTTGGCATAGTTGCACGTATCATGGCGGCTCATTCGAGTCATCGAGATTGATTGTTTCGTCTTCCAGCTTGTACATTGGGTGTCCTCTTCTCTCTCTCCCTTTCAGGAGATACATTCGGCAGCCTGTTTAAGCCTTCTTCTTGGCAGCGGCAGCCTTTGCAGCCTTCTTGCGGTTGCTTCGGATCATGACAACACTGAGGAAGGAGCCCACGACAGCGGAGCCGAGAAGGACCAAGATGACGGGGATGCGAATGGCCCAGACGCGCGGCGGGAAGATGCTGTGAAGGGGGTGGTCTGCATCGACAAAGGGCTGCACATCAAAAGATCATTAGCAAGGGGGGTCAAGAGAGTGAGCCCATGGCGAGAGAGAAGACGTACCATTGCCAGCGTCCAGATGGTATAGTAAAGAAAGACGACAGAGGCGGCCACAAGCATGGCGAGACCGACGAGTTTGTCAAGCTGTTTGGTTGGAAACCGGGCGAGTTAGTTGAAGTTCCTGGATGCGCAGCAGCGCATTTGGGGGGTAGCAGTGAACGGGGGTAGACGCGCGCAAACGTACCATTGTTGATTACAAGAAGATGAAGGCCAAAAGTCCTTCACAAATGAGTGTATTGAAGTGAATAGATGTGCGTAAGACAAGAAGAAGAAAAGTCCAGTTTCGTGTGTCGTGCTTGGAGGAGTTGATGTTTGTGAAGCTTCTTGGGATACGGGATGAGCTGGCCAGAAATTACCCGTTGCCCTCAACCCACCCCTAAATTCAGCGAGCACCGGCAGCGAACAGGTAGCTAGTATGGGCGCGCGCCAGAGGCCAGACTGGCGCGCCGTGGAGAACTAAAAGGCAACTGAAGCTACTACGCTAGTAGTTACATTAGGTACCTGGTTTCTCTGCCTCAGCACTCCGACTGGGGCAGAGGGGTCGCGTTGCACCAATAGGATCATGTGATCAGTACCTCTCGGTCTCCACTCTTAGCCTCGCCCATTGATGTTACCGACGCCAAAAAGTTTAAGGTGACGATCCAGCTTCTGAAAGCTTTCGTTCCTCTCATCTCCTCTCACGTCACTGCAAGTTGCCTGTCGTTGTTTCCGCGCTCGACCATCCGGACCCTTCGACGGTCGAGGGAATTCGCGATTGAGAAGCACGACCAGGAGCTGTATTTTCTTTTCCTTTTACCATCAGGCTTCTTCCCATCTCCAACGTGTGGTGTTGGGCTACGGAAGCTCCTAGGTAAACAGCCATGTCTTCCCGGTCGCCTTCGCCACAGCGCGAAATGGCAGATGCGCCGCCATCTCGACCTTCGAGATCTCCCTCGCCGCGTCGTGAGCGCGGAGGAGACCGACCGCGTCGTGCCCGCAATGGAGGCGACAGCTATCGCCCGGGCGGCGCGCGAGACCGCGATGACGAACCACCCCGACGGCCGCGCTCGCCTGCGCCACGCAAGCCATCGCCAGTGCCGCCAACCGAGGAGGAGAAGCAGGCAGCCGCCCGCGCCGAATATGAAAAACTGCTGACGATGCGGTCTGGAGGCACGTACATACCGCCAGCCCGTCTCCGCGCCCTGCAGGCTCAGATCACCGACAAGACGACCAAGGAGTACCAGCGCATGGCCTGGGAGGCGCTCAAGAAGTCCATCAACGGTCTCATCAACAAGGTCAATGTTGCCAACATCAAGCACATTGTCCCCGAGCTCTTTAACGAAAACCTGATCCGTGGCCGCGGCCTCTTCTGCCGCAGCATCATGAAGGCCCAGGCCGCCTCCCTGCCCTTCACTCCCATCTATGCCGCCTTTGCCGCTATTGTCAATACAAAGCTGCCGCAGGTCGGCGAGCTGCTCGTCTCGAGGCTGGTCATGTCGTTCCGCAAGGGCTTCAAGAGAAACGACAAGGCTGTCTGCTTATCCTCCGTCATGTTCCTGGCTCATCTCGTCAACCAGCAGGTTGTGCACGAAATGCTTGTTGCCCAAATCCTGCTCCTTCTTCTGCAAAAACCAACGGACGACTCTGTGGAGATTGCAATTGCTTTGATCAAGGAGGTCGGTGCGCATCTCGAAGAGTTCTCGCCAGCCATCTCGAATGCAGTATGGGATCAGTTCAGAAATATTCTGCATGAAGCAGACATCGACAAGAGGGTTCAGTACATGATTGAGGTGGCCTTCCAGATCCGAAAGGACAAGTTCAAGGACAACCCGCCCATCAAGGAGGAACTGGACCTGATTGAGGAGAGTGATCAGATCACACACCGAGTCGAGTTGGACGCAAATCTCAATGTGCAAGATGGACTCAACATTTTCAAGTTTGATGAAAAATGGGAGGAGAATGAGGCAGCCTACAAGCAGCTCAAGGCGGAAATTCTTGGAGAGGGCAGCGACTACGAGGACGATGACGACGATGATGAGAGCTCGGATGATGAGGACGAAGAAGAGAAGGCCATGGAGATCAAAGACCAGTCAAACACCGACCTAGTCAACCTGAGGAAGACGATTTATCTGACGATCCAGTCTGCACTCGACCCCGAAGAAGCAGTGCACAAGCTGCTAAAGGTCCAGCTCCCAGCTGGGTACGAATCCGAATTGATTTCCATGGTGGTCGAGTGTTGTTCGCAGGAGAAGACATACACCAAGTTCTTCGGTTTGATCGCGGAAAGGCTTGCCAAGATCAACCGCGAAAAGATGATGATGTTTGAGGACTCTTTCAAGACTTATTACGAGACATGCCATCGGTACGAGACCAACAGACTTCGCAACATTGCAAGACTGTTTGGTCACCTCTTTGGCAGCGACGCCATTGGCTGGTACACTCTGGAAGCCATTCACCTGAATGAGGAGGAAACGACTAGTTCGTCTCGTATTTTCATCAAGATCATGTTCCAGGAGATTGCCGAGGAACTTGGCATGCCAAAGCTGCAAGCTAGAATGAAGGACGACATCCTGCAACCGAGTCTGGAGGGCTTGTTTCCCCGCGACAACGCAAAGAATATTCGATTCTCCATCAACTACTTCACCAGTATTGGTATGGGTCCGCTCACCGAGGATATGCGAGAACGCCTCGCGGCTATGCCAAAACCTACACTACCCGCTCCAGCTGCCCGAGACGATTCGGATTCGGAATCAGTGTCAAGTTATTCTTCCTACACAGGGTCATCCTACTCATCCCGATCGCGCTCGCGGACACCACCCCGACGGGCTATTGATAAAAGGGGACGTTCCCTGTCACGATCACCCCGACAACGTGGCAGATCATATTCGTACGATAGTCGGGGCCGGAGCTACTCCAGGTCGCGGTCGCGGTCGCGGTCGCCATCCTATAGTAGGTCTAGAAGTCCGCCACGCAAGGTCACTAGGAGAGATGACTCCTATTCGCGAAGCCCGCCTCCACGCAGAGGTGGTCGCGATGCGAGCTATTCCCGGTCTCGTAGTCCTGTACGCAACAAAGGCAGACCCAGAGCATATTCGTACAGCAGTCTTAGCCGCAGTCCGACTCGCTCTCCAGGCTCGCGATCCCGCTCATATACCCCATCGCGCTCACGCACCCCTCCAAGAAGAGCTCCTGCTCAGGGTGCCAGACGCGAGTCATTCTCCCCCCGAAGCCCCGTACCATCACCTGGACGTGCGAGACGCGGTAGTAGTGTCTATTCCAGAACGCCATCACCACCCGTGCGACGTGGCCGACCCGCTTCGAGGTCGATATCTAGAAGCCCGCCGCCCAGAAGACGTAGAAATACGAGCAGTGTGAGCAGTGCGCCGCGGAAACGAACAATAAACAGTGTCAGCGGCTCTGACAGTGAAGGTGGAGGCGCACCTCTCAAGAAGAGACGGTATAGCAGTGTAAGCCGTGGCAGCAGATAGCCTGGCATAGATTGAGACTATTGAGGGTGAATCAAAAAGGCATCGAATACGTTGATCAATACCTTTAATACGCAGACAGAATGATACCATGCACTAATCACTCGTGGGAGAGGAAGAGATAATAAAAGTGTTCAAAAGCTCAGAAATAAACGTGACATGTGCTCATTCATGAAAGTGACATCCCAAGTATCTACCAGAGAGAAAAAAGAGGAACATTTACTCGTAGGTTGAGAGGGCTGTAATAAGATTCGCAGTCCACGAATCGGAATTTAATACTGACGGCCAATTTGATATCCAACAGTCGTATAGTCCTATGCCTCATTGCAACCAACGACTTATCCTTTGGGTCCTTGATTCTCGCGCCATTGTTCCCCTTTCCCAAACATATAAAAATCAAACCACTTCTTCACCCCCCAGCCTAGATAGCCGGAGTTAAGAGCAAGGCGGAGGTGAAGAGGTACATGAGCATGGTGGTTTCGTGGATCAGTAGAGTTTGGCGAAATTCCTTGACTGGAATGGCGCAACATTGTCATGGTTTTGCGATTTTGATATTTTCCTCAACTATATAAGTGGCAAAGAATGAGAAGAGAATATACTGAAAAGAAGCTGTCCTGTCAGACCCACCCTCATCTCCAGCCACGCCGTGAAAGAAAAGCAACAGAATATACATAATGCCAAAGCTGATGGAGGCCTACCACATCTTATTTGCTGTAACGACTTTCTCCCACAACCACATAGAATAGCAGCTGCATATACGAATTGATTCCCGGACCTGAATATATATAGACATGTCACAAAAGCAAGTGCAAGTTGCCATTTCTGGTACAATCATGTGTAGGAAAAGTGTCAAAAAACAATGTTGACCTCCGCTATTTCGCTACCGAAAGTATTAAGGCTGAAACCGACCAAATCATTCAACTCCAATATCCTCCATTTCCTTCTCACGCTGGTTGCAAGTGCCTCCCTGGCACAATAAATGAATGAATGATGAACCTGAAACGCTTATCCTGCATCAACTCCAAATGTACGTCAAGTCTTGTACTCGTGGTGTCATGATTCCCTGCCTACAGGACAAACGTCTGTCGACAAACGCCTTCGCAAGCCTTCAACACCAGGGACAATCCATCCCAAAACCATAAAAGCGCAAAAATGTAATACAAAGGCCCCCTGTCGCTCTTGAAATCAACCTGGAAAGAATGCCGGCATGTGGCGCATTACGCCAAGCATCGTGATTATGTACTCAGACACGGATCATCATTACGACCCCAAACAATAAACAGGAAGGCCGTGAGGCGCAGTGCTGGGCGTTTTTCTATAAGGGTCTCCCAGTCCGGTACTCCAGTCGCTGATGGCTTTTTTTTTCCATGGTATAGTCAACGCCAAGAACCAGGAGAGGATAATGCAATAATCGTTTCAGTCGTAACTCGTCAAATGGGCAAAATGTGCAGACTGCACATGTACTCTAGCGAGCCAAAGCATTAGAAAGTGGTGGTGAAACTGCGACCCAACGTTGGCTTTGAGGCTCCAGCCGTACCGTTCATTGGTTTGATGCTGCCGATTTTTGTAAACTTTCCACTGAGAAGATCCAAGCCGGGGTTCTCATCGTTCTCAAAATCGAATCGTGTGAAATAATCATTAAAGTCGGTGAAGCCACCATCCTTGGACGGTGAAGCAAGCGGAAGAGATGCGAAAGCAGTAGCTTGATCTACACCCGGAGACTGCTGAAGGTATTTGCTTGGAGAGAACATCCCTTCCAAAACCTTGCTTGGCGTCTCGTAAGGGATGGCAAAAGTCTCCGGAACTTTGAGGTGCGCCGCCGAGGTGATTGAGCGGTTGGCTGCCGAGCTAGTCACATCGACAAGAGCATTGGCTGAATGTGTTCTCTCTGGGCGTAATCTCTTGACCGAGCGCTTGATGGGCGAGCCGTTGTTGGCTGCATCGAAAAAGGTGTCTCCGGTCTTGTCTTGCCAAATGTCAAAGTCATTGCTGGCGCCAATAAGGTCATTAGAAAACATGGTGTGATCCAGGCTGAAATGCGGACTGTAGGGCATAATGATCTCCTCGCTGAAGTTGCTAGCAGCCCGGCGGAGGGGCGATTCAAGCATACCCTTGACACGATCGCGATGCAATCGCAGGTTCGTGTTTGGGGAAACTGACGGGGGTGGTCTCATGAGTGGTGCACGCTTCTTCAGTGCAGGTGTCAGTGGTGGGGGCATTTGGTGTGCATCACTCGTGTGGCGGAACGGGGAAGAGGAAGGTTGCATGATTCCGTAAGAGCGAGCCTTGGTAGGACTGTCATACGAAGATGCTCGGAGGCGGGCAATCTCTTCCTCTGCACGGCCACGCTTGATTCGGGGACGATCTGCTTCCGAGCTGAGGCGCTGGTTGGGGCGCATTGCCGAAGACTCCAGGGACGAAATGTAGCCGCTGTCGTCCATTGAGGCAAATTTGCGTTTGTGCGTTCGTGCACCCGAAGATGCCGGAGCCCGAGATACTGGCGGGGGTGTGTTGCTGCGGTCCACATGGCGCGGAATAGGAGGAGACGAGTGCATCTCTGCTGGGAAGGGGGAATACGCGTTCTCCGCTGACCCATCAGCATCTATCTTGGCCACTTGCTCATCGGGTGTGAGATTATCAGACAGAGGAATAGTGGCATCGGACGAAAGCTCCGGAGCGGATGTCACAGGTAGGGCGGGAGCAGGGAACGATGGCTGAGGGTATACCATGGGCTGAGCTGGAAGTGTTGGTGCCGGGAATGCAGAGAGACCGTCTTGGAAGAAGGGCTGTTGTTCAACAGGCGCTGGTTCTGGGCGAGAGGACATATTGATGATGGACAGATTCTGTGCACCGTTCTGCGTCCTACGGCCCGGCTTCTCCTTGATGAACTGAGCCTCCTCTCCCTTGACAATTGTCCACCAGTGGCCTTTGGATGATCCTGTACCCTCTTTGGGCTTTCCCTGCTTAACGAAAGCCTTATTTAGACTCAAGTTGTGTCGAATACTGTTCTGCCATCCATGCTTGTCGTTCAAATTCTCCATGTTGTAAAAAGAGTACGTATCCATGATCCATTGGTAGATTTGGTTCAACATCAAGCGCCTTTCCGGAGATCGCAGGATTGCCATGGCGATCAGGACCGCGTAGCTGTGGGCAGGTTTCCTTCCATCGTCGATAATAGGCGGGAAGGAGTCATGAGGGGGGAGAACGACCTCTTGATCGTCCTGGGAGGCGTTGGATTGCGACGAGCTCGATGGTCTTGACTCCTTGATCGGCGCAGCCTCGAGAAGTGCGCGCTTGGATTGCGGCTTTTGAAAGTTGTCCTCGCCATTCATGTTGAATGAATGGGGTGGTGCTGGTTGCAGTGCTGGCTGTGTCGTTTCCTTCTCGTAGTTGCTGCCTACATCCGTCACTGGCTTCTGGTATACCGTCTTGAATTTCGACATTTTTGGTTGCTTCTTTTGCATGGAATCCGTTTGCTGCATGCCTGCGGTTGGTGGTTGCAGTGAAATTGCTCGGTTCATCTTGTTCACATGCTCCTTCAATGGCGTCACGGGTGATTTTGTCGCTCTGCCATTTGCCTTGAACGGCGACGTTTGCTTGTTGAATCCTTGCGGTTGCGGATATTGCGGAATAGCAGCGTACATGTTTCCATAGGCGTTTTGAAAGGTCTCGCTCGGCGACAAAGGCGCGCCAATCGAAGGCATAGGAGCCCGGCTGATGCAATTAGGTATTTGTGGTTGGACGAAAGGTTCGACGTAAAAGTCGTCGCGATGAAGATCTTGAAGTTGGTGGAGCGACTGCGCGTCTAGCGCGCCACGCGTCGGATGGGCCATCTCGGCCAGTATCAGCTGCGCAGAAGTGTGTGTTTAATTCAGTTGAGTGTCGTATGCCACTGCAATATAATGATTATGAGCCCAGAGCCTGATGCTATCTCTTGTCTTGATCTCGTTTATCTTGCTGGCTAGGTGTTTGTTAGCTCTGGTGTGTCACCATCCATGGGCAGGCTGATAATGCTGTTCGGGCGGGCGAGGCCCTGGTAAAGTACTGCTGGGTGGGCGATAGGCAGTGGAGAGACCTTGCCCGCAGTGCTCGTGGGTTGCATGACGGGAAGGAGATTTCGTGGGCATGTAAGCGCACTCACCTAGTTCGGGGTGCCCAGTTTTAATGAGTTTTGGTGGAGACGTACAAGCAAGGGTGAATGTGGCGCCTCTGGATCTATGAGCCTCGTTTAGAAGGTCTCGGATGTGTCAATGGGTGCAAATGATGATGAGCGATGCCGTGTCTCGCGCGGGTGGTTTGGTCTCGCTGTCCAAAATGGCAGGAAATCTAGTCGGCGACAATTTTGACGTCTTTTTTTTTCGTGTGCCCAAAAATTTGGTGTGGCAGATGAAAAAAAAAAGGCAAAAGTTGACAGGAAGAGGAACAAAAAGGCCAGGTGAATTGAGACGGAACAGGTCAAGGAGGGGAACTTGAAGAGTGTAACGAGGATCAATGGATGGATGTAACAGAGCGGCCGTGGGGAAAGGGCGTCTTTACTTGGCTGGCTGAGCACTTGCAGACAGGCTTGGGTTTGGGGTGGAGGGAAATCTGTCGGGTCACTCCTCTGGTGGCTTTAGCAGCTACTACATTAGGTTTCGGGGGAGCAGCACAAGCAGACCATTTACGTTCCAACACGGGCAGCCGCAAAGCTAATTGCGGGGCTATCTAGCTACGGACACCCCCATTCATAGAGAAAAGGTAAGAAGAACCTGGAGATGATCGATATAGTTGGGTCACAGGCAGCGGCCGTCTGATTGATGTGCGTGCATTCCTTCGCTCTTCAGTTGACCCGTTTCCATTTGCACATTCGTTTGTTCAGATAAAATAAGCGCTCTCTATCAAGTCAAGTCGAGTACTTATTATATCTGCTGCTTGCTTGCTTTCTTATACAGTAGGTACTTTCTATCAACTCGAGTTATCTTTCAAATGTCGGACAGTCAGTCTGGTGCCCAAGTTGCTGAAAAAAAAAAAAAAAAAAAAGTAACTACAGAACAGATCAGACCAGACCTAGAGCTTGAGCTTGGGCTATCTTGTCTTGCTGGTCCTTGTCTCTGACTGATAGAGCCATGTACCTTGTCCGGGAGAGTGCTGCTTGCACCCTCACGCCAACTCAGCAAAAGAGGCGATCCACCCACGAGTGAGCATATGTACGTATAGATCCTTGTACTATGCATACACACATGTATGTAGTGTAGCAGACTTGGCAGAGGATTGGTCTAAAGTGACACGATGTGATGCAAGGTTTGGTTAGAGAGCGAGGAATGAGAAGCCCTGCTTTGCATGGATGGGTTTGGATGGGGTGGAATGGGTGGAATGGATGATGGATGCCGATGGATGCGATTGCAGGCTGCGCCAGGCGTGACCGATTATGGGCGGGGCTCAGCTTACCACTAGGTCCCTCCTACCTTGGAACGAGACGGAATTATTTGCAATCCAGCTCTCGTCTATCTTTTGATGGAAAGTGCTTCTTCTTGTCAGCAGGCAGCGTGAACATGTCCAAGTTCGAGATAGAGGCAGAGCGAGCCGGGCAGAATGGCGATCAAAGGTCCGTGTGTCTACGAAACACGCGGTGAAGGCCTTGGCTAGTTCTCATTTTAGCAGTTGCGCACAGTCGTGGTCTTTCTTGCCTGGGGATTCTCCTCCCGCGATATCCAGCCCAGGGCCAATATGGTGTAGGCCTAGAACCGATCAATGGATGATGATGGGTGGTCCGACAGCGCTATTAGTTGAAACGGACATATAGCAGCATGGCCGGGGGCCTGTACTGGAAAAGCAGCCGGCCTTGAGACCTGCAGCCAACTGGGCGGCTGTAGGTCGTGTACAATCAAGAAGATGATGGTGTGTAACCTGACGACAATTTGTTGTGCAATCATGATATGCTCGTATGAAAAAAAGGCGTGCATTAAGGTCGAGTACTTTGGATATGTGTGTTTAAGATTGATGAGCGGCACCCAAGCGATTGGACGAGAGGTGGGCGCGTTTTGGGGAAAACGTTGGCCGCGGTTTGCGACGCGACGGTTTGTTGACGTTCCGAACCGCGTCTAGCCAATGAGAAGGCTCGGGATTGACTTCAACTCTTGGCACACTAACCACTTGCATGTTTGCACTCGTGAATTATCCATTCATTTGTGACACATCCCACCGAATCCCAATGCTTTTTCTTGCACCATGGTACAAATTCACAAGTCTATCTTAGGCCCCCCCGGTTCCCGTGCTCCATCTTTCTTGTCGTTCAGCTGCCGTATCGTTCGAATCATAGACTGTTTTCGGCCGTCCAGCAGAATACTAGTACTACCCACTATGAAACGTTAAAAAAAAGAAGAGAGAGAGAGAGAGGGAAGAGACCACCAAAGACATTCCAAAAATTCCATATCCACTGACCAGCGAAGCTTGATCCCAAATGGCTATATTCAGCCCAACCTGCCCCATTCAACTATTTGACCATGCCCATTCATTCCCATGGCCTGGCGTGATAGATCTCGATCTGACTTTCGCTCCAGAGAGGGGGGCCCGGCCGTTCAGGTGGCCCGATTTTCGATTCCGGTCCAAGACAGACCATGCCAGTCCGACCAGTACTCACATCTTTTTTTTGCTTTCATCTCGGAACGATTTTTTGGTGGGAAAGAAAAGGAATGCGCAATATCGAGGCGGACATGCCCATCTTCTTAGCGCCTCCGTATACTTTTGCCCATATAGCATAAATTCAAAAAGCCATCATCGATGTCCGAGATAAATGCGCATCGTCGACGATTACTATACAATTTGCGAATCCCGCATCCCACTGACCTACATTAGTCACACTAGTATTCGCTGGCTAGGTGGCCCTACTTCGCCTAGCCGGCCAAATCCCCCCAGCAAGCGCTGCAAGCAAGCAAAGTGTTTGACCCTCTTTCTGTGCTCGCCCAGGCCGAGCAGGATGATGTCACAGATGCGATCGTCGGATCTTCGATTCGTTTTCCGTCTAATTTCAAGAGTCCACATTCTAAGGTTTTTCTCATGCCGGCCGTCTCAGACACTGATCTGTGCTTTTTTTTTTTCGGCTTGTCTTGCGTGCACGAATTCACGATGGAGAAAAGATACTAAAAATGCTAATGATATGGTGTCCGTATTTACTACCTGGCACCTTGCAAAAATCCATCACCGCCCAAGAGTCTGGCATTCTAAAAAAGATTTTTGCACGTGCCTATACTAGTGTAGAGGCACCAAGGAGAGGAAAACCGCTTCCAACCAACGGAAAAGATACCATCCGTCGTTTGCCAGGCCAGGACTGCCCGGCTTGCCAAACGGACGACAGGTAGAGACCGACGACTTCTCATTTGACCATGCTTTCCATCTCAATGCGCTAGAAGGTGCCAACTCATCAATGAACTACATAGTATCAGGCTTTTGTTCGGCTCTAGAAGACCAAGACCGTTGGGCTCTGGGGTTCTTCGTCGTCTCCGTTACTGTCTATGGCCTAGGCTCGCGATTGCCCGATGCGGGTATCTCCATTTTCATCGCAACTTTCATGCTTCGCTGCTTCTGCTCTCTTCTGTTTCTGGGTTGATTCACCTGCCGATGATTTTCGCTAGTCTCAACTTTGGTCCACTTGCCGAAGCTTGCACCTAGCCGGCTGCCCAGACTGCTCACCGTTTTACGTGGCTCACCGGGCTGGAGAGACTTGGTAGACAGGTAGAGTTTTGACTTGGTTGAGAAAGGTCCTCTTTTGTCGCTCTGGGTTTGCCTGGGCCCTTCCTCTCTCTTCGGGGTCAAAGGAAGAGTGCGGTAGAGTTTCTCGGGTCCAGTTTGCAGATCCTTGTACTAAAACCATCCATTTTAAGACCGCAACGGGAAAGTAGACCGCCAAGTGTGCAAAATCCGGTTCTTCACCCTTCTCTGGAATGACCAGGATTATCGCCCGGCAGATGTTGGCAGGCAAGGCTGCAGGCCTAGAGGGAAGTGAGCACTAGGTTTTGGAGTCGACCTGCATGAAGAGAGGCAGTAGTGGCCTACGTACGCTTCACATGCTGCAAGTCTGTGTGGCTACAGGCTGCAGTTTCTAGTAGTGTAGTATACTAGCGGCCGTTCAACCGTTTGCAAATGGCTGCTTACATTATCGACTACAAGACATTCTGCGCCCAATTTTGGAAGAGAGTGTGAGGGAGAGTTTGAAAGAGAGTCATGACTTGCCACGTACAGATCTCACTCGGGGTCCAACATTCAGGCACCTACAGAACGTCGGCGCCAACAGCTGCATGTTTGAAACTATGAGATCAAGTTACTCCCAACCCCTTCAACGGCGGGAGGCTTGCTGCGTTAGGTCAACGGCACGGCCCTGAATCGTTGTCGATGAACCAACGCCATAGTTAGAATTCCATTCTTCTGACACTCTGAATCTTTCACTAATGCTGCACCGTTGAATCTAACAATGTTACTTGGACACAAATTAATTGGACACAAATCACCCGTAAAAGTTACTGGGCAGGTGACGGTGAAGTCGTCGAGTTCGATTGTATTGTCTACTATGCGAACAGATTCAGCCATCCGCCTTTGGTGTTTGAACCAATGGATAGGGCAGAGATGCACCACATCCGTCATTTCTTGGACAGATTGTGCAACGGCTGCCAGCGGCTGCCGCAATTTGTCCAGAACTTAAAATACCTGTATGGTACGTAGAATTCAAGATAGAAAGTGCAAGAGTCTTCTATATGCGCATATATTGTGACAATCTGCATCTATCTCACGTAGTCTACTAATCTTCTATCCAGTTGTCATCAATATAGCAGAAGACATTTCTTCGTATCAGTTATTTCGTTGTCCCCTCGACATGAAATGCCTCCATAAAGTATTATATACTCGATGTCACAGAAACTACATTATTTCGACTGTCACCTTAATAGCTTCCATTCAGTTATGATGACTCTACACGTCCATAAAGAGACTACTTTTATATATGCAAAGTCTTCTTGTCACCTGGATATGCCGTTTAGGCATCAATGTGCTTGAGATATGTTTCAAAATCCTCCAGATCAATACCTCTCCGCCGGTTGATTGTCTTGGACATATCCCAAGCAACACCTTTACCCGCTGCAAAGACATTTTGGTACTTGACCATGCCATTATCTGGTTCAGCCTGTTGGCAAAGAAAGATCAGTCATTCGATATTTATAAATGGAGTGCTTGACATCAAATGCAAAACCAAATGCTCGACAAGGACACACTTCCTGCTATAGCGTAACAATAGAGGGTAAAAGAAAGAAAAACACATCTGGTCAACTCACCTGCAACCTCTTTTGCAAAAAGTCCAAATCCCAGATCTCTCTAGTCCAGGACCCTCCGAATCGGGCCTCAACCAGGTCCGCAACCCGTCCGTACGTGACCGTGTCACCCGCGACATAGACTACCTGCCGGCTGACGTCGCGGGGATCATAGACGATCTCAGCGACCATGCGTCCAATATCTTGCGGCGTGGTGGCGCTGACGGGCGTGTCCCAGTTTCCTAGGCCTCTAAGGACTATTAAGGGGTTACCACGTCAGTCAGGTTCTTCTTTTCTCTCAAGAGGCCAGTACCAAATAGGGACAAATTCAATTCTTTTTCTCTTGAGATCGAGAGGGAGTTATTTACCGCGGTTTTTCAAATCCACCGGTCCAAACTCGGGGACCAACAGAAAGGACATGAACAGTCCCGTGCTGACAATAACCCAGTCCACGGGCGATGACGCCGATGCTGCTGACGAACGGAGCAGGTTTCGCACCTCGAGCTGCTCATCAAACAGGTCCTGCGCGCTCCCCCCTCCGACGACATCGTAGTCGATGCCGTACTGCCAGGGAAAGTAGCGGGCGACGCCGGCCTCGAGCACCGCGCGCGTCAGCTTGAGCTGAGAGCCGGGTGCTAAGTACACTGTCATGGTACAAGAATCGAAGTGAGTCAAGTGGTCTTCCTCCAATGGTTAAGAGAAGCCCTCGTGCAAAGTTCTTGTTCCTGATTTGATTGCAAGAATTGATGGATTGCATTCGAAGAGTCGTGACTTTGTCCTTATGGAATACTTACTTCCAGTACAAGAAACAATAGTATGATACTTCCCAAAGATCTGAGCCAATTCAGCAACAGAAGCCGCCTCAACGTCGCCCGCCTCGAGTGCCACTCCGAGCGATAAAAGTCGTTTATTCTGGCCCTGCTTTTGCGGATCTTGAGAATTGAGGGTCGAGGAGCGGAGAAGGACGGCAATGTTGGCTGCTGGCTTATTGGGGTGTGAAGTCAGGGCATTGATGACGGCATTGCCCAATTCACCGGCGCCGAGGACGAGGATGGATGCAGACGACATATCTTTACGAAGTTGTCACTTGAACTGTGGGAAAAAAAGAAACAGGGTTGAGTTGTATAAACTGTTGCAGCCCACAGATCAGCGAGCGTTGGTCTCTTTATACACGACCTAAATGGAGACGCCACTGCTACTCCGCACTTTGCTCCTGGATGACAGTCAGACGTCTGCTTAGAAATCCGAAAAGGAGAGCTCTTCGGCGGTGTTAGGAGCGGAGTTTGGGATGAGCCAAGACACGCCGGGTTGGAAGGGCGATCCCGTTCGACACCGGCCGGCGAGCGATGGCACCAGGTGTCCCGGACGGAGATGTGGGTCGGCACCCGGGGATGAGTAATGGATCCCACCTGGAGCAGGTTTGGCACTGCTCATGTGAGACGGGCCAGGCATACCAAGCCCAACTCCCCTCTTCTTCAGTCGATCTTTCATCTGGGCGCTCGCCTCTTGACACATGCCGACTTGCTGAAGACCCGTTGCTGTCAACCAAAATCAAGGCATTGGAAAGCATGTTCGTTTCGAGCTTATGTAGGCGGGGCAAACGTACAACATGACCTGACTTTCGAAAATGTAGGTACACCACGGACTATTTCGGGCTCAGAATCATAGAATAAGTTCGAACGGGCACGCAGTGCATGTGGGTGTTCTCTGTTGACTTTATGCAAGATACAAACTTACTCACATCCATTGATATCAAAGAAACACACGTCTATCTCATTCTGACAGCGCGTATGTCTGCTGCGCCTCTACGATACCCTTGTTTTTTTTTTTTTTCGTGAATAAAGAGTTTTCCGATGTGTGCATTTTAGTTTTCGCGCTCAGAAGGATACACGCCATCAATACTTTATCTCTTTCTTTCGGTTTTTTTTGGGTTTGTTATAACAACAACATGTTTTACAATATCCCTCCACTTCCGTATCATGACTAAAGCGCAAATCAATTTTCATACCTAGGCATCTTCCATGAAAGGGTGCCGAAAGTGAACAGCGCATCGTCTGTATAGACAGACATGGTATCGCAACTATGAAAAGCCAGTCCAGCATCCCAAATCAAGTGCTCATGTGGTATATACAAAACAAGTGCAGCCATACTCGTACAAGTTTGTGTGTGCTTCTGCCAATTCAAGGCTGTTCTGAGGCTGTTCCTTTGATGGAGAAATGAATGATCTCCATCCTTCCCTTGTACCTTATTCCTCCACTGTTATTCCTGCACTCCTTCCGAATATTTATTGGTGCTTCCTGAAGCAAGCTAAACTTATGCCGACCTATTATTCATGAGATTTGCAACGGAACTATACCAAGACAGTTACCATTGAGCAGCTATACTGTCTTCGGTCCACCTTCCACAGCTCGATGGCATAAATTTTCTTGCCAGCACTGATCTTGAAAAGAAAAATCGGCGTTAGCCTGCGCGTAGGCATCCGCGAAAATTACAATTAGATGATTATGCTGATAGTTTTCTGCAGCTGAGGGTTCTCCTGCTCCTGCAGCTGCGGGTCTGCGACTTCTGAAGTATCCTGGTTCTGAAAGTACGAAGGGTTCACACCGGTCCAGGCCACGGTGCCGCGATCATCATAGAACCCCTGAGGATCGGTATACCCAGACATGGGCTGACCTATTTCAGATGTTTAGTGTAATGAGCAAGACAGTAAATTATAATACTTTGTGGAAAAGGGGGAGACGTGAATATTTTCAAGGCCTGCATATGAACGCCCAAAACAAATGACAAGCCCGGGATTGTTGCAGTGGTAATAAGGAATAGAAAATAGGTCGACAGTTCGGTTCGCGAGTATAAAGACTAACCTTGACTATAGTCTGGATAATACAGACCGTGTTGCTGCATTTGGTGGTTGAAGAATTGCTCGTCCGGCGCTCCGGCGCCGCCTGTTTGAGGTGAAGTTGTCCATCCATAGTCTGATGGACCATCATTGCTTTGAGCGGGGATGAATTGATCCCAGGGATTGTTGGCCATGTCCGGAGGCGATACTGGAGTCTGGAGCTGTACTACATTGTCAACAGCCGGGTTGACCCCACCTTGCTCCGGTTTAGCGGCATGCGCAGTTTGAAGTTTCGGGTCGTGATGAGTGTTGATGCGCTGATGCCGGGTGAGGAGATCGCGTCTAGCAAAGGCATGACCGCAGTGGCAGACAAACGGCTTCTCCTTGGTGTCTATGATCTTGTGGTTAGACAAGCCTAAAACGGGACTTGGCGGGTCGGACGAGGAAAGTATGCCGGGGGAGCAGCTTGCGTGTTTCTGCGGAGAGAATAGCGCTCCTGGGAGTGAAGCAGGCCAATGAAAGACAAGCCTGATATCCAAGACGCTTCATATGCCGAGACGCAATAGTCTTGTCATTGCATGCATTGGGGAATAAAAGCAAGTTGGGGGCGCCAAAGGTGGGGAACTCTTTGTGTCTCGGATGGGTATACGGAAACCCCAGCCTCTTGCTGCGGACTTTCCGGGCAGGGAAAGGAGCTTGCTGTGAGCAGCAGCAGCGCAGAGGCGCAACGACGCGGGGTCGCGCCGTCGCGACAAAAGAGGCTCTGCGCAAGTTGAGCTGAATAGTAGGATAGTGTTCTAATTGACGCCTCGATATTGCAAATGTCTGGGCAGAGGAGAAACGCAACGCCGATGTAGCCAAACAAAGAACAGACAGGGGGTTTCAATATACACTAAGAATGGGAGGAGGCAACGGGTCTCATTACCGCGGTTGGAGTACAGTACGGGGCAGGGCAGAGCGAGTGAGTGATGGAGAGCGCTGGTTGGAGAAAAATGGACAGACCGAATAAAAAAAAAACCGACGAAAGATGGCGGGCGGGAACAACGCGCCGTTGGACTCAACTTACGAGTTCGAACATGACGCTCTTTGTGTTCGGAGCGTTTGAATGAACGGTTACAGTATGGACAAATGTGCGACACTTCTCCCGAGGGCTTGCGTCGCTTTTGCGCGACTCCGGCCGCGACGGGTGGCCGCGAGGTGGAGGCCGTCATGACTTGCGATGCCATTTTGCTTTGTGTGTTTGTCCTAGGGAGGCAGTCGAGATTAAAGGAAGACTTTGTTTGCTGTCTTGACGGAAAACTGCGATGCTGTCCTGACGGGATTTTGCGTCGGGTCTTTGTTTGGGAGTTATGGGCGCGTTGAGATGCTCATTGCGCGTTTGGGTTTTTTTGATTGATTGATACTTTTGAGAGCAGCAGGACAGACGTTTTGGACGTTGGAGGTAAATCTGGTAGTAGCAAGTCGTAGTAGTGGTAGGTCTAGGTGATGGTCCCTGTGGCAAAAGATGGGGTTAAAGATTCAAATTGCGGGGGCGCTTGGGACGGAAAGAGGGGTGAGCGACGGCTAGGTAGAAAATCATCAGTGCTCGCTGCCACTGCACCCCGGAGCCAACCGTTAGCCCTTGGCCGTGACCTTTTTTCCCTTACCGGTACAACACCTTGCAAGAACCTAGGAGGCTGGGCCGTTCCATTGACAATTGGCAATTTGGTATGCATCTAGTTTGCGCACAAGGGTGATTATTAGAATCTTGATCATCAGAGTCAATTCGCCTGCATCATTATAGCGCGGCAAATAGATAAAAATGAGTCCCTGTGCAATGGTCCCAACACGTTTGACAGAAGCTGATTGTGCCAGCTCTTGATACTGTTGCCCAAGTCACAGCACCTCCTCTGGATATGGCATGGTACGATGCAATGGTAGCTCCCTACCACACTATCTCCGGACCTGGGGTTTGGCAACCACCGCGACACCACTAGCGTTATCAGTGCAACGATACGATGGTGTCGGGGAGTATACTGTGGACCGCCGAAAAGCTTCACATCAACGGGATTGATAGTAGCCAAAAGTGGCCCACACGTAAGATAGCTATATAGAGGTTTTTCCTGAGCAGTTCTTGACAATGCCCATCACGAGATTTCCAACCCTTTTTTACCACTTCTCATCTTTTCCTTCTTTTGGTTTTGGGCAAACATCTCCGTCTTGGACGCTAGTCTCTTTGCGACCGTATCTGCAGCTCCCTTGTGACCAAACATCCCGGCACCCGCACCAGAGAGCTCCGACCACCATCAGGAAATGGCTTCGGCGACAGTGTTCAAACTTCCAGGGGTAGCCCTCATCACGGGTGCAGGCGGCACTGGTAGGTAGCTCAATGCTTCGGTCCTTTCCCGGCCGCGGCGAGAAAAGGAACCAGTTACCCACGTATAGAGCTAAACTCAGTTTCTAGGTATTGGTGCTGCTGTGGCAAGGGGGTTTGCTCGATCTGGTTGTTCCCGAATCGCCATTACAGACCTCAATGGTGACTCCCTACGGGCTACCCAAAATGCCATACTCGAAATCAATCCACAAGCGGAAGTCACCGCACGCGAGGGTGATATATCGGATGAGTCCTTTGTCGTAAGTCGATCAAAATCAAATAAATGGAGACCTTGTCAAGCTTCATACCTCGCAATATTGCTACGGTCACTGGGCACCAATGATTTCTTGTTCCGTCATCTTTACACCCTTGGATCAGTGGAGACTGACTCGGGACCAGAGCTCATTCGTGGCCGATGTAGCCAAGACCTATACTCGTATCGACTATGCCGTCAACTGCGCCGGCATCCTGACCGAGTCGGCAAGGTCAACAGAAATGCCCGTGTCGGTCTTTGACGCCGTCAACAATGTAAACTACCGAGGCACCTGGCTGTCATCGCGAGCCGCACTGGCAGCAATGCTGAAACAGGAGCCTCTCACTCCGGGGGGTATTACCCGGGGCGCCGTCGTCAACATTGCCAGCCAGCTCGGCATCGTGGCGCGGCCCGGCGCCGCGGCGTATTGCGCTTCCAAGGCCGCTATTGTCAACATGACCCGGTCCGACGCCATTGACTACTCTCCCGACGGCATCCGCGTGAACTGTGTGTGCCCGGGCGTTATTGATACACCCATGACCACGAGCTCCGAGGAGATGCGGGAGCGACTTCGCCCCGCCGTGGACATTGCGCCCATGCGGCGGATGGGAACACCCGAGGAGGTCGCTCATGCCGTCTTGTTTCTCTGCTCCCCCGAGGCATCTTTCATTCAAGGACATGCGCTAGTGGTGGATGGAGGATATACCATAAATTAATGGCGGTCAAGTGCGTTGCTGCACCTCATCGGTGTATTTGCGGCTTGGGGGAAAAAAAAAAACTTTCGATTGTAAATTCTTGAGATCAAAGGACATCCTACAAATAATGGACGCTACTATAGACAGTGAAGACGAAAAGGGTATAATCTAAACCAAAATAAGACCGAATGCCATGCTTTCTTTTCCAAAAAGGCGTTTGCAACAATAACTTAGAGCCACTGATTGAGGGATATTAATGATGCCTCCTCCCCATTCCGTGAGCATGCCCCTGCATATCCCGCCTAAACCACCTCCGATATGGACCGACATAAGCCGCCGACATGCTGGCATCCTCGGTCATGGATTCAGTGGGCAGCGGACCCGCGCCCGTGATGAAGCTCCCGGTCCCGCCAATGAAACCCATGCTGCTTCCCGTGCCATATATACTGCTTCCAGTCCCGTACGCTGACGGAAACGGCGGCTCCACGGTTACGGTCACGGGCAGCGCGGTCACCGTAATGTAGCTGGTGATGGGCGGGTCGCAGAACGGCACGTCGGACGGCCTGATCGAGGTTACCGTCTGGTAGTTGATTACCGTGCTGGTCAGTCGGGTGGTGATCCTGGCGGCGGTTTCGCCTTCGGATTGTGCATTGACTACGTCCACAAGCGTGCTGAGCAAGGAAAACACGTTAGTCTCATCTGGGTGGGATACCAATGATGGAATGCTGTAATCTCAAGAGAAAAGTAGGGAAAAGAAAAAGGGGGGGATTCTAACCTTGATGATGAGCTCGCTTGGGCGACTAATGATAGCAATCGGGTCTGCGTCACCATTGGCTGCGTCCCCGTGGCCGCGGCGTACGGAACGCTGGGACTAGACATGTCCGTCATGGGCACAGCAGCAGCAGACTCGGGGGTGGCAGGTGGGGGAGGAGGAGAAGGGTTCTCGGCGGAAGTAAGCGCCTCGTATTCAATGACGGTCGTAAAATAGTTTCCAAGAGTCAAGGTTGTGCCAGGCTTGGTTGATGCCGGCTCCGGAACCGTAGACTCGGCGGCCGTGGCGGCAGCGGCCAAAGGTGTTGAAGGAGTAGGAGTTGGCGCGTCTTCGTACGTGATTGTCGTGGTGACGAGCACTGTCGACGAGCCGATGGTGTTGTTCAAGGTGACGGCTTGCGTCGAGTACGTAATGGGGCAGACTGTGGTGGATAGAGCTATGATTGAGGTGACCACGGCCGGGCTACCGGAGCTTGCGGGACAGTTCGTGACTTCTGGTGCACACGATGTGACGGTATAAATGGTGGTCGAGTATACTGTTGAGGTCCTTGACAACGGAAGCGCGGGGGTCGTGCTAATGGTCACGGCGGCGACAGTTGAAGACAGATTTTCCGATGAAGTGATTACGGCAGTAGCAGTTTCGGGAAGCACGCCGGAAGAGCCAACAGGTGCGCTCTGCTCAGTTGCAAGACTCTCAATGGTAGGTACGGCATCCGACGACCCAGTGCTTGGCACACTTGACGGACTCGGAACTGGAATCGTTTCAGCAGCATTCTGTACAGCTGCCGTCACGGGGCAGATGGTCGTATATAGCGCCACCATTTCCGTAGTCAGGCTTCCGAGCTGCGACGAACATTCCTTGGATCCCTCTGCACATGAGCTTACAGTATACACGCTGCTCGTGTAGACAGTTGACGTTGTCAACTCCACACTGGATGGCAATGTCTCAACCGCATTATTGATAACGGCAGTCGTGGGTACAGACAATGGCGATGAGCCTGTGGAGGGTACCGATGGAACCACCTTCTCACTAGTTGAGAATGTCTGGGCCGAAGACAACGGTACAGAAGCTATGCTAGCCGCGGTCGTCGCACCTGTTTCTATCTCGGTCACGGGACATATAGTTGTGGAAACGGCTATAACCTCTGTTGTGACCTGGCCTTTCTTGGTAGGACAATCTTTGACCTCTGGTGCGCAGGACGTAATTGTATAGATATTGGTCGAGTAGACAGTACTGGTTGTCAACTTGGCAGGGGTAGTAGGCGCTGTCGAGGCCACAGACGAGTTGGCAGAAGCAATTGTCGACCTCGAGTTGGTCAGCGTGAGCGGATAAGTGCCTGAAGGAATTGTTGCTGATGTAATGATACTCGAGACTGCAACTGAACTGTTGGTCACTGGGGTGAAAATGACTGACGAGTTGGTAGAACTTGTAACCAGAGGCGTGATATCGGGAGATGTGACGGCAATAGATGCGCTGCCGGTCGTAAAAAGTGTCGAGCTCGGCAATTCTTGGGCAGCATTGATAGCACTGATCCGAGGAGTATAGGTTACCCCATCCAGGACCGTCTTGGTAATAGGACATATGGTGGTATACAGGGAGATCAATTCTGTTGTAACGCTTCCCTTTCGGGCAGGACAATCCTTTACCTCTGGCGCACACGACGTAATCGTATAGATGTTTGTCGAGTATACGGTAGAGAGTATCGATGTGGTGATTTCTCTGCTGACGCTATAAGTGGTGGGTATCACCTGGGATGACTCGCTCGCCGTGCTGATAGTTTGGGTGCCGTTGCTGTTTACCGTCGTGGGTATCGAGGTGTTGTAAGAGGAGATGATGGAACTCAATTCAGAGATTGCCGAGCTTAGAGTTGAAGATATTGCAGAAGATGCACTATACACACCGGATGTAGCATTGCTTGAAACGCTGCTCGACATGGTACTTGACGCCTGCGCAGTTGGTACACTTGTGACAAAGGTAGACGCCGCGGTCGACAAAGCGACAGTCGAAGCCTCGGATTTCGCCTCTGCCTCTGTGACGGGGCAGATGGTGGTGCCAATTGAGATGACTTCTGTAGTGACTGCTCCAAGCTTACCGGGACAGTCCTTGACTGTTGGAGCACAGGAAGTGATGGTGTAAATGTTTGTTGAATATATCGTGGACGTAGTCAACTCGGTGACGCTCGCATTCGTTCTTCCGGATGCAGCCTCGACACTCGCTGCAGATGGAACAGATGAGTTGCTGGCAGTTATAGATGCAAATGTTGACGAATCAGTAGGAACAGAGCCTGAGCTGGAAGCCGAACTCGACGTGACCACGGACTCATTGGTGGTGGACAAGGACGTAGTCAGGCCCGAAGAGGCTGAAAGAGCTGTTGGCGCCGTCGTCATAAAGGTTGAAGATGGCGGCGTTCCCATGATATAGGAGCTGATGCTGCTCAAAATGCCTCCAGCCGATGTTGTCAAGCTGCTGCTGCTGCTTTCAGAAGCCGCAGTCTCGAGGGCGCTTGAGAGACTAGATGTCTCCAAGGTCGATTGAAGTGAGCTTTCCACTGATTTGAGGCTTGACAAAGTCGAGGGAGCCGAAGAGGATTTGATCGCGTCTGAAGATGTCATTGGAGTTGCATTGTACGTGATCGCGGCGTCATCTGCGCCTAGAGATGGCGATGATATCACTGATGTCTGAAGAGTACTCGCTTCATTCGAGGAAACGTCAAAGCCGCCTTTTGCAGCGTAGCTTGGAACTACAGAAGAAGAGCCTGGTGTTATCTCTGCCGTTGATGCAGCCACGGAAGATGGCGGAGGAATGACTGAATATTGAGCGTTGGCAACTTGAGCAACGAAGCTCAGAGTCGCATACACGCCATATGATTTCGATAACATTATTTCTTTTTTTCTCGTTTTTAAAAATATGAAGAAGAGTGATGCTGGAAATGACAGAAGAAATGTGTAATCAAGGGTGGTGAGTGGCACTCAAGGACATGTTTGTCCACATGGAACGCCTCGAATATGACCTGTCGCTTGAATAAAGAGCCATTGTTGCTATCTGGGCGTGCATAGCCTCGATGTACTGTCAAAGACTATATCAAAGCAATCAAAGCCCCATTTCCCCCGGAATTAACCACTTCCGGTCCCAAACGAACATTGATTATAGGCACAACTAAGCAAAGCCATTATAGCAATTTCAATGGCAAAAGGGTTGATGGCAAGAGAAAGATGGTTGCCCTCGACACATTGTCCATGCATTGCCGACTAACAGATTGAGAGGCAACAGTGTAGGGCCGGATCCCGGACTGAACAAGGTCTTTGTTCAAAATTTCACACTACGCTAGGAAACGCAATAGAACGAGTCGAAGTAATCGAAGCATTGACCAAGAACAGTATTGGCTGTATTGTATGTAATTTGGACATCAATGTCTCTAGAGTAAAATGGTCAAGTATCGAAATTTCTCTTAGATCTTGTCCGTGTGCTCCTTATGCTCCGTTATCTCGACCTTGACATCCTTACTGTTTTCTAGTGTGGCCAAATCATGCGACATGCCCGTTGTCTTGTAGGACGCAAACTTCCAAGCAGGAAGCTTCGCATCGAACAATTGATCAATTTCTTCCAGATTACGCCCCTATGCGCCGTTAGCAACTAGTCAAGGAGGAGAGCGAAAAGAAAAGAGGATATATGTCGGGGGTCTTACCTTGAGCTCCGGCATACAAAACCAAACCCACACTGCTCCCAAGGCTGCAAAACCGCCCCATACATATCCCAGATTAGGACCGAGGTTTGCGTACGGAGCAGAGAGAAGATATGGCGTCGTGAAAACGACGATAAAGCCAACAACAACATTGACTGCCGTAGCCAGGGCCATGGTCTTTTCTCGGAGCGAGGCCGTGCCCACCTCGGCAGCAGTGATGTAGGCAGCCGGACCAAGTGTGGCGTGCAAGGCTGCGGCATACAAGATGAATGATGCCACCATTCCGCTAGTCTCTGATTGCGAGCGGTTGGCCTTTGAGCCGAGACCACCAATCAGACAAAGAAAGAAGGCTTGGATAATGTTGCCCCAAAAAGTAACTTCGCGGCGGCCAAAGGCGTCGAGGGCGAGCATTCCGATGATGGCGGTAACGACCGAGACTCCATTGTTAATTGCAGCGTAAGCGAAGGCCATGGTGCCCAAGCCGACTTGTTTATAGAAGGTGGGACCATAGGAGCTGCTAAAGGTGACGCCGGTGAGTTGTTGAAGAGCCATAATCACGACGGCAATACTGTGAAATTTGCTGTTAGTAAGGTGTTGGACGTTACGGCATCGGAACCAAGTAATTACCCTGTACGCCTCCTGTTCTTGCGGTTAAATAGCGCCATCCAACCATCCTTTTTGACCGTGTTCTGGCCTTCTTCACGAAGGGCAGCAATCTCGAGTTCGACAACACCGTTATCAACATCTTCCTTCCGGCGAAGTTTCTTCAAGGATTTGAGGGCGTCTTCGGTGCGATCTTTGCTGACAAGCCAGCGGGGAGAATCTTGGAGACTAGTCAGCAGGGGAATGTTGAGCTTGGGCGAGCTGTGGTACCTGGAGTGAAGGGTATTCCGGCAAGAATGATGATAGCCGGGAGGACTTGGAGAGCTGTAGCGATTATCCAGCCGGCATCCGTGGTGTAGTATGACATGGAGTTGTTGACGATGCCGGCAATAAGAGACCCGAAAGTTAGGAAAAGTTGAATCGATCCGACAAAGAAGCCTCGCAGAGGAGATGGAGAGATTTCAGTCTGGTAAGTGGGAACAATCTGCGAGATATCATTTAGCTATCTTCAAGCAAGTCAAAGTTTTGATAGATAGTGCAATGCTTACATTCTCGACCAAACCAACGGCGGTGTAAATAATGATGCGCCCGACTGTATATTGCGCGGGATGCTTGCTAGTTACCTGGACTGGAGGGTGTCAGTGCAAACAAGTCAACAGAGATGCTCCCAATAGACTCACTAATGACACCAGTGATCTGAGTTGCACAAGTAATGAGCATGGCCTTTTTGTGGCCCAATCTCTCCGTGAGCGGACCAACTACAATGGTTCCCAAGAATTTCCCAATGAGAGCAAGGCTGTTCATCAGAGAAGCGAGAGAGGCTGGTAGAGAGTATGTTTTCGACTTGGCATTGTATTCGCCAAACTGTTTTGCAAAGGGGGTAAAGGCTTGCACTCCTGCGAAAGACGCGCCGTCACTTTGAAGAGTTAGTACTTAGACAAGACGACAGATGATGGAGAAGCTGTGGAAACTGACTATCCTATACAGACATATTAGTACTGATTCAGTGTAGACGATGGGACGATGGGAAACTGACCAAAGAAGATGCTGCCCATGGAATAAATCAGACAAGCATAGAGAAGACGAGGTGTGGCCGAAACCCACGCATGTCTGCTGACAAAGATGTTGCCCTTTCCTCCCATATTGATTGTAGGATCGATGACTGATGACCTAGATCAAATTTCCCTTGGTCTGTCCCAAAGGAATGGGAACAAACCGTTGAGGCGAAGAGGAAACATTTTATACATTCTGGGGTAGTGCAACTGTCTGGGGAAATTCTCCACACCTTCTCCTGTGGAGTTTCCCAGCTGACTGGTTCCCCAGATCCTCAAGTGCGAAAACGGCAGACCAGTTCCATGTTTGGCCTTGGCACCTGAGTAATGCAAGAGACCAGTTAACAAGTCTGGATGTGAAATGCTGCTCAGGGAATTCCCCTTCAACCTCGGCTTGGTTCAATCAACAATTGGTAGAAGTCTGAAGAGATTGTAAACCGCTCCCCGAGTCTCGGGGAACGAGTTGCTAAAACCTGGTCGGACCCTTGTCCGATTGGCTAACGCTTCCCCGAGATGCCCTGTGCTAGTCGTCTGCGGTACCCAGTAACAGAGGAGTGAACCCCTAAAAGCTGCTTCTAGGTTAGTTGACTGACTGCTGCGGAGTACTCCGTCACATCAGAGTGACCATACCTTGATAGTAACTCAAATTGTTCACTTGAGATTTTGTTTTCTTAGACTCCATTATCTTGCATTTTCGTCCTTCTCTTCATTTGCATGCTGGCATAGTGCAACAGTAGCCATCATGAATATCAAGATGTTTGTGCCCGAAAACGACGTTGTGGTCTATGGCTCCACGTCGGGCGCCGTAGCGACAGCAATCCAAAGCGCAAAGCTCGGCCGAACGGTAGTCTTGGTATCACCAGACGAACACATCGGTATGCGCCCCCACTGCTTATGTGACTGCATATCAACAAAACATTTTGAATTAATATATTTCATCAAGGTGGCATCCAAATTGAAGGTCTGGGCGCTACCGATATTGACAATCAAGCTGAAGTTTTCAACAGCCCGACTGTGGGCGGGCTTGCACTGGAGTTTCACCGTCGGATGAGCAAGTTCTATGGACGTCTGGAGCATTTGGAGTATTGCGTGAAAGAAGGCATCAAGGATCCAGACGTGTGGCGATTCGAGTCTCGGGTTGCTGAGCAAATTATCGAGGAGTGGCTGGCCGAGTTTGAGAATATTACAATCATCAAGGTGATTATATTGCTCATGCATGTAATACTCTTCGTCACTAACATTCTCAGGGAGCTCTTGATTCTACAAATCCCGTCGTTCGAGACAGCAGCAGAATCCGTGGACTCAGGTTGACCGATGGAATTGTTGTGTCTGGCCGTGTAAGTTTGTGTCCTGGGAGAGAATGCTGGTATTGATGCTGACAGTCTAGGTCTTTGTGGAAGCATCGTATGAGGGCGATATGCTCGCTGCTTCAGGAATAACAACAACTTACGGGAGGGAATCTAGCTCAACATATGGTGAGAGTCTGGCTGGGGTGCGAGAGAATACCACATACACACAGATTGATGTGCCAATCGACCCCTATAACATCCCGGGCGACAGTTCGTCGGGTCTGATCCACGGTATTTCCCCTGAGCCCTTTGGGAAAGCAGGAGACGGGGATAAGCATCTCGCAGCCTTTTCCTACCGCATTCCCCTCACAGATCGACCAGAGAATCGGTTTCCCATCTCTAAGCCAGAAGGCTACGATCCCACTCACTATGAATTGCATCGTCGCTACGTCAGAGCAGGCGGAACCTTGTACACTCCGAGGAAGAGACTGCCTGGAGGTAAGACAGACTTGATCGGTTCCGAGGCTCCACTTGCTACAGATCTCCTGGGCATGAATGACAAATGGGCGACGGGAACTCGTGATGAGCGCCAGAGAATTCTAGACGACACCGCTCTATTCACAAAGGGTCTTCTGTACTTTTTCGCCAATGACGATTGCTTGCCCGTGAGTATATGCCATCTTCCTGTTCTACTAATCGAGCTTTTACTAACACTTTGGCAGGCCGACTTTAGAGCGGAATGGTCGCGCTTTGGATATTGTCTCGACGAGTTTCCAGACAACAATCATTTCCCGCGAAAGCTTTACATTCGCGATGCACGACGCATGGTCTCCGACTATGTCATTACTGAGCACACGGCATCCCGCGATAATGGCGAGGACCCGGTGGATGACCCCGTCGCCATTGCATATTGGCCCACTGACACGCATTGTGTGCGACGAATTCTACGTGACGGCAAAGTCCACAATGAGGGATTCATCTTCAAGGACGGACACCGATGGCGACCCTTTGGTATTGCCTATCGATCGCTGGTCCCCAAGCTGAGTGAAGCGGAAAATGTCATTACTGTCACATGTCCGTCTTCATCGCATGTTGGATACGGTAAGTGAATAATCGAATTGACTGTGTAACCCTCTCAGCTTGTACTTGAGCTGACAAAAGATAGGCGCCGTTCGGCTCGAGCATCAATTTTATGCTCTAGGACAAGCCTGTGCAAATGCCTGCGATATTGTATTAAAGGACTCAGTCCCATTCCAAAAGGTGCCTTACCACCAACTGAAGGAGAGATTGTTACAACAAGGCGCAATCCTCGATGTGAGCAAAGTTGGCGCCCCGGAATTTCCGGGAGATGAGTTGTAATAGGTAATTGGTATATCTATAGGCAATGCTGCACTGTACTTGACGCTTGTATTCGATAGACTTAGAATCGCAAATAGATCTCTGACTCGATCGAATTTCAGACTGCTACTAGAAGAGCGGCCAAAGAAAAAAAGAAATGAAGCCAAAAAGGTTTTCTCCTTCGCCCTCTCTGTGCAGTTAGTGCTACACTACATTGCTCGAACTCATGATTTTCCAAATATCCCCCGAGAATGGCAGAACAAGAACTGTGAAATAGACACAAGGTTCTTGCACACTTGTCACAGCCCAGATGCGACCTGGTAAAGAAAAGGCAAAAGAGGAAAAAAAAAAACAATGTCTGGTGATGAACTACAGGCAAGCCCTTAATTCCGCCCTCTAGCTAAACTTCGGGGAACGTTTTCTTGTGCTCCCCGCGCATAACGTAAGCCTGGGGTAAGGGGGACTTATCACTGTGGAGTTAGGGCACTCCGCTTTTCGGCAAACGCTATTCAATTCGCGTTTCCGTCCACTGCCGGATTTTCATGCTCCATGGCATATTCTAGTCCATCTAGCTAGTAGCCAATTGATTTCCATTCCAACAGTGTTGAGTCGCCTAACCATGGTCAATGATATGAGCTGGCGTAAAGAAGAGACATGGCCACTCATAAGATCCCCCGAGGTGTCGAGCAATGGAGCCAGACCATTAAAGTCTACTAGATGGGCAAGGGGTAGTACCTTACATATATGCTCGATAGGCGTATTGCTTCTTTTCTGTTTTTGGATTATCGGGTTCCATGTGCTCGCCTCGAATCCCTCCTTGAAAATGTTGTCCCTGTCTCAGGTCTTATCCACACTTTCTTTCCTCACTGCTGCAGCCAGCGCAAGTACTTGTGGCACCCATTATCAACACGATGTTGTCGTATATGGAGGATCCTCGGGTGGCTATGCCGCTGCCATTCAATTGTCCCGTCTAAACCGCAGTGTTGCCCTAATTGAACCGTACTCACACATTGGAGGAATAGCCGTTGACGGATTCGGCGCGTCTGATATCGACTCACAGGTAGAATCTTTGCTTCCAGTTGAGTATCAATGATTTGTTCACTGACTGAGCTCTATTAGGCCGAGTACCAAAACTCCCTCGCTGTGGGACCCCTTGCGCTTGAATTCTATCGGCGTATAAGCATGCGCTACGGCAATGTCGCGGCGTTTGATGCTGCTTGGTTCAACCACACCAAGAACAAGACGCTCTGGAGGTTCGAGAGCCATGTCGCCGAGTCAGTGCTCAATGACTGGATCTCCGAGGAGAAGATTGACGTCTTTCTCGATACATATTTGAAACAAAGTGGTGAAGCGGTCATCAAAGAGGTAATGGCATCGATGCAAATGATTTTCGAGTAGTTGTGCTGACAATGTGTCTACGGCAGGGAACAAAAGTTAAGTCTCTCATCACGGAGCAGGGCCATGTCTTCTCTGGAGAAGTCTTTATCGATGCGACTTACGAGGGCGACCTACTTGCTGCGTCGGGCGTCTCAACAACGATTGGCAGAGAGTCAGCGGCGACGTTCAATGAAACTAATGGAGGCGTGCGCGTCAACACCACGTTTTCGCAACTTACTGTCGATGTTGACCCCTATGTCACACCAGGAGATCCGTCTAGTGGTCTCATCCCTACCGTTCAGCCAGGTGAGCTTGGAGCACCAGGCAGTGGGTAAGTGTTGCAATCATGCATCATATATTCGCGACAGCACCGGACTGATATATTACAGTGATAAATCCTTGGCCGCATACGTATTCCGAATGTGTTTGACCAATGACACTTCCAATATGGTCCCTTGGACCAAGCCAGCGAATTACAACGCATCCGAGTACATTCTATGGTCAAGATATGTCGCTGCCGGCGGACATATTCTTACTCCCGACCCCGTCGTTCCCGGTTTCAAGACGGACACTATCGGAAGTACAACTCTGGGCTTGGGGTTCGATCTTCCAGGAAGAACTCTTGGTAGCTATTTTCTGAGACCTTGTCATTGTCTTGTTGACTAACTGAGAAATAGCTTGGCCCGAGGGAAACCATAGCACTAGAGCTCAGCTCCTCCAAGAACTCACCGATTGGCAAAAAGGACAATTGTACTTTTTTGCCAATGATCCGTCCATGCCAAATTCCACTCGTTCAGTCTGGAGTTCATGGGGGTACGCAAAAGACGAGTTCATCGATAATGACCATTTCCCTAGGAAGTTATACGTTCGGGATGGTAGGAGAATGGTCAAGGACGATTTCATTATCACGGCGCGAACAGCTGCGTATCCCGCTGTTGAAGCTCCAGCCAGTGATCCAATCGCAGTTGCCTTTTGGCCCACGGTAAGTGAACTCGCGTGGGAAAACGAGTAGATGGATTGAGACTGACCAGAGTAGGACGTGCATATTGCGCGAAGAATAGTCAAGAACGGGTTCGTCTATGATGAAGGTTCAATTTTCAAACAGGGACCAGCTTGGCAGCCTTTTGGCATCTCTTACCAAGCAGTTACACCCATGCGCAACGAAACCACTAATCTCATGAGTCCGACCGTCATGGCTGTTTCGCATTTGGGCTACGGGGCTGTGCGCATCGAGAACACCTTTATGAACCTGGGCCAGGCTGTTGCCTATGCTGCTTCGGTTGCGCTGGAAATGAGAGTTGATGTCCAGGATGTGCCATATTCTGTCCTTGGGGCGAGATTGTCTGCAGCAAATGCCGTATTGGATGCGACCACCGTAGGTATGCCTGACAATTCTGGCTTGTAGTCAACATGTACCAAACACGTATATAATGAAATAATATGTCTTGTACTATCTTGTAAGCGGCAATCACATACTCAGTGATGCAGAAGTTGATATATAGATGTTGTATCATTTTGGTGCCTGTATTATCTTGCTCTACCAAAGAAGAGATGAAACCTAAAAGCATAATGATATTCTCTCTTTAATTTTCTGATCATTTTGTGATATCTAGGTACATTTTGAGCAATGACATGATTCAAATGAATTTCCGACAGACGTCGCCTAAAGCTCTTTTGAACTCTTCACATGATTGAAACATGACGAGGGTAGTCGAAGCAGCAGACGTCCCGAGTTAGTTGGCTATCGGGACATTGGGAAGACTGTATACTCTGCGACTTCTGCCAAGAGAGTGTGCCTATAGCTGTCGCTTGCCAATCTACAGTTCTATGCACTGGATTGGGACATCCAACAAGAATATCCGGAGAAGAACAATTCAGTGTCCACTCATTAAGCTCGGCTGAATTCGCAATGGCGTCGCCCATTGATTCCTAGTGCGTACATATCGTGGGGATCCACGTTAGCCCTTGTTGGTTTGCGGGGAGACAGGACCTTCAGTTCAATGGTTCCCCGAAATATGAAATCCCCGTTCCCCGTCCATCTGCGACTCTGTTTCTCCCCTTCCCCGAGAGTATCCTGCATCGGCACCGTGGTCGGTACTACACCCCGAACCCACAGCTCACCCATATGGATCCCCGGCATGATGATCAGCATCGGCGCTCGGAACACAACACGGAAACTTCCCAACCAACCGCAAAGCGCCAAAAGGTCAAGCTCGCATGCCAGCAGTGTAGAGATAAAAAAGTACGATGTGAGGGCCAGAGACCAGTCTGCCGCTCGTGCGCGCGCAAGAAGCTAGATTGCGTCTATTCAGCATCTGAAACAGACTCGAATGAAGGGTAAATCATACTTTCCAAGTTCCCGAGATTTTCACCTTTTTATCTGCCATCTTGATAATATGTGGCCAGTAGTAAGCTCACTTTGCATCATGGCCTAGTTATATAAATCGTCTGGAGCAAAGAATTCGTGAACTTGAAGCACAACTTCAGAATCCAAACTCGAGTCGTACTGAGCCCATACATGTTGCTCGAAGAACTTTACCCAGTACGGGGCGAGAACCCGTCTCACTCACCACTCCGCAAGTCGCGCAGAGACGTCTTCTTTCACGATCCGAGCCTGATCAATTCTCGCCACCGAATCACTCCAGCATCTCACCAAGTTTATTGTCACCGCCGACTGCACGTAGAGATACAATCAACTCTCCCAGCCGGATGAACGCAACCACGCATATAACATCACCCGCAGAAGACGCCACATCACCAGCAAGACCAGTCAGAGAACAAGTCGGCACAGCCTTTGCGCAACCTGATCAGAATGAGCACCGACTACATAGAGAAGACACAGTCCATACCTCCCACGACGATGATGTTTCGGTCGAATATAGTCCTGCTTACCTGGGAAGTTCCAGCGCCGTGGGCTTCATGAGCGAGGTATACCAGACCTTCAAGTCTGGTAACGGGGGCAACAGCACAAACGACAATGCAGATGTGACCGCGCATGACCAGAACTATGCGCCGTGGTTTGGCCGTGCAGGATCGATGGAGGATTCCAACTCGATCATGGCAGATTTTGTGGTGCCGCCGAGAAAGATAGCCGACGGCCTTATACACCACTACTGGGAGGGCGCTCACCCTTTACAACCCTTTATCCACAAAGGCACTTTCATGAAAAGGTAATTCCGTCTCACTCGTATTCATTCCCACATGGTCACCTCTTGATAACTGACCCTTTGTAGGTATAATGAACTCTGGCAGACCGATACGGCCGACTCTGGCGAACTGCACGCATTTGGACGTAGCAAGTCAGTGTACACAGCGCAAGTCTTTCACTGCACGTTAAATCTGGTGTTTGCTCTCGGTTGCCGCTTCCGTTCCATGTCGAGCGGCAGACAACGACCAGGCTCTGACAGGACCCATGAACAATTTGCCCATCGGGCCACTCGGCTTCTCAGCCTGGATTTGATGGACTACGGATCCATCCAGCTTGTCCAGGCCCTTATCCTGATGGCTCAATACCTTCAGACTCTAAATATGTCGAGTAAATGCTGGGTAATTGTAGGGATGGCGATTCGTGTCGCCCAAGGGCTGGCATTGCATCTCGATGTAGCTGGCGAGACACAGGCTCAAAGAGAAGAGAGGAGACGAACCTGGCACTCTTGCGAGCTTTTGGACAGGTGCGTATAAGTTCGGACTCGCCCACGAAATTCACGGCCGCCCAGATCGCGTTTCCAAAACTAACATTGAGCTCTCTCTGTCTCATAGTGTATTAAGCATGACCTTTGGACGTCCGCTCATGCTGGAACTCAAATCGTCTACGCCGCTGCCCGCAATGATAGATGACGAGCACCTCGCAACCACTCCTGATGCCGACGATGGGACACAGCCTTCTTCTACTCCTGCCAGGTGCGCCTTCTTTGTGTCAATCATCAAGCTTTCTCACATTACTGCCGAAATTCTAAGGTTTGTTCTAAATACTACCTACCTCTGTTACTAATTGACTATCTATTTGCCGACCTTGACTAACACAGATTGGTTGCAAATAGGTTATTCTACTTTTCCTCACCAGGAGCCTCGACTCGAGATCGTCTTACAGAGGACTACCCATCGCTGCTCAGGCTGGACGCAGCGCTAGAACGTTGGAAAGAAGAGTTGCCATCGTATCTACGATATGAAAATGTGCAGCAAGAATCTCCCAGTGCTGCAGATGTATTTACTCGTCAGGCGCATCTACTGCACCATCGGTAAGAAAAACGCGAATAGCAGTTTTCTGTGACTGATGCTAAGAGTATTACAGATTTCTCTATGGAAGAGTACTCCTTTTCCGGCGCGTCGTGGTGCGCATGGCCGCCGCGTCCGTCTTGCAACGTCCTGCCCCGTCTGGAGCGGAAATACAGCAGGTGGTCACTTTTACCTGCATTGATAAATGTATAGCAGCCGCACAGGGTCTGCTAGATTTGATCCGCTGCAACCTGGGTACATGGTTTCTCCCACCTACCTGGTATACCGTCTTTGGTAGGAGAAATATAATTCAATCCCCCAGATTAACACCGTACTGAGCAAGACAATAGTTATTTATACAACAGGGACGGTCTTTACTGTGGTGTTGCTTACACCGTCATTGCGCGAGCGCTTGACAGTCGATCAGAGACAGCAACTTCAACAATCCTGGAACCAGTGCGTCGAATGTCTCCGAGAGTACCAAAGACTAGGTGATTCATCTGCCTCCAAGTGCCTCTCCAACCTTCAGAGGATATACAATCGGGAAGGCATCGAGACCCGGGATGCGCCGCCCAGACCTGGCGGGCAGCCTCGTAACGCACCACCACCACCGAGTCAGGCTGGGCAGCAGGGCTCATCAGCCCAGATGACCACGGGCACCAACAACGCTGAGAGTGCACCGACTTTTTGGATCCCAGATTTGAACGAGGGACAAAACTTTGAGTGGGATGTAAATGAGTGGGCTTTCAATTGGACAAACGATTGTATTGATTGGCCCGGCGACTTTGCGACACTTTCACGTAATGAGGCATGAACACAAAATACTAGCAGCCGTCCGCAGACTTGGGCTCAATCAGTGTAGCTGTTTTGCCAGCACAAATGGCCACCGGACCTAGAAAACACGGCATCCGGTCCGCTCTGCCCTAAGTAGCCAGCGGCCCAAGCAGAGTTATGTACAAGCTTATGCAGATCGGTCGCTACCGCTGAACATGGCCTGTTGACTCAAACCAGCCTCTCTGAAATTAAGCTGAGACTACGCCAGCCTACACCGGAATGTATACTCATCTTGTATCGCAAGCCACATGCCATGGTATTTAAGCATTACCCATGGATCTTCATGAAATGCTAGAGCTATATAGTTGCTTGACTCCTTTGTGTCTAGACTCACACGATCTACCCTGGCATTCTCCAGTTAATCATGTAGATCGGTGTCCAAATGTCCGACATTGGAAATACATTCCTTGCAACAATCAGCACATGATGCGTCGTCTCAATTGTGCCGTTCTTGCGGCCCTCTTGGCTACCAGTGCCGCGAAGCCATGTAGACACACTCCTTCATCTGTTTCTTCACCAGTCGCAACTCAAGGAACGAGTACCATAGACAGCAGCACGAATAACGTCTCCACGCTTCCTACTTTGATGAGTACTAGCTCATCTCGCGATGCTGTCGCAACGATTGATACCACATCTTCTGTGAGCATTTCAGACACTTTGCCGACGCCTAGCTCCGAAGCAAGTGTAGCGACGCCCAGTACCACGGAGTCCGAGTCATCGAGCACAATATTTACTGAGCCGTCAATTACTGCGTCCACGTCTTCTTCAGGGGCGAGCACCACTGAGACGAGCTCAACAAGAAATTCTTCTGCCGAGTCTAGCTCATCAAGTACTGTCGATCAGTGCTTACAAGGTAACTTCAAGAAAGCCATGGAAACACTTATGGAAAAAAGCTAATTGGCCTTGCGACTCAAGCTCTCACCTTGCGAGGTGATGACGCAGTTGCCGATTGTTCAGCCAGATTGATCACCACTGTGACACTGCCTGCTAGGTGGGCACCTCATACCCAATGCTCTTGCACCTTCTATTGCATTCTAACATTGCCAAACCTAAAAAAGCACCGTCACCAAGGCAGCGACTGTGACTGAAGTGGAGAGCACTTTCGACCTTGCGCTGTTTACCGAAACGGCCACTACTACTGCTCTGACGGAGACGTTACTCTTCACAACCAGCACGACCCTCACGGCTTCCACGGAGACAGACACTGTAACAGAGCAGACTACCGTATTTGCTACCACGACTAGTGTCTACACGGCTCCTCTAACTGTCACTACCGCGGTCTTCAACTATGCTGGCAGCCCGGTAAAGGCTCGTGGCTTGACAGCTCGCCAGAGCGTGTCGCCAGGTCTACCAGACTATGCGGCACCAGTCTGCGGCTAACTGGATAGCTACGTATCGGCGTGCGGGCAGATTGGAGTCGAGACTTCGACCATTACGCTCCCCGCAGCCACAGAGACGGTAACCCAAGTAGTCTCGACCACGGCGACAACGACATGGTCCACCGAGTCCACCACGCAAACGGACAAGGTCTCCGTGACCGCCACGGTCTTGTTGACGCAGACTGATATACAGTCCGTCACCACAACCACCACGACGACCGAGATGACTACCGCGACCTCGATCGAGACGGTTCAGTCCACCATGACCCCCACGTCCGTGGTGCTGTACTCGTGCCAGGCCACGGGTCTCAACTTTCGGGCTCGCAACCCCTTTCCCGACAGCACCACGCGCTTCATGAACACTGTCAGTAGCAACTTGAACACTCTCAATAGCAACTTGATTGCCTGGCAGAATCTTCCCTCCAACCCTTCGGCGGCTGCGCTGGCCACATCGACCTGGGTACTAAGCGCCGGCGAGTATTTAGGGCTGTCTAGCAATTCCTTGGTGGCCTATGTTATAGCATCTTCAACCGCGTCCTCTTTGTTGGCCAGAATGGACACGCCGGCTGCTGTCGCGGCCGGCGTCGCGGCCGGTACCTATGTTCAGGTGGCAGGGTGTATCGACCAAGCCACGGGCCGCGTCAACATGGTTGCCGACGGGAGATCCAATATGCTCTCTTGTGGAAATGCTTTGTACTTGTCGCGAGGTACAGGGACGGATATTAGAAGTGACTGCGTTTTGTTATCTCCGACGGCTATCTCTGCCTAATACACAAACCCGAGATGCCTCAGTTTGTTACAACAGTCATAACGTATAAGGCCTACTCTAATATCCAAATGGTCAACATCATCTCTGGCTCAATACATGATTCCTCTATACCTGCATAAACAATATGTATAACTAACTGATATCGCAGGCTACCATTTTATGTGATGACTTGCATTTGCTGATATCCCCATACTAGCTGCTAAGCTCCCACGATCCCTTTTGTGGTCGCCTAGAATAGATTGCGACTGTGGGCAAACGGCTTTGACTTTCTCTTTCCCTTTGGAATGTGGTAATATCATTCTGTCCATTCAAGTACTCCAGCCCCAAGTCTTTTCTACCCGTTGCGACACATTCCAGTATAATACCAAGATTGAGGAGGCTAGGAGATGATAATTGGTAATTCCCAAACATGTTAAGGTTTCGGTAAACTGTTTTGCACACCGAATCGTCTCTTTGCGCCCCGTACTGTTGGAATTGTACCAAGATCGGTGCCCATTGTTCCCAATTTGCCGTCGCGTCATCAGATACGCAGCGAACGCTGCACGAATCAATCATGGCTACTAGTGCTGCGGTCCACGGCGTTGACCCGTTTCGGTGGAAGATCAAATTCGGATCGGCGCCAAGCTCTAATAGACACCGGAACATAGGCAGCGAGATCGGATCGCACCAAATGGCATCGAGTAGAAGCGGCCAAGTACCCTTACGCCATTTACTTATTTTTTGGGCCTTTGAGGAAGTCGAAAACTTGGCCGTCTTCATCATTCTTTCGAACCGAGATGATTTTGAGTCCAGTCCTAGGTTTCGTGGGTATTGCGTTTGGTCCTCATGGCTGCTGTCACTATCCGGGGCCATGCAACCAGCCGGAGAGCGCGCTCGAACGTATTCAACCACAGAGAATCGCACGGTGGTGGCCAAAAAGCTGCTTCCAATGTAGAACTTGCCGGATGAGAGATGGTTGTGAGCAGTGCTCAGGGTGGTTTGATGAAATGATTTTAATGACAAGGGATCCAGAGTCTTTTCCATTGTTCGGTCAAGATCATCAAGTATTTGGATCATGCTGGGAATGATCCGCTTGACTTTAGCCGCCATCTCAAGGCATTCCTTAGCGTATTCCATTCTGTAGTCATCCACGCTTTTGACCATTGCTAGGTTGGCTGAGCATAACTTGAAGTAACATTCAAAGTCCTGTTCGACTGCCCGATCAATTCTAAGGCGCACCTCACTTCCATCAATATAGTCCTTGACGGTGCGATGGAGATATTGTATTCTTCCTTGAGGTCCGACTTCGAGCAAGCCTTTGCATCTGCTATTGAGGCGTCGCTTGACAGTGTCGGTCCTGAGATTTTTCTCTTCTTGTGTGAACGCTCGAATGGGCAGTTTCAACGCAAAGTCCAAGCGTTCCTCATCGGCGAATGAAAACAGGAGGACGTCACAGTCGTTGTTGCTGGCCTCCAGGAGCTGAAAGTATTGCGACGCATGACCAAAGTAGAAGGGATCTAGATCGTCCAGTATGGCATCGTAAAGCTTCTCGAGGTCGGGTGGCAAGAGATCCAATCGTCTCTGTAAGTCTGATATACGATCATCATGGGTGAGTCCGGCCAGTAGTGATTTGACAACCAATATGATCCACAGGAAAACGCCTGACGCTTTATCAGTGATATTATCTATCAAAGTTGTAGCGTACTCTGGCTCGCGCAATTGCAGCCTTGCAAAACCATCATTCTGACTCAATTGTGAAGTCACGAAGTGTTGGATGTCGGGGTATGTGAAGTCTTGAAGCATCAAACTTGGAGCTGTGCTGAAATTGTCTTCAAACACAACCCATGGTCGGCTTGACACACATATCTTGACATTTGGCAAGAGCAAGAATGACCGGAAAATCGCGATCAGTTTTAGATGATCGCCACGATATTCGTCTAATCCATCGACGAAAAGGCATACTTTCTTCCCCTGTTGTTCCACGAGCTCACGAATGGCGCTCAGGAGCATTTCATCAAGGCTCTTCTCTCTCTCAATGTTCATATCCAGACCAAAGGAGGCATACGCCTCCCATATTCTGGGTGCAATTTTTGGGAGTAAGCCTGGATGTCTCTTCAAGATCTGGAAGAGGAGTGACTGAAAAAGGCCTCGCTGTGAGGCCTCAATAGATGACCCTGACGCCCAAAAATAGAACGAGGCGACAATGAGATGATCTTGGCCGCCCGCCCAACTCTGAAGATACTTCTGGCATATCAGACTGCCCTCGGATGTGCCATCGATATTGCTGATGTACTTCATGAGGGTCGACTTCCCACTGCCAGCTTTCCCAGTGATCCAATACAAGCGATCACTGGATTCTAGCCATTCGCGGAATTTTGTATCTTTACGATCAGTGGGGCAGTCTTTCAACATCCATTGGAGTGTCTCCATGTACGCCTCCGCAATTGACGTCTCTCGATCAGCGGTTTGCGAATAGCGAAGACTGGAAAGAATGCGTGCTTCCACATTTTTTCTTCTTGAAGGCTCCATCTCAACGCTCAGAGGGCTCTGTCCAGACCTGTTGCCATAATCTGTGTAGTCTCCTTGTTGAAAGACGAGGCGGTGGATATCATCTTCCGTTTTCGTCATCTGATCTGTCGCAATGTCCGGTTGAAGTATGGATCTGATATATTGTAGCATGATGCTCCCAGGCGCATCATCTAGGTCACTCACAGCATCTCGTGCTTGATGTTCTCTGGGCTTTGGAGGACTGTAGCGAGAATCTGCCTTGAGCTGCTGTAAAATTGCTTCTTGCGTCTCGAGTGATTTGGCAGAGTGTTCTCTGCTTATCAGTCAGCAAAGGTTTGTTTCAATTGAATATATTTGTACTGCGAAAGGATGGTTGTTTTCGGCGCACAACGATAGCATCTTTTTAAATGACAAGGCATTTTGCTGAAAAGGAAAACAAGGCATATCCATCAACAGAACAAACATCAATCAGAGACTTTGCTCACCTGATTGAGATAAGCAACTCCACGGCGAGTTGGCCGCTCAGCTTATCAATGTGCTGATGCAATTTCTCAATCTTGGAATGATTCCATGTCAGGCGGAAGCTGGTGACTATTGCATCCCTCCGTCCACTGGAATCATTGACCCCCGCATCATCCAATGTCTGGAGAAGTTCTTCAACAACTTGAGAACACTCCTTGGACAGTTTGATAAGTCGTGATTGAGATGACGACTTTGTTGAAGAATGATTTGAAGAGTCATCTGCATTAAGTTGCTGCAATAGCGGATGAAGATAATTTGTAATGTGTCGGAGCTCCTGAAGATCAGAAACGCTGTTGCTGCCGGCCTTGACAATCTGGTCTGCCTTGATAGCAAATTTGGCACCAAACTCTAGGAACTGCACGATGTTGCTCGCAAAGGCAAGAGCCGCAATAGCTTCAGCCATGGCGCAACCGATGGCGTTTCTTCAAGCTCCAGAAAGTCATGAAACCAAAAGCTCGAGTCGACGAGTACGACCCAAAATACCATTGCTCAAAATGAGGGGTTAGGCACAGCGAGGTGGCGGTGCCTTGGTTACACCGGAGAAGAATAAGTCATCAGGCTCTGTAGAGCATTCAATCTTTGACCTGTGATTTGGTCGTTGCATGCCGCAAGGCAGACCAATCCGTCCTTTATTTTTACCGGCATCGCAAGCTGGAATAGGGAGTACCGTACCTGCCCCAGCCTGATGTTCACTCTACGGAGTATCCAATACGGGACTCAGCCCCCACCTCTTAATTTATGCTCTTTGCCCCAGGTGCTGACCCCCTTGTCGCTGCCACTAAAGCTTCCCTATGCTTCAGAAGTTCAGCCCAAGTCTTCATACCTGTGGTCCTGTGTGTGTGTCCAGACCACCTGAACATGGCCAGAGTCTGGATACGGTAGTGTCATCTTTTCGCGGCATATTTCCGCAAGACGTCAGTCAATCCCTCCAGAGTTAGCGGGGTCACCGGCTGGCATATGGTATTTGTTGTTTCTAGACTACCGACCGGCATGGCCCAACTGGAGCTACAAATCACCTCAAAGGACCTCGGGAAGACCATAAAGCGTGAGGACAACATGAAGTCGATGCATCACATCCTGCGTCCGGACCCGACTGCGCCATGACCAATAACTCTTTTCCTCGCGACTTTGCCGAGTAATTGCTCATCTACGCATTTGTTGCCTGAACTCGCGCCCCTGATGCTTTCTAGTGGCTTTGTGAGGCCATTAACAAGACGAGTATTGGTGCATATCTAGAAGACCGTAGTACCTAAAATGTATCCTTTGGTATCTGGCTTGCTGAGGCTTCGGTCGCTGATTGGTCACATGGTCAGCTCAGCCGCTTTACTTGCCAGCACTGCCGACACATGAGCTGCAAGGTATCTTATTAGAGATGCTCACTGAAGTGCCTGGTATCCAAGAAGCTGACGCAAATGGCCTCAAGCACACCTCAGAGCTGTGGCTGACCACAAAAAGTAGACAGGGTCTGTGAGTATGGAAGCTTCCAACTATAAAGAACGCTTGTACTCGAGCAGACACGTTTAGAACTTGCTCTGTTTTTTTGGTTCATCTTTCTCTTCCCTTTCTATTTCCTCTTTTCATTGTTTCTAGCTGCGCCGGTGGACCTGGCGCTAGCGACATTCAGCGGCAGCAACATTATGATCATCGATTAACACATGACGCGCTCGAGTGCGAGCGTTGGGCATATCCACGTTCTTTCTGCGATTATTGCAAATCCTCTCTACTCGATCCAAATGGCCCCTGCAGAACTTGCTGCGGAGCAGAAATCCCATCAGACCTTCCCTTGTATCACAGCATTCAGCCTCAGGAGTCAGTTGATCCAAGACTGCTCTCAAAGCCTAGAATTGGCTTGCTGTGTATCATTCAAGAAAATTCCTATGAAAGGTCTGGCGGCGTCTTTCATTCACATTGGTCCCTTGGCCCGCATCTTGCACCTGACTACCCTTGCGACAAGGCACAATTTTGTTGCACCATGGGCTGCAACATAACTTTCACATCGGCCAAGGACCTCAAGAGGCACTACAAGTCCAACATACACAGCTCATCCTCCGACAAAGGCACCAGGTATCAGTGTGCCTGCACATACTCCACGACCCGTCGCGACAACTTCTGTCGCCATTTCTCGTCTTGCAGACTTCCCGAGAAATCTCCCTTCCAGTGCAACAAGGGTCACCGTTTCTCAACGGCCACGGAGATGAGCCAGCATTTAGGATTTTGCAAGCCTCAAAAGGGTCGACCCACGACAAAGAGATGATGTAATGGAGACTAGGCAAGGGCAAACCACGGCCAGCAACACCGGGATAGTGTCTCTATCTACGCCTGACAAAAGTCGCTGGTATCAAACACATCATGATCCACGTTGCCTGTCCAATATTTCCTCAGAATGGCATGAGGTCGGCTGGGGGGCCGTTACCGAACTTTCACACTCATGCCATTTCGTCTGAGGGAGGTTGCGCACAGCGCAATCAAGACCGTGTCACTCGCGGTTTGCCCAAGCACAGCCACCATCTTTCGCATTTAAGAACAAGCTCGAAGCCCAACAATCGAACCAGTAATTTATGGTATATGATGATCCGGAGTATATATGGTTATGGCATCCTGGCAATCCACCCCTAGCAGATACCCACGGGCGAAAATGGAACAACCTCCCGGTCAAGCATCCCATTTTCACAGGATTCTTTCCATCTCCTGCATAATGCAGTCAAAAGGGACATGAGATCCGGTTCACTAGCTTTTCCAATCTCCTGCTCGCGCAGTGAGGGGATCAGCGAAGAGGCGGAACTCTCTTCCTTCACGAAGTCATCTAATCTCCTGCTTGCGCAGTGAGTAGATGCAACAAAACATCAAAACACCAACCTGGAGCCATGACCTATATAATGAAGGACGTCGAGTTGATGTGGTCAACTATTAGCTGCGCATTCAAGGGCTGGGCTTCGCCAACTCGTGGTTCAAATTGGGGGCATCTCATTGTAGTGCTATCCAAGGCGGCCAGATTGGCAAGCAAGAGATTGATCACTAGCATAGTATATAGTTTGAATTTATACCAAACTTTATACATAATTCTCTTATGATCCTACGCATTCAACTTCTAATTGATATATCACTAAGAGCCCCGTATATCGATATGAGCAATATTTTTTGATGGGGAATAAAGCAAACTGTACCCGTCACACACACAGGTGTCTTATGCGATGGCACGAGATGTGCTGAAAGGAGTTTACAAAATACTATGAACTACGTAGCTTACACAATACCTCCAGGCGTTCTTACCTCGGTTGAGGACTTTCATGCTCAAGGCCATTCTTTGTGGCTACACCATAGATTGGTAGATCCGTTGAGGAAAAAGCGCATTAATCCAAATGCTAAGCTACATGCATTACATACCCGACGATTCCGACGAGCTCAGGGTACAACAAGATACTCTCAGCTACTCGACAGCCACAGGTCGTGAACTGGATTTAAGTTTACGGTAGCTGAACCAGTGACCTACCAGCGACCTCAGCGGAAAGCCTCAATCGCAGGGGTCGCGACAGCGGGACCAATCAGGCGTAATGGCCTCAGCCCTCCAAGTTGCTCTTCTACGCAAACTGGGCGCAGAATGCTGAAACTGCCTTGCGCGAGCACTAGTTGAGACCATTAATGCATCACCGCCTGAGAGGCACACCCATGATACGCCAAATAAAGGTGCTGCCACACAGCTGGATTGGGGTGCCGCGAAGCCCGAATTGTCCTCATCGCGGCGACTTTGTAGTCATGGAGATTCCAACATGCCTCATAGGGGAAGTTCTACTTATACATTTATATGAACCTCCAGATGACACATGCACTATCACCCAAGGGCAAGTCTCGAGTTATTCTCTTTCTCATTTTTTAAAGTCCTCAAAATCTTGCGCGAACAATTCCTTGAATTGACAGTCACATATGAGTGCCCGACAGCTAGTGCACCAGCAGCTTTACAGTTCATCATGGCCGTTTCCAAGGCTTCCAAGGCAGGCAATAGTGTGTACAGCCTTCAATTTTAAACATTCCAAAGCTAACTGATTCACAGACAAGCCCTTGGCCAAGAAGAGAGATCAAGTATTCGACATAGTCGATGCAGTCCAGAACGGTCGTCGAAGAGAAGCATTGACCCAGCTGAAAGAGTTACTGGATCCAACCAATGACACCGAAACTCAAAATCATGTTGCGAAATGCAGTTTAGGCGTTGCAGGCGTAACAAGCCCCGGCGAGTCTGCCAACACGGACCTGCAGAATTGCTGGAGACTTCCCTTTCGAGGCTTCTCTCATCAAGTCTATGCCATACTCCGAGAGGAGTTTGCATTGACGGGCTCATTTGATTCCGTTCTTGGTCGTTTGAATGTGTGTCTGTCTGAGCACCCAAAGCAAGCCCGGAAACTTGCCGACGAGCGCAAAATCTTGCGCTCAAAAGGCACAAATGACATGCGCGCTTGGACCAAATCATCTGATGACCTACTCCAGCAATCATTTGCAAAGCGAGCTGAAGTCGCCGCAAGTAAAAATGAATTGACTGGACCTTTGGAAGAGACTACCGTAATTGCGACACCCGCTCCTAGCTCTCCGCGCGTCGGCGATGGCAGCCTTGGATCTACGAACAGTGATTTCATTAATCACGATAGTGTGAATGCCACAGAGACTGAGGATGGAGCCATACCCCTTCATGGCACGGATAACCAAGACATTGTGGTTAGTCAAGATACTGTCTACTTGCAGGATACTCTTGCAGACGATGCCGACGACAGGGAACCCCTCTACCAAAACACCAACAGACAAACCTTTGCGCCCACAAGCTCGGATTTCTCACGCCTTGGCCCTGATGCGTCTGAAAGGTCAGCTTTGAGCAACTGGAAACGCGGTGCTGGAAGGAAAAAGAGCTGGAAGTTTTGCCCGACACAAAGGTTACCGACGAGGCGAAAGCACAAAGGCTTTCGCGAACCTATACTCGAAGCTGAAGAATTCTGTCCTGCGGATCTCGCATTGGACACCGACGAGCCTTCTTCCCCGGCATACTCTCCAAGCACAGGAGATTCCACTGCTCCAGACTCTGCGACAGGCGTCAAGCCAGCGCGATATGCTCGAATTGATCAACAAGCGCACGAATGTAGAGTTGCGCTGCATTCCAAACGCTCTGGGCGAAAGGATTCTGTATGGACATGGAACAGGTCATTGTCCCTACTGAGCGATGATCCAGACGACCTCATGCCAACTGGATGCTGCCCTCTCGTGCACAGATACCCCAGGGAGCGAAAATCCACCAAAGTCGTCATTCAACGGGCAGACACGAACAAAAGCCATGACAGCTTGCGCACCACCAAGAGATCGCCGGCTTTGCCTAAACCAACCATTGTAAAGACACGCCTCCTCTCTTTTAGCTCACAAGAAGCCCCGCGATCACATCTGAAGCAAGAGGCAAGTTTTGCAAAAGAAAAGACGAGCTTCGAGTCTTTGCTATTGAGCATTCCCGAGAATTTGCCTGGCTGGTCGGCCAAGAAACAAAAGCGCAGAGGCATCAACAAGCTCAAGGTACCCGAGTTTAGCAATTCAGAGCAACTCTTTTCCTTTTTGCAAACGAGCTGGGAAAACTTGCTGGAAAGAATGACGGGAATGAAAGATTCCCTCTCGCAGGAATGGAAAGGCACCCAAGAATCCTACTCGAGAAAGCGCCGCACTTTTCAAGCCTGGAAGAAACAGCTCGAATACCTGGAACCCGTCTTGCCCCTGGCGCAAAAACTAGAGGCGCGATACCGTCGAGCCGACATCTTGATCCGAAAGGAAATGCAGAAACTCGAGACCTACGCCACGTGGGTGGAGCATTCGCAGAGCGCCATCGTGGACCTCTCCTGGACCATGCGGAAACAAAGTCTCGACACCAAGACGGCCTGGACAATGGCCGGCGGCGGCGGCGGCGGCGGTCCGCTTCTCGACCTGTCTGATTACTCCGAGTTGTTGCGTCACGGCTTTATTCGCTATAGCGACGATTTTGTCTTTGGCTTTCGGCATTGGGCTGTTCAGGGCATCAGTGTCCTTGTTCGAGTGACGAAAGCGCACAGGGATTGGTGTCAAATGAGTGAGAATCTTGTGAAGTCCCTGCTAAACAGTCATCAAGCAGTCGCTGCTTGAGGAGTGTAGAAACATGGCTACGCCAATCAAGGTCACTCACTTATAATTGTGCAACTTGGTTACATTTGGGCATATTGGCGCAATTTTCGATGTTACGATGGTATTTAGCCACATAAAACTTGAAAGAATAAATGTAAAGTTGAACCCTCGATTATGTTGTTTGAATCATGAAATAATGCGCAAATGGATGAGCAGTTAAAATTCTTCTTTTCTCCCTTATGACTCAATGCCGTTGTTGTTGGCATTTCCAGCTATGCGGAACAAAGCCATATAGTAGATAGGTACCTAAGGTTCGGCCCTTGTTTCCGTAGGGGCGCTAATAGTAGTACCAGGTAGAAGCTGTAGGCTCACGATGGAGCATGAAGCACGGAATCCTATAAGTGGCAGTGCCCTTATTTCAACAATAGAAAACAGGAGAAAAAGATACAAAGTGGAAAAGGAGCAGGCACATTTATGTATGGCTTGGCGTTTTGCATTATTTTGCACAGGCACTGACACTTCAAATTCTGGGGCAAATTATCTCTTTCTTCCGCTGCAAAGCGTAAAAGTTATGTTCTCTAGGTAGGCCCCAAGTCGCCACAATTGCCCCCCTCAAATCATGCATACCTCAAAGCAATACTGGTCATGTGCATTGCCAGTTCTGTCAGATCTACACATTTCGGGCTTGTCAGCCCAATACCGGCCCCTCAAGACTCTTCCTGTCGCTCCTGGAGGCATTGGCGTCAATATGGGCAAGGCGCAAGAAATTTCCGGCCCGAACGACATACGATCTCGATTGAAACAGCCTCAAAGGACCTTGAAATGCGATGGGACGTGCGAGGCCCTCATCAAGAACACCGGCGCTCGAGTACCAGGCGGTCTAGAGTTGTGTCACCACGGCGGTCAGCGAAGCCGTAATTGCTGGTGAAGCTGCTCTCGAAAAATTGGAACTCGACTTGCAACCAGTCTCGAATCCAACCATATTCTTGACCATTTTTTGTCTCTGCTTCTGTACCAAGGTTCTTCAAGTAGATCTCCAGCTGCAGTGTGCGCCACTGGCGTGGAGTACGGCCCTCTGCATTGTAGGCCGGGTCGTTGTCTGGATTTAACCATTGGTAGGAGGACTCATTTGCCAGGTAACCTCTTGTCGTGATGATGAGCATTCTATCAAGCAGGGCTGTTGCAATGCGGTTGTACCGAACTCGAGAATCGACCATGAAGTACAGTCTTCCTGAGTGTTTGCCATTGCTCTCCGCGGAGCCGAACAAGCCACGACTGGCAATGTCAAGAAATGCGAATCCCAGAACTCGATGCTTTTGCTCCGTCACTGGGATGTGTGGGTTGCGGTACCCACTCATGGCCACCAAGAACGGGATATTGTCCTTCCGACACAATCGGAAATGCTCCTGGAATGACTCGATGCCGAGGGGAACTTGATCCAGGGCTCTCCAGCCGTTGCAGACTTCTTCAGCGTAGATTCTGCAAATGTCTCCCATGTCATCAAGTTGTGCCGGCCGGATATGGGCGGGTTCTCGGCAAAGGAACGGGTTCTTCTTCTTTGCCTGTGCATCTTCTTGAGCCCTGACCTGACGAGCATGCTCAATCCTTTTCTCCTTTTCACGCCTTTCCTCATCTCTTCTTCGTATGTCTCTCAGTCTTTCTTCACTTGAGTGAGCCGAAGTCTGAATGCATAGCTTGTCATGCAAATTTCTTCTACTGCGATCAATTTCGCGACGTGTCTTAGTGTATGGAGCTTCGATCGGCTCCATGAGCTCGCCAGTGTTGGCATCAATGACCTGATTTTCGCAAACGGAATCGTTTGTGACAGGTAGGAGATTCTTTTCGACTAGAGGTACCCTACTGAGCCATGCCGTGGTATGCTCGTGGAGTGTGGTACCAGCGTCTGTAAATGTGACTTTGTCATTCAGTTCGGTCCAGACGCTGCTGCATATTGAATCACTGTCCCAGTCTCGTCGCTGTCGTGGACGCCTGGTCTCGTTCCAATTATGCATATCAATAGCGTTTTTCGGTTCTTGCCCACGCACGTCCTTCACCGAAACGGGCGAGTAGTGAGGACTTATGAAGCTATTGGCGACGGAGTGCGAGGGTGTCATGACTGGTCGCGTTTTGGCCATCGGGGTAGCTTCAATAATGCCTTCCTTCTTGGGTACTGTCGATGATCGCTCATTTGCATTAATTGCTTTCTGACTTCCCATCAGGGTTGAATGCATGTGTGATGGCGTGTTGTCCGCCGTGCATTGCTGTTGATCGGGCTCTTTGTCCACAGCCTGCGAATGGGCAGCTGTGCCTCGAAGCGATTGTTTACTGACTTTCGTTGCCGTAGCATCTGATGGAGTTGTGTTTTCTTTGGTCAGGGGGGTGTCGCTTGGGGGTTGTGGGATGTGCGTGGTTTCAAGGGTTGACTGGTGGTCGGATGCTGGCTTTTTGTCGGGAGAATCGCGCAAAGGTTCAGGAAGGTGCGACTCCCATGAGTCCACCCACTTCTTGCGAGTTCCTCCCATGGTTGCCTAAACTTTGGTCAATAGCTGCTAATGCTGGCGGTCAAATTGATGTGAATGTGATTGTCCAGATCTGTGTTGATGACGGGGGCAGACGCAATTGACTGATGGCGCGTTTTCTGTCACATTGGCTTGGAAGAACTCGGATGGGAAAGAACCGGAAAAGTGGCAATCTCAAACTTGAAGGACCGTGGCCGTGGTGATGAATGCGGGGGAGGGTGAAATTTCCATTGATCTGTGAGTGCGGGTTCGGGATGTGCAAACGGAGATGGGTGCGACTCACTGATTTCTTGGGAAGCAACGTCACCAGAATTGTCAGAGTCTGGATGTGAGGTACCAGTCAAAATGATGAGCCACCTGTGTGAGGGTTCCAAGGCGACTTGTTGTGATGGTTCGCGATAGAGTTGTTTGTTGGGGTTGCGCGTACGAGGAAAGTGGGCGCAGATGAAAAAAAGCTCTCCTTATTGTAGCTGTCCGGGCTAGAGATTGAGAGCACAGAATTTGAGTGTTTTGCGTTTCAAGAGGTTAACTTGGTGATGAACAACAGAGGTCTTGTCTCAGGAAACGCATACGCGCGGTCTTCGCGTTTGGTGGAAACGGAGGGAATTGTGTTCAAATGGGGCTTCAAACGAAGATTGTGTAAATACCGATGCCATTGACATAAAAAGAGCTCGGAAGAGATATTACTGTTCAAGCGATTAGAATGTCATCTGTTTAAGCATTGGCGTTCAAGGAAACCGGGAATGACGTTTACTTGAAAATAATTTATTTCTTATTTTTGATTGCATTTGATGCAAGTTGTTCTTCAAGTAAACTTTTCAAAGAAAGGCTTTTTATTTTAAATTCCACTTTCTACCTGTTATGTTCAATTGGCAGAAAATTAGGTAGGATATCGACTTAATAGTCCACCTGCCAGTGTTATGCCCTTGTCAACTTACTCGAATTCCAAGAACTGCAACTCTGTTGCATTATCTGCTTTCTGGCACCGGCCTTTCCAAATTCCTAGAACTTATGGTTGACTCCTTTATGGCGTAGGTAGTCTTCTCCTAAATACACGCAGAAGGAAGCCACTTGATTCCTCAGAACCTTTCCTTAATCCAAATGTCGCACAAGTAACATGTCGACTTGAGCTTCGTTGATGACAACCTTTGAATGCACACACCGAGCCTTGAAAACCGCCATTATCGTCGCCGCTTTTCTTGCCAAGGGGTTCATCAGTACGGTGATTATCGAGGCAGTCACCTCTACACAAGGAAACTATACTTGACCGCATCACCTACTCTTCGACAGCACGACGTCCCATAAAGCCAAGAAAGCCAGAAATACGGCAAAGGAGTGCAAATTCGACCACTCTAACATGGAAGCACAACAGTGGAATTGCGCGTGGTGTCGCCCAGAGATTGCCGAGGAAATCATCGCGTTCAACAAGGCAATTCAGGTTTTTCCAGATCTGGTAATATGCGTTCATTGAAAGCACGTATTTGTATTAGAAATAAAGAAAGAAGTGGTGAAAAGAGGCTGTGAAGTTCCTATATGACTTCCCATAAATTATAAAGAAGATAAGACAATGAATCGGCTTCAAAAGCTGAAGAATGTAGCTCCTTAGGCAAATGCCACAAGAACCGGAGCTAGAACCATCACGAATCCAACCGTGCTCAACATACCACCAAGTCTAGACGCACTGCTAACCTTGACAGGCGAGGAGGAGGAGCCCGAGTGACCCTGGCTGGCCTGAGCAGCCGGGCTGCCTCCAGCCGCCGGGTACGAATCCTGGCCACCTTGAGCGGGAGATGACCCAGACCCGGTCTCGGGCTTGGAGCTGGGGTACGAATCTTGGCCACCTTGAGCGGGAGATGACCCGGACCCGGTATCAGGCTTGGAGCTGGGGTACGAGCCCCCCTGGGCAGGTGCGGTCGACGGGTGGGTTCCGTTGACAGACAGGGTGACGCTCTGGGTCTTGGTGGTCTTGGTGGTGTCCTTGCCTTCATCGGACCAGTCGTTTTGGGCGGGATACGCGCCGGCAGGGCTTGCGCCGGTGTCATTGCTGCCATGAGGGCTGGCTGCGTAGGTCGGGGCTGGTGCCTGGGTTGGTGCCAGTGTTGGGTATGCTGACTGGAGACCAGTGTCATAGGGGCAGCCTCCACTTGGGTATGTCATGGTCTGGGTGATGGGAGCATCGCCACAGACAGTGCACGTCACTTCTTCAGTGGTGAAGCCATAGGGACATTCCGTGGGTTCAGCAAATGTGGGCAGTGTGGGCATGCCATGATAGGTCTCAGTGATGGTATATGTCTGGTCCGTAACACCTGTCGAGCAGAAGATGGGATAGTTTGTGGAGTAGACACTCGTGTGTGAACAGGCTTTGGAGTATATTAGCATAAAAATCACACGTATGGCCAAGCTCTACTCACTGGGACAACCGCACTCGCACGCTGGCATGCTATAGTCTACCGGGCCCCATCCTGTGTAATAAGGAGCAGACACTGTATCTGTGGTAGCAGTGCCATACTCGATATCAGTCTGCCAGGGGTCAAAGCACTCAGTGACGAGCTCTGTCACATATGCCAAACTTTGAGCATTGGCGGTGTGAAGCAATCCACCCTGCGCAGCAAGCGCAACTAGAGTGCCAAACTTCATTGTAACGAAGGTTTGGGAGTGCCGGGCGCGTCTTTGACTTGCAGAAACGTTTTTTCGATGCCTGGTCTCTGGGGTTTTCTCTTCAGCAGTCGAGCACGAACGGGACCATTCAAGTCATATATCGATTGAAGAAGCATTATCTAGACAAACTGGAAATTGCGATCGTACTCTCATGTGATCAAAAATGCTCAATTTGTTGCAAGCAGAAAATCACGCGCATCGAAATTGAGACAGTGTTCGACATCTCGCTGCAAAATTCTTGATTTGACGTTTGGATTTAGTGTTTTGACGCCTGTCAAAGAAAGTTAGAATCCGACACTGCAATTTGGGGGCGTTTGCGACATTTGGAGCTCGACTCGTGATGATGCGCCTCAAATCTTTCATATGAAATGAGTCCTTTTAGAGTTTGTCTTTAAGGGGTATCATAAGGATAGATGCCAAGCCCACTTCTGTCACTGACAGGACTCATGCAGGGACCTTCGGATCTGCATGACCGTTCCTGCTGCTTTAATATCGTGGCGATGCCCCTTTTCTAAAGGAGATTATCGTTCCATTCAGTATCACAAACATCTCATGAGTCTCGAGGTCTCGAAGTCGCGACTGGTGCTGGTTCGAGATGCCGATTATCCGGGGACGGCAACACCCCGGATCGGTGTCAACACAACAACTCGGGCGCAGCTTGCGTTTTGAAGCCTCCGTGGATCGAAATATCTTTCCTCTTTATTCCTTTTTTCCCTCTTAGAAAAAAGATACCGCAAGACTTTCCGCAGAGTGTCCTTCAGCAAACGTACATCTCTCTCATACGACTCTACCACAAACCATCGCCACCCATCGTGGATAGACGGCACTAGTTTTCCGATGGAAAAGGCTACTCTGATAATTGATGTCGTAATGGGCAAGATGTATGTGCCCCTGACTAGATAAATGTCTCGCCTGTCACGTCAATCCTGTCCAGTGACTCAAGTTTATAGTCCAAGACGTAACGTGCACCTACAGGGAACCATCACTGCCATGTCTGAAAAGCGCCCGATTGAGCCCCGATTGAGCTGTATAAACTTTAGAATTAGTTTCCACCCGATGAGACAAACTCTTTAACGGGTTCGACCCACGTACACGTGGTCATGTTAATATCTGAGTGGTGTCGGCAGTTGTGAATATAGACGAACAAGCCTGCACATCTTTTTTTGGGTGGGAAAATATGTTGCTTGTGCCAAGTTTTGTCGCTCTTTATTGTCTGTAATTTTAAAGCATTGCTCCATTGCCATGTTGGCCAACGTAGCTCTTGTCCTCCTGGCGGCGCCCCTCACCCTGGGGAGGCCACAGGAGAGCAATGAGCATCGCCAGGTTGGTCGCCTCAGGCGTCAACTCGGAGCTGATTCACTCTCTCAATCTTGTCATGTTCGCACACGTACCTATCTTTCAAATTCTGCACCAACGAGTACTTGGGATGATGGCCAGGGTTCTAGTTCAGGCAATTATGAACCTGGCCTTCCAGATGGCCCATACGATCCAGGTCTACCTGATGGCTCATACGACCCAGATCTACCAGATGGCTCATACGATCCAGGTCTACCAGATAGTTCGTATGAGCCGGGTAACTCAGGATATTTTTGGGGTACGAATGGCAATGGAGGAACTTCTAATACATTGCCTGATTTCCCTCATATCTCTTACAACAATGGCGGCGGCAATGTTGGACCTACTCTCATCACTACTAACGCCGCTGAGAGTACAGCAACCTTGATTGAAACGACAACCTTTGAAACATTTTTGCCCACTGTCATCACCACTGGAGGCTCGACTATCACCACAAGCACCCTGTGTACGCTGACTGAGACCATTACGACAACTGCTGCACCCACAGATTCGTTCACTGTGTCAGTGACAGACTCGATCTCTGTAACAGACACAGTGCCAACGACTGTTCCTTCTGTTTCCACTGTGACAGTTACAGAGACGTTTATCTCTATAAGCGATGGCCTCACAATTACCGCTACTCAGACCACCACCTTTATTAGCACTCAACTCATCACGTCAATTAGCGGTATCATTCTGCCAACTAATAGCATCAACTTCTTGATCCTCAGTGTTCAAGACATAGTCACCGAGACAGCCGTCCCGGTGGTCCGACGAAACAAGCAGAAGAGACAGGACGACATCACCACCACAGACGAAGCCACTCCCACTGAGGAATTCTTGACCATAGGTGAAGCCTTTCCCACAAGCGAAGCCTTTCCTACAGATCAAGTCTTCTCCACAGATGATGTCTTCTCTACAGAGGAAATTTTCCCCACAGGCGAAGTCCTCCCTACAGGCGAAGTTACCACTACGGGTTTCGGCTCCGGGGGCGGCTTCGTTGGCAGGGGCTCAGATCCTAATCCGCAAGATTGCACAGATGCTGGGCGTTTCTTGCAGCTAAATGAGCAGCTTTTTGCTAACGATGACATTCCAATTGGCGTTGATCCTGGCGTTCCATTTATTGATCTGTCTATGGAGACTCCGGGCAGCATTACAACATCATTCTCCATTCAAAGCGGTTTCCTTGTATGGGTAAACTCGCTGTTCCCTGATGGCGTAGCCCAGTACTGCCAGACTCCAAACGGAACTATTTTTGCCTTGTTTGATGTCTTGCTCGCCCCTGTAGGGTGTGTACTCAAGGACTTGGTCGTATATCCAGGTAAGTCTTGAAGGATTATGGAAAACCTTAGTGCCTGCCTGTCCACTGCCGAAAACACGCTAACAGTTGCATACAAGATGACCAATGCATAAACGGCACTCTGGTCGGTGCTAGCCCAGCCCCAACCAGGACGATTACTGCTATTGGCACTAGCACTTTTATTCCAACTTCTGTTCCAACTACGGGTCCCACCAGTGGATTACCACCAACCAACACCAACACAGAGACAAACAGCCAGCCGGCCGCCTCAATATCGAGCAGCAGTATCAGCACTACAACGGGTATCGGGCCGCTCGCAACATTTTCCATTTTCGGATCCGATTCTGGCACCAGTGCCGATGGGACGACGCTGAAGCCCGAATTTGGCACCGTCACTGGCGAGCTTTCGGGTCTGACCATCTTCGACTCGTCCCAGTCTCCCGTGACCTACAGTTTGGACCCAGTCACAGGTGTTGTCCTTGTGCATGGACTCGAGAACCCGGCTGACCCTAATGCCGCCCCGGAGAATATCTGCTGCACATATACCGAAAATGGCAATCTGGTCGACCCGGCTCAATGCTCCGTGTCGCGCTGCTCGCTGGGCGATGCGACCACAGCACCTCTACAGTGCAATCCAGTTGCCGCCACTGGACAGCTGAGATGCTTCCTGGACGCCACTTCAATCGGGGATGTCTACGACATTACTCAACTGGCTCCCAGAGGGGACGGCTCGTATCAATTAGAAATTGGCAAAGAGGTCACGGCTGGCAACTTTCCAGTAACTCTGACCACAGTCTCGCCAGGGAATACTTCGTCCACTAGCAGCAGCACTGCGACTAGCGGAGAAACCTCCGTCACCAACACTGAGCCCACTGGCACTGGGCCTTCTGGCACCGTGATCTCGAGCACCACCACCTCTCCATCTGGTTCTGTTGCCACTTTCCCCGTCTTTGCCGGCGACTCTGGTACCTCTGCCGATGGACTGACGCTACACCCAGCGACCGGACCCGGAGCAGGAACACCACCACGCATCGGCTTTGGACCTGCGTCTTCCCCCGGATCTCCGGTGAATTACACTCTAGACCCAACCACCGGTGTCCTTACAATTACACCCAACGATGGCACCAACAACAACATTTGCTGTACTTATGCCAGCGGCGGTGCACGGTTGGACCCGGCAGCCTGCACCTTGTCAACCTGCGCCCTGAATGATCCTGAGACTGCGCCGCTACAATGTACCATTGTAGGAAACACGCTGAAATGCAGAATCAACGCATTTGCTGTTGACGCCACCTACGAGATACCTCAGCTCGCCCTCCAACCCGATGGTTCATACCAGCTGGAGATTGGCACAACTCTGGCTCCTGGGAACTCGCCCGTCACTTTACTCATTGGCGCGCCTGGTACCACCTCTTCGACGAGCGTTGGCACTGGTATCAACTCAAACACTGGTACCGGTATTACGACGGGGACAGCAACAATCCCTACGATAAGCTTCAGTGTCTCCACGACCGTTATCGTCTCAACGGAAAGCGACGGCGATGTAACAAGCATCACGTCGATTATAAGCAGCCCTTTCCCAACAAGTCC